TTTTATTTAAACTAGTGGAAACCCACAAGTTTGTCTGCACATATAGGTAAAAGTTAAAATAAAGTTGAGTATTTTCCCTTGGCTTTTTGCCTTTGTCTTTGTCGTCGCGTGTTTTTAAATAGATCTGGTGAATGATATAGGCTACTTTTTACCGCGGGAGATCAAGTACCTGCGCCTTCACCCGCATCCAAACTTCCGATCGCTAACAAAAATCACAGGATCACCCGCTGGGCTAATCTGGAGATTACCTGAAAATTTCATCAAAATGGCTCTATTTGTGAATTCAAACCTTGCAGGGACCCACTCCCTGCCGTTTAGGAGATGATCAGTGGCACACCGACTACAGCGCCACCTACTGGGTCCATTTGTATTTTCAAACCATCCAGGAACCCATTGAAATATACACACAAAATTTCATCCGAATAGGTCCAGTCCTTTAGGAGGAGTAGGTTAACAAACACACGTACAGAAGAATTATATATAGAGATAAAATAAAATTAGTCATTAGTGCTCCATAATTTATAAGGATTTAGCAAAAATAATCTACCGGTATTAAGATATTTATAAGTAAAGCCACTAGTTATGCATATACTGAGCTTAGATACATAAGTACACTAATGAAATGGCGATCGGCGATATTTCAACGTCGATTGGCAATTTTGCGGTACGCTTAATACTTACTATCCTACTATAAATCCAGTACACATGTCTCTTCATAAAGCTAGGCATGTCGCATGTACAATAATTTAATATTAGTAGATAAGTACTGGTTTGAAAATTACATCACTTTACTTCGTACACCATCACTTTTAGCAATTAACACACATTCTCGATATTGTATCGCCTCAATTCTATCACAGATCCTCTTATCCGCCACTAGTTTAACTTTCACTATAAATCACTTAGGTAGCAATTTCTTCATTTTACTTTAATAGTTGTTTCTTAATCTATACATAATCAACTAATAATCTCGTACTTGTATTTTATTTTTTAAGAATTTTTAATACGACAGCCAATCCACAATTATATTTCATACATTGTATGCCATGTGTTCGCGGATTCAGCTATGAGGTACATGAAAGTCCTAGCAGAATAAAACTGATGATCCCTCGACATATTGTGCCCCTTTTATATAGGTAAAAACAATCAAAAGTCATTTGTACGCTGTGCGTTTCTATTGGAAGTACATTCTACAAAATATATCTTTCACATTGCCCATTGCCCCCGGCTCCGCCCGCGTTCAGGTGACCAAAAACCAAATTCTTACACATACTATTATTCTTACACATATTAGTATACTCTTATATTGCAGTTTTCGTATTTTTCTCAGATATGAGATATTTTCCCGCGATAAAAAGTATCCTATATGTTGACCCGGATAACCAGCTATCATTATACCAAATTTCATCAAAATCTGTCTAGTGGTTTTCTCGTGATGCGGTAACAGACAGACAGACAGACAGACAGACAAAAATTCTACAAACTATAGATTCGGACTCTGTATCGATAATAATGTCTATTTCAACTTCTATGTCTATTTCGACTTAGTTACAATTTTATTATATGTATAGATTTAATGTATCTAACAATAACTGCTTAATAGATTCTATGTGGGTAACAACCCAACAATTTGTATTTCATATAGATGTTTCTTCCGTTTTTTGTATGCCAACTCGCAATTATGATCCCAAAACTCTTGACAGGTATATTACTTGCTGGGTAATTATGGCGCACTTCTTGCCTTTCTTGTGTGTATGTATTACCTGATACCTTTGGAACTTTTCAACTGTTTTTATATTTTAAACAAAAGGTCTATTGTATAATATACTTATTTTTTAAAAAATAGGTCAAAACCTTTTATACCACCACACCTATCCTTAAGACAAATATCTACTGCAGGAATATTATCGGAATAATTATTTTCAAATCATTATTTTGATTAGTAATATCATAATCAATGTTTCTTCTTCTTTATTTAAATTATTATCATCTTTAGTACTCAAAGAATTTCCCTAAAATTTTTGAGTTTCGACTAGGGCTCAGGAACTCGTTCAATTATTCACCTAAAAAAATAACCGTTTTATACTAACATTAACAAAATAATATTTAATGAAGTAGTCTAAACAAAGCATAATGAATTTCGAATTAGGCAACAAATCAACTTAATCGCCTTGAAATTTCGCCCTATTTTAGAGTAGAACACGGCCTATATCTAACAATGTAAATAAAAAAATACTTGTAATGTGTATAATTTATATAAACATAGACATTATATTTCTTGGGACTTAAATATAAATATAGTAAAAAAGACAACAGGTCTGTAGATAACGCTATATATGTAGGTATCTTTATGTATCTATACATATAATAAAATTGTTACTAAGCCGAATCTGTACATTAAATATTTTTTGGAAAATCTTATTGAAATAGACATTATTATCGTTACAGAGGCCGAATCTATAGTTTTTAGAATTTTTGTCTGCCTGTCTGTCTGTCTGTTACCGCATCACAGAAAAACCACTGGAGGGATTTTAATGAAATTTGGTACCTACGATAATAGCTGGTTATCTTGATCAACATATAGGATACTTTTTATTGCGGGAAAATATCACATTTCTAAGAAAAAAATACAAAAATGCAATGTACTAATATATAAAACATAATAATTTGGTTTTTGGTCATCTGAACGCGGGCGCGGCCGCGGGCAATGCTAGTAAGTAATAATATCTTTAGTATGAGTAGGTACTTAATAATATTATGTAAAATATTGTAGTTATTGTATTGTATTTATTGAATTGTATTTTTAAAATCTTTTAAATGTTTTTTTTATATTAATAACGATTTAAATACATTTTATGTCAGTGGGTAAGTCCTTGTTAAATATTTCCGTTGTAGCAGCTCAACTTTTTATCGAAGCGAGAAAAGCCGCAGGCTAAAAGAGGTTTAAAAAAATTATAATATTTATAAAATAGCATAAAAAATATAACACATTTCTATTCTGACACCACATTTAAGGATTTATGACTTTTTATTTCATTAAAACAACTATTAAAACTTCAAGTCATTTTATGCAAAAATCAAATTTGTCACGTAAGCCCTCAACATAGTAGTAAAAGCTTTTTTATGTACCTATTCTGCCAACCATGGAGGTATTTTAATTTCACTTATGGCCAAAATTAATTTAAATAAATATAAATACATATGTTGTTGGGACATTAACACACAGCGCCTAGTTCCATAGTAAGAGCTATGAGGCTTGTGTTATGAATACCAGATAGTTGATATACTACACATATATAACTTTATTTACATATAGGATAAATATTATAAATATAAACGCTCATCACACAAATGAATGCCCCCAGCGGGACTCAAACCCACGACCGCTAGCACAGCAAGTAGAGTCACTACAAACTGAGCCAAACATGTCATCAGAATTTATAATTTTATAGGTTCTTTTTTTAAGGTGTAAAAGATGATTAGATTTCGTTAATTGAAGTGTCTATTTGTTATGTCAAAATAATAGCTTTTTACTAAATGCATATGAAATTATATACGAACTTATAAGATATACACAATTTTTAAAAAATTTGTCTGTCTATTTGTTCCGGCTAATTTCCCAACTGGACTGATTTTGACGGGACTTTCACTGGCAGGTAGCTGGTGTTATATGGATATATAACTTAGGCTAGGTACTTTTATTTTAGGAAAAGAATTAAGGTTCCGTTCAAAAAAATGTAAATAGGGACGCACCCAAACGAAGCGAGGATAAGTCGTTAGTAAATAATAAAAATAATTTCACGAGTGCGCGTAAACGTCTTTCCTAGTGTGTTATTTTAATAAAATTGATTAAAAATTTTACATTAAATATCGTCTATTAGGTATTATATAAAAATAGTTACTCGTAATAATACTCGTTAAAAGTAGCAACTGTTAAACTGGCTGTTCTCAAGAGAATTTCTTTCAACCAAGGCCACTGGTTCTTACTTTTTTACTTTTTTATAAATGTAAGATTTTACGATTCAAAAGTGTTTTTTTTGTCTGAAAAATAAAATATATTTTATTTTTTTAATAAAGTTTGCTCCTCTCGTTCTACTCACTCTACAAAGGAATAAAACGGTTATCTTATTTATTGGTTATGTTCAATTAGAAATAACACAGTAAGTTTTAGCCGCAGGCATTATGTAGTAAGCAGTAACCAGTTACTGATTATGAAAATATTATTTTTAAAAATTAATTGTAAGAGGGTATTTGCTAACAGATTTTAAGTCTTCAACGCCATCTAACAATTTAATACGACAACGCTTACATGTTTCTTAAAAATTAGAAAATAAGTGTTGATTCTAATATTAATGTACCATTTAATATATACAATAATTTTTTTTAATAAATTTGAGTATATTTGAGTATTTTTTTAATAAATGTTTTATAAAGTTATAAAAATGATGTCTTGTAATGAGTGTTACGTGTAATGGAACCTTTGAATCTTTGAGTAAATGACAGCTCGAAAATAGAGTTGTCTCCGATCGATGTATTTTAAATTATAATGTCGATAAAAGCTTTATAATTATTCAAAATATTCGTAAAATTATGCAGTTTTTTTCTATTCAAACTAGACTTTATTATTTACATAAGAATTGTTTAGATGGCAACTATATTATATACGTGAATAGCCCAATATTCTCAGTATTGTTTTTAAATAAGAAAACTTACAGTTTAAATATAAAAATGTTATTATTTTAAGTAACATTTATTACATAGTTCATTTTAGTATGTTTATACAATAATATTTAATAACATTTATAATATTGTCAAAATGTAAAATTACTCGATAAATTATCATTTCAGTGGCGCAACTCTACTATCTTTCATGTTTGTTATGCTAGTTCAATTTGAATAGTAAATTAAAAATAATGAGTGAAATACTATTTTCTAAAATAAAATATTAAATAATTATGTTCTATCGGTGTTTAATTAATTAAATAACACAGTATTAAAATATGGCAAACTTAAAAATATGTCGAATTTGTTTACAAACTGAAGCTAAGGTTTATAGTTATGTCCAATATCAACTTAAATCTTATTATGAAGAAATTTTAGCTTTAAAAGTAAGGATATTCATGTATTTATTTTTTATTGAGCTATTATCAGTATTATTTGGAGCATATAGCTAATAATATCAATTAATAAAAAAGTATTCATAACCAGTTTTCTAAGTATCCATATTATTCTTTTACAGCTAAGTGAAATGGACAGCTTACCCCAGTATTTTTGTTTCCAGTGTGCAATACTTTTGCACAAGTATCATAAGTTTAAAGAAAAATGTCACTTTGGTCAAAAAATACTGCAAGAGATTCTATGGAAGGGCCCGGTAAGAGTAGAAAGTTTAATAAAATGATAGACAGGAAAGAAAGTTTTTTAAATATAAATTTGTAAACAATAATAATTATATCTTTTACTTAATCAATACCTAATAGTCTGTATTGTCTGTTACTTATTAGATAAAACTATATTATTAAAAAAATGTTATACTTGTGTTCTTTTACATAATTTCAATGTAACATTTTAAAAATAATATAATTGTAACATTTATTTATATTTACATTTTGACATGTACATTGTTTAATTTTTTATTTTTCTTATATAATATCTATTATGAATATAGCAAAGTAATAAAGCAATAGTCTTGGATTTTTAATATGTTATACATCTTTTAGATTACTTATGGAACTATAAAAATGATTGATAGAACAAATTTAAAACTTTTGCATAAATCTCCACAACAAAAAGTCATATTTATTGATGCAAGTGAAAATGGAATCCATCCAATAGACAATATTTTAATTAAAGAAGAGGATAAAAACGAAGGTGCCACAGAAAAAATAGAAATTGTTGATGATAACAAGAATTTCGACAATGAAGATAACTTTGAAATAACCTTTGAAGACAACAGGGAAATTGATGTTTCTGTGACTGAAACAGTAAACACTAGTAGTCCTGTTTTAAAAAAGACTAAAAACAAAATAAAAGATAAAAACACAAGATTGAAAGCAAAAGAAAGAAAATCTAAAGTAAAAAGGAAAGAAGACAATGTAAAAGATAAAAATAGTAATAATAAACATGATCAGAACAAAGAGAAAGTTGTCAAAAGATTAATTTTAATGGATGCGAGTAAGTGGAAGAAGTTTGACCTGACTGAAGAAGATGCAATACAGGTAAGGTATATTAATATGTATATATAGCTTTTGTGCTAAATTAGATAGAAATACCTGGGCTACCGAGCTTCGCTCGGAGTTTTTGGTCCAAAGTACATTTTTTATAAACTCAAAACTTGAATAAATATAAAAAAAACAAAAGTAAAAACTTTGTATGCGACCGAGATTCGAACCTGGACACCTATGATTATTGACCCTACACCTTGGCCGTTTGACTACGATTCTTATGCCCGAGCGTGCAAATTACCGACCATATTTTGTGTGGAATAATGCAAAAGAAAACTGCATGAAAACTCGAAAACACGCGTTTTTTCAGACATAAGACTAATCTAGATCAATTAATCGCCCCTGAAACCCCAGTAATCCAAATTTCATGAAAATCGATGGAGCCGTTTCCGAGATTCAGATTATATAATATTAGGTGTGCCAAAAAATTACGATTGAGTTGCAGAAAAATGTTAAATGGCAAATTTGTAGTACGTTTAAAATCCTATAAAAAAGTCCTTGTCAACTTTTTCATATCATCAATAACAACAAAGTTACTGGCTCACGAATATTTACTTTTTCAATTTTTTGCTTTTACGAACTGAAATATCGATAATTAAACAAAAAGAAAATGGTACAAAATTCGATAGATCATGTATTTTGTATTATCAATAGTTAATAGTGACAGACTTATTTGACATATTTTAATGATTTTTCAAGTATATTATAAAATATATTGATAAAGGACATAAAATATCAGTAATAGAATTATCGTATCCGAAAATGTTTGATATTTTGAATTTTCAAGTATTCACATAAAGAACTAACAAACTAAATATAATATATACAATTATTTTTTGTTAATTTTTTACAGGAATTCAGAGCAAAGTCGTATGATGAAAAATATACAGCTGCTGCATACAAATGTACAGATTGCTTAAAGGGTTTCTCTGAAGAGGACATGTTGAAACGCCATATTAAAATTAGACATAGTGAGGTATGTCTTATACTATTTTTAAATTCTATCTTAAATAATAAATATTTGTATAGAAAAAAAATGTTATTTGTTAGGGTCCTGGTGGACATATAAATAAAAGTGGACTATATACAATCATTTAATTCTGGTCTCGTCGCATCGTCTTGAATACGTGTTAACATAAAAAAGGAATAGATAGCGCTAGATTTACTCTAGAGGCACTCGAAGCTAGCGCCAAATTTTTATTGGTGGCAAAATTCGGAGAGTGCGAAAAAAAATTTTCTTCGCGTTATCGACAATTTTTCAAAAAAATAATTATTGTTAATTAAAAAAAAACTTTATCGAAATTTTACCCATTTTATGCAAAATTTCGGTAATTGGACGGCATTTTTTATTATGCCCAGGATTAAATCAGGTAGGTTAAATTCGGAACTGGCCATAGTCCACCATGCTGGCCAAGTGCGGGTTCGCGGATAAGGCTCGCTAATAATAATACAAATTTTCTTTTCAGTCTCAAGGCTCAATAGAATGCCAGTTCTGTCGCATGCGGTTCAAAAGGAAATGCCGTCTGCGACAACACATCCGTGAACATTACACTAAGTTCAAATGCTTGCGGTGCAACTTTATATGTGTGTTAGAGTGAGTTGATATAAAATATATATATACTTATAACAATTTTTTAGCTACTTATTAGAACTAGTAAGATATTTTAGTTATGAAGAAAGTATATTTTAAGGGGTTTGGTTTTTTTTCTAAACTTGCCGTGCGCGATGAAATTACTGTATACAGATTGAAGACACTTAAACAAATAAAAAAGATGAGTAATATGATGTCCTAAATGGTCACGTTTCCGAGTTATTTGATAAACGATGATAATCATTAAAAAATACAAAAAAAAATCTATGAATAAGTGAAAAAGGGCAGTATAAATATATTTATATTTTCAGAAGCACAGCGTTAAGTCATGAGCAATTTCATAATGGTGTCACAAGGAAATGCAAGTATTGTGGAAAAGAATTTCGGTAAGTATATTTTGTTACCATCGATGAAAAAAGTACTAGATGCACAATCAGCAACGAAAAATATTCTCACTGAATGAGCGCTCATTTGAACATTTGAGCGCGCTTCTATTTTTATTTTTTGTGAAAACAACTTTAAGCCTTGCATTTAAGATTCAATTCACATTTTTGTATGTTTATTTGAACTAGAATAGTTATCTAAACACAATTGGTGATATATGTATTTATTTAAAATTATACATAATATATGTATAGTGTATCAACTATCTGGTATCCAAAACACAAGCCTCATAGCTTACAATGGAACTAGACGGTAATGTGTGTTAATGTCCTAATATTTTTTTTTAAAGGTCGGTCAATAATTATTTACAGATACTCATCAACATACTATACACATTTACGCACACACAGAAGCCAGTTCGTGTGCACTCTGTGCGGTTCCTCCTTCGTCAGCGAGGCGGGTCTGCATCAGCACAAACGCGTCAAACATTGTACCAGCGATGTGAGTAATGTACACACATTTTTACATATATTTTTTTCACTAAAACCCAACAGAACCTCCCATGTCTTAATGGGGCGTCGCAGGATAGCTTCCGCACTCAACCACTCGGCCCCGACGGCAGGTCTGCCGAAGCAGACCACAACAACCATGGGGTTGCTCCAACGGTCCACTCTAGCAACTCACCGGCAAGAAGAGAATTTAGTACAACATTGTGTTTTAGTGCATAGTACTTACGATCAAAAAAGTATTAGATACACAATCCCATGCAAAAGTTCTCTTAAAACTGTCACCGATTGTGTTTAGGTAATTGTTCTAGTTGAAATAAATATACAACAATGTAAATTGAACCTTAAATGCAATGCTTGAACTTGTTTTAAAAAAAATCGCGCTCAAATGTTCAAATGAGCACTCATTCGGTGAGGACGTTTTTCGTCGTTGATTGTGTATCTAGTACTTCTTTGATCGATGTTAGTACTGGCTTTCTTGCCAGTACTACCCATAAGTAAATACGTTCCGCAACGTTAAAAAAACATGGTATCTCATTATTTATGTTTAAAATGGTCGCCTGGCGTTTATGAAACATTCTTCTTCTTCTTCTCTCTGCCCATTTCCCAATCACTTCGGGTCGGCACAGTACATCTTCTGTACTGCTGATAGGATTTGGCAAAAGTTCGACCGGCCGCCTTACGCCTGCCTGACGTCAACCCTCCTTGGGAATGCTATTGTTTATCTTCTTAAAGTATAGTATAGAAGAGTTCATGTCTTGTAATATGATGCACTTTCGATTTTGTTGTCTTTTAAAACATTTTTTATACTATTACTTAAAGTTTAATGTTATTTTCGGATATATTTTCAAATCAATTTTATTTAGAAGAATTTTGTTTTGACGTTGTCAAAATACTCTTCTAAGTAATAATTATTCTCTTTATTCAACAGATAAGCTTAGAAAAAGAAGACAAAGAAGAAGAAGCCAACAAGTTCTGTTCTAGATGTAACATCCAATTTGAAACTACGAAAGCGTATGAAGAGCACTTGTACCATTCTACACTACATGCGGATGAGTGAGTTGTTTTATTTAAATGCATATTTACTTCAACAGCTCAGTGGTAGGTCCGTGGTAACGCGCTCCCTTTAAACCGAGTGAAGCGGGTTCAAATCTCGGGTCTCGCACCTCTGATTTTCATGTGCAAATCGTTTCCGACATGATTACCACTTGTCTTACAGTGAAGGAAAATATCGTGAGGAAACCTGCATGTCTGAGAGAACATAGCAGGTTTTCGAAAGACATGTGAAGTCCGTCCGCACTTGGCCAGCGTGGTGGACTATGGCCTGATCTCCCTCGTATTGTAGGGACGCCCACGCCTAGCAGTGGGACGTTAAAAAGGGCTAAACACAAATTGTTTTAAAATTAACTACATTACTAACTGTTATAAATAGTTCGGTTCAAAAGATTTTAATGAAATTCAAAATGAAAGTAGTTTTTATCCTATAATATTAAATTAAATAAGCTTTTTTGACGTACGTACCACACGAGAGCCACGGGAAGACATAAACGATTCGCACGTGAAAATATCAGAAATGCGAGACCCAGGGTTTGAACCCGCTTCACTCGGTTTCCCAAGCGAGCGCTACCACTGGGCTACCACTGCCTTAAGCAATTTAGTATGGTTTATTTAGTTATATATATATAAATTTATAGTTTTCAGATATGAAATTAGTAAATAATTCTTTATGTCATATTATTGCAGAAATGGAACTGAAATTGACGTGACTAAAACTCTTAACATTTTAGAAAGAGCTACACAAGAAAAGGTAAGAAAAGCACGTGTTTTGATAAAAAAAACTAGAGTCCATAGGTTGTTTCCCCGAAGTTTGTACTTTCACTCCCATTTTCACCCCCTTAAGGGATGATTTTCGGGATAAAAATCCTATGTCCTTCCCAGGGTCTCAAACTATCTTAATACCAAATTTCATCTAAATCGGTTCAATAGTTTCGGAGCCTATTCAATACAAACAAGCAAATCTTTCCTGTTTATAATATTAAGTATAAATATAACAATTTTGAAAACTTATAATGTTTTGTTTCAATCGATAGCTTATTTTGAGTTATTAGGTAATCTAAAGTACAAATAAATTAAAATTTGTCATTTTCAGGTAACGAGTTTGTTCAAGAGAAGGTAAGTCTACATGGTCATCTCCAAAGAACAACTATAAGATCTTTAAGCTGTCTTGGGTTTATACTGTTAATTTTTTTTGTTTTGAGAATGAAAATACTTAATGTAAAATGAAAAATTAGAGACCTGTGTGCTTTTACCCGTCTGCGGCGAAGCCCAAGGGATAGTTATATTTTTGACCCGTATACATTGTCTTGGTAACACGAATATCATGGCGTATATAGATATCATAAAAAATCAAAATGGCGAATCTGAAGCGCCAATTTGAACCTTGAAAAAAAATTTTTCGTCCGAATCAATCGACTGGGATATCAAAATACAGGTTTTTAAGAGACGATTACAAAAAATTCCTTCTTCAACTCGTTCTCATCTTTTTAGTTCGTTTTTTTACGTAGAAGCTTTTAAAATATTCATTTCCAACTGATCGCTAGAATATTGGCGTATATGGATATTTGAGTATGAAAAATACTTTTGTGTGATCCATTTGCGCGAGCGAACAGTGCCGGATTCAACCTTAGCGGCGCCTCTAGGCATAGCAAAAATTTTTATTATTTTATTATTATCGAAATTTCGAATAAAATGTTGAAAGCTTAATTTTTTTTATTATTATTTTTTGAAAAATTTTGTAAAATAAAAAAAGCATTTTCGATAACGAAATTTAGTACACAGATGAACTATTACCGGGATTAAATTATAAGCTACTTTTGAGCACCAATAATTGTCCCTACTTTCAAAAAGAAATTAAGTCAATATTAATTTTTCTAGAAAGATCGATGATATATCATTCAAATCTGGCAAGAGATGTAAAAAGCCGACCACATGCCACCAGTGCGGGAAACACTTCAGCACCCAGTCCGCGTGCATGAAGCATCACTTGGAGGAACACCCTGGAACTTCATTCTGTCCGCCCAATTTGAGGCATATTTGTGAGATATGTGGCGCCTCGCTTGCTGTGAGTAGATTTATATCATTTCCATCCCATTCTATTAATATTAAAAACTAGGGAAGTTTTAAATAGATATAAATAGTTATTGCGAGTGTACCTTAGGAGAAAGGCTTATGCTATTGCGGATTTGTCTGTAGGCCTTATTAAGACCTACAATTTTCTAGTACATGGTTTTAATGTATCTTTTAAAGTTTAGTCATTTTAAGATATATAAATTTCTAAGAACAACTCGATAGAACCAGTTATTGACATACTATAGTCTTATCCCGTGGGAATTAAAGATTTTTCTGTAGTGAAAGTTATCCTAAATGTTGACTCGGATAACCAGCTATCATCATACCAACTTTCATCAAAATCACTCCATTGGTTTTTCCGTGATGCGGTCACAGACAGACAGATTAAAATTCTAAAAACCATAGATTCGGCCTCTGTATCTATAATAATGTTTATTTCAATAAGATTTTCCAAAAAATATTTAATTTACAGATTCGGCTTAGTTACAAATTTATTATATGTATAGATTAACACATATAATTACAGCCCGGTAGTGTGGCGGTACACAAGAACATGCACACGCGCGAGAAGATATTCGCGTGTTCCACCTGCGGCCGGCAGTTCTACGAGAGTGTGGGCCTCAAGCGGCATATGTTGGTGAGAGATCATAGGTTCATAGAGTTACTAGCGGACATAATACTATCTTAGATTAACGCGAGTATTTCGCATTTTAAATAAAACTATCCTTTAGGATTTTTGCAGATTTTTGATGTTTTTGCGGGTTTTTTCGGATTTTTTCGCAGAATTATTTCAGATTTTTCCGTAGATTTATTTTGCATTCTTTCGTGAATTTACTTTGAGACTCCCCTGGCCATCATTGCTGTAAACTTAGTAAAGCATTCGAATTGCCGGGAACCAAAAATCAAAATAAATCCGCGAAAAAAACCGAAAAGATAATTGCTTTTAAAATAGATTTAGATAAAATCCAGTAACACATAGACTTCTTTTAGGCACTCAAGTATATAATAATATATAACATTATGAATAGTTTAAATATCTATTTCAGACACATACAGGAGAAAAGCCTTTCGCATGCACGTCTTGTGACAAAAGATTCACACAAAGTGCAAGTTTGAAGCTCCACTATAGAACCTTTCATCTTAAACAGCCGTATCCTAAAAGGTAATTGCTTAAATTGTACCTACTGTAATATGAAATTTGTAACAAGTGTAAATTAATAATTTTAAAAACCCCCGACCATCTTGGACTGATTTACATCAAACATAGCTAAGATCACTCCCGACTAATTCACCTTTCAAGCAAAAAAAAACGAAATCAAAATCGGTTCATCCGTTCGGGAGCTATGATTAACACACAGACGTGTCAAACTAATAATACGCCGTCGTTTTTGCGTCGGTGGTTAGAAAGAACAACTGCTGACATTTTGAATAATTGCTGAGATTCTCACTCACTGTTTTTTGTAAATAATTAAATGTCCAAGACACGAGAGAGTAACACCGCTAATTCAATTTCGAATTGTGCACTTTTTGAGGACACTTTTGAGACGCTAATTGTATATCAAAGATATGATTACTAAAATACTTAAGAGATGTGGTTAGATTTAAAGTGTAATATAATGCTTTTTCTGTTATTATCATATGTTTTTTTTTATTTTGCAGAAACCGAAGAAAAAAGGAGTAATCGAGAAAAAGTTTCTACTGAGGTCGAATCTTAATTTAAATTTTGAATCTCAGTTAAATATTTCTTTCTTAAACGCTTATTTTACAATTCGCAATAATATTATATTTAGTAATATTTAATCTGTATATATAATGTATTATAATAATATGAAGTAAAAAGTATTAACTTATACATGTTTAGTTTTAACATTTTGAGAAGCAATTAAAATAAAATATATTATTTTTATCATCCGTATATTTTCGGCCAAAAAATCATGATTCGGCCATAAATTATTATAAGTTTCAGCCAAGCGTAAAATTAATATAATTTATATTATTTGTATTATATTATATTGACTAATTTGTGTTTTATAAATTCTTTTAAAGCCATATTTGCTCTTTCTCTCCATATATATAAAAAATAACAAACAGGATTTCAGTGTTCAGAAGAAATATTAATATTTTTTAATGTCTAAATCAGTTTCGTCTTCTGCCGAAAATAAGACTAAAGCCGAAACTTCTTTTTCGTTTTCGGCTGAAAATCCATTTTCGGTTGGACACTAATTATGAATTGTAAATGAATTATTGTACATACTTCATAAACTAATTTGTGCAGAGTTCGTCAGTTCGATTTTAGTTCGAGGTATATTTATAACACGCTTTCACTAACTATGTAATCAAATCCTGGAAGTCGATTATAACTTATTTCCGAAATCATCGTTTCGAATTTAAAATCGATTTTACAGTTAGAGGATAAAAATCGATTACATAAATAGTTAAAAAAAATGTTTTTCCTAACCGTACAAATTTGAGATAAATAAATGAAATATCTATCTATTATTATACATATCTATTATTTATATTTACAAAGATCCCAATATTAACGTTGTGTATATATATTTTTGGAGACATGCATGGCGTCCAGTTCTCTAATGATCCAAGGATTGGGAGATGTAAGAGTTCCGAGTGAGACATTTTTCTGTTCACAACCAGACCGCACTATGCCTTGCAACACCAAACCTCCTAACTGTGAATAAAATATTAATTACTAGAGGAGAAAAACAAATCTATCCCACGGGAACTGTACATTTTCCCGGGATAAAAAGTAGCATATGTATCATTCTGATGTATGACCTATATTATTGTAAAGTTTCATTAAAATCCATTCAGTATTTTGCGTAAAAGAGTCACAAACATCCAGACATCCATACTTTCTCACAAACTTTCGCATTTACAATATTAGTTAGTACTTAGTAGGACTAGTCTCTGGTGTCTTGCATTTATAATATTCCCACACACGCTTCCCTTGATCTTCATCTATACTAATACTAGCGACTCACCCTCGCTCCGCTCGGGTTCGTCCCTGGGGTGGGGTCTGGAAGGGCCACCCTTATCCTTATCACTTAGGGGTATGAAAAATAGATGTTGGCCGATTCTCATAGATACCGGATAAGCACAAAAAATTTCATCAAAATCGGTCAAGCTGTTTCGGAGGAGTATGGCAACGAAAACTGTGACACGAGAATTTTATATATTAGATCATATTATATATGTCGGTCTGTTACGTTTTCACGCCTAAACCGCTGAACCAATTTTTATATATTTTGGTATAGAGTATCGTGGAATCTTCCAAAAGAACATAGGCTCAATTTTGTCGTAGAAACGAAACTTTTTTAATTTCGTCTGATTCGTCTGTCTGACTTTTGGAGGTATATGATTAAAATTTGATGTATGCTAGCCATTAGACCAAGGGGATAAATTATTACAGAATTAATACATAAATATCTTATATCAACATACATATCAAACGCGGAGCCACAGATAAAAACCTTAAAAATACCAACATTTTGACCTTTTGATCGGCTTACCTACGTACAGTATTTAGGCCCGACTTACCTTCTTATAGTAAGTACTAAAAATATTGAACAATATTTTTTTGCAGATCTTACTTATAACAAGTTCATCTTTATCAATTTCTATGTACTTTTGTATCAATAGTAGTAGTAGTAATAGGTATAGTGCAAAAAATATAATAAACTATTTTTTTTAAATGAATATTTACACTAGACTCGCAAATAACGGGTGCTCCGGGAGACGCAAAGCATAGCTTTTCCATACTCGTGCCGCAGGACACATCGGTGGAACCGCCTCCGCCCATGTTACTGCAGGCGCCTTTAGATACTTTTAGTATCGTCTGCAAGGAAATAAAAATTAACGTTTAGTATAGATTTCCCAGAGATGAAATATTTTCCCCCAGTAAAAAGTGTCCTGTATGTTGACCCGGATAACCAGCTATCATCATACTAAGTTTCATCAAAATCCCTTCAGTGGATTTTTCCGTGACCAGTGAGAAATTGGGACCGATGGCTTTACGTGCTCCGGGACACCGGGTGAACCACTACGAACTTTCCGACTCCGGGCTATTACTAAAAAGTTCTTGACAGATAAACTCAACTATTTACTACTTGAACTTGGCCCGACCCGGGACTCGAACCTAGGACCTCCGGATCTGCGGTCGTACATTGAACTATGACTTTGAGTGACACATAGGGACTAGGGATAAAATAAAAAATGAGTTACCGAAACAAATTCATCATTAGTATCATAGCCAAGTGTAAAACACCTTCCGCTGATCTCTCCGAAGTTCAGGCAAGCTCCTCGCGCAGGGGTGACTCCCCAATTCACTTCTTCTTCTAGTACAATTATCCCAAAATCAAACCAATGTGTGCCTGAAAAATATAAAAAAAAACAATAAAGAATAACATTTTATATATCAGGGTGGGGTATAAAAGTGTGGAAGCAAGACAGACGAAGTCCTTTAATAATATTAATTCTTATATTTTTGTTTTTCCTTTAATATTTAGTTTGTCTTTACGGAACCATACTTTAGTAGGTTTACGATGTCAAAATCACAATCCTTATTAAAATTTGGACAGAAAGATCTGTCGAGTCAGTTGAATTCTACAGGCATTCTCTCTTCAAACTGTTTATAGTCTTTTAAGCCAATATATGGGCAATCTCTCCCTGTTTTCCAATTACAGAGCATAATGCCGCACTTTGCGCACAAAAACACTTAGAAACACTTATATTTTCTGCTACTGAGTGGGTTGGTCACACCAAAGCAGTACCTACTTTTCAAAGTGCTCGATTGTGCGGAGCGTTGCTGTAGTTGAAAAATTCGAATTTAAGCATTATGCTGCATAATACGCTTTAGTGTAGTAATGATATGTGTTGTGATGATTTAGTGTTGACGACACGTTTGACTCAGTTTGTAGTGACCCTACTTTCTATGCCAGCGGTCGCGAGTTCGAGTCCCGCTGGGGGCATTCATTTGTGTGATGAACACGAACGTTTGTACTCCAGTCATGGGTGTTTATATTTATAATATGTTAATGTATGTATTTAAAGTTATATATGTGTAGTGTAACAACTATCTGGTATCCATAACACAAGCTTCGTAGCTTACTATGGAACTAGATGGTGCTGTGTGCTAATGTCCCAACATAATAATAATTGGAAAACGCCTTCATGTACTCTGTACATTAAAAAAATGTTTTTTTACTTATACCTGTATTGTACTGAGGGTGTAACTTTCGATGTTTTGCGATGTATTTTTGATTCGGATTGGCAGATGAAGGTATCCGAGCGTACAACATGTGATGCTGCGCCGATTTCAAACAAGTAGCCGCCGTTAAAATAATACGAGAGCCGATTAGTGATCCAGCGCAAAACACATCTGTATCCGTGTTTTTTAAGTCAGAAACTCTGAAAATAAATATTTAAATTTGACGACACGTTTGGCTCAGTTTGTAGTGACACTATTTGCTGTGCCAGCGGTCGCGGGTTCGAGTCCCGCTAGGTATCGAGGTTAACGTAAACTTTTGCGCCTACTTGTACCGAACTCGAACTCGAGATATTATAATAATACCTATAAAGGTAGATTAATAAATGAAACTGCTTTAGGTACTTAGTATATATAAATATATATATATATATATATATATATATATATATATATATATATATATATATATAAAATTTTTAGATGGAGGTATAACATTAAAATCCTTCTATTTAATACTTTTAATCCAGTCTCTTATTGTAATAACTCAAAATATCACCGGCCAATATCGAACGTGACTCCTCCTTCCTCCTATCTTCCTCCTCCAACGTGACACTGTCGAAATAATTTGTGCTCAACTGGCACGCATTAAAGCCATTAAATAAAGAACTGAACTGAATTTACTTATGTAAATACATTAAAATAGTTCAAAGTTATTGTGCAGATGCTCGGAAATGTTTCTGGCAAATTAACATTAACCCACAACAGATGGCGTGTGATTCATATCGCCAAATATTCGCGTAAATCTAAGAAAGTAGGTATTACCACGAAATAAATAAATAACATAATATTTTACTCACTTATATAGTTTTACACACCACGGGCATCGGTCATGATCCAAAGCTTGGCAACTGTCTGAAACAACGCTTTAATTATTATAAATACGTTCTATTCCCTTCATTCATTCAATAAGCCATGGAACCCTAAAACAATGATTCAACTAATTTGGATATAAGAATAGATAAATTTTATTTAAGTGGTATATCTTAACAAGTCAATATCCTTCCTCTTCCCCTTGAAAAGAGATAGCATGTTCGGTTATTTTATCATTATCTATTATCTTTTTATTTGTATTTGTAAAACTAACTTCTTTAGTCTAAGAATATTCATGTTCTTGTTTGTAAGTTGTAACTAACATGTAATAAAATCCTGTAAGTAAACTTTGTATGTATACATGAGCGCTTGGAGGGTAGGGGAGGAGGAGGCTGTACTTGTTAGTTAAAAAAATAAAATTATATTCTATTCTGAAATCCCTGTTTAAAATTACATATCTGCGAAAAAAGATGCGAGAAAAGATGATAAATAATGATATGAATAAAAATCTGAAGTTGATCATTTAAAGATTAGTTATTAAGTTTAATGAGAAGAAGCAGATGCAACCGCCTGGAAATCTGCCGCCCATGTATTTTTCTGTCGATAGTTGCACTTAGGTTATGTTTTGTTTTTCTGGTTATTTTAAAATTGAACAATTTTTATATACCTAAGTATTGTTTATTTTTTATAATTATTTTATTTTTTATAATTATTTTATTTTTTATAATAAAATGCTTATAACTCTGTTGGTACTTTTACGCACATGGCTGTTTTTTGCATAACTGGGTCCAATTTGTCCTTACCACTACGAGTGTCGTTTATCACCGGCGGACCTAACGCAGAATCTTGAGTGCAACACCACATGAAAAGCCCCGGACAAGGTTTCGTTGTCATTTCTCTGTAAAAACAATATCTTTTTGTTAATTAAAGTACTATTACAAATGAGAATACTTTAATACTTTTTTTTTAGATTTACGCGAATATTTGACAATTTAAATAAAACTATCTTTTCGAATCATTTCGCGGATTTATTTTGATTTTTGGTTCCCGTGTCGGCGGCGACGCGCGGTGGCGACGAGCGACAAGCCTCGTTAAGACAACTTTAACCCTTGCATTCAATTTACATTGTTGTATATTTATTTTAACTATAATAATTACCTAAACATAATTCGTGTCAGTTTTAAAAGAACTTTTGCATGGGATTGTGTACCTAGTACTATGCTGCCTGGACTTAAATATAATTAGTATTATACACTCTTGCCGAGATATGAAATGATAGATTTGGCGATTTAAAAAATAGCAAATTTACCTAAATTCAGTTTCGGCTATCACACCTCCCGGCATAATAGTGTGGTCTTCATTGCAGTACGACTCCTGTACGCATAGACCGTCTCTTCCATCTTTCGTCTTGCAATCCAAGAAATGGGTAAATCTATCTGTAATAATTTTAAAGGTTTTATAATCTAACTAATAAATGTAGCAAGATAACATTTAAAAACGTTTTCGCTAACAATTAAAATAGAAAATATAAATACATATAATACTAGCGACTCACCCTCGCTTCCCTCGTCCCTAGCTTGATTCCCTATACAAACTTTAATCCTCTTTTTCACCCCCTTAAGGGATGATTCCGGGATAAAAATATATCCTATGTCCTTTCCAGGGTCTCAAACTATCTTCTTACCAAATTTCATTTAAATCGGTTCATTAGATCCAGAGATTACCCCCTACAACGTCACAAACTCACAATGTCACAAACTTTACCTCTTTATAATATTAGTATAGATACTTATATCCATATCCATGGATAGATGCGCGTATGTGTCGTAGACATTATAATTGTATTTAAAACATGAATACTAAAATATCAATACATACTACATAATATAACACATTGTCAAGTGATAGAAATCGTCATCTCCGGGATATCCTATCGTATTATGTGCTTCTAGAGTAGGTATTTTATACATAACTATATTAATTAATATCTTTAAATATGAAAATAACGTCGTCTTTGAGTTACAAATTAGTGCTTAGATTCCTGAACAGATTTCGGTGAAATTTGGGTAAAGATATAGGTAGTTGATCTTTTTATTCCCGCTCTACATGGAGCTGCCGCTTTTTACTACTTATAGTTTCAATAAAATTAAAATATTTTACCTACCGCCTAGAGTCGGATCCAGGTTGAGGTCGTCATCAAAACTAATTTCTTGGCTGACTAAGAACGGTAGCGAAGTGATCACCAATAACAGCTTCATTGTAATCATCTATAAGAAATAAATCTTTGTGTGAAATAGAAGATTTGTGTAAGTGAGAAGTGTAAGTGAAAGCATTGGCGGAGAGATTCTCCACCGCTAAGTGACAGAACCGTGATTACCACTTGTTTTACGGTGAAGGAAAACATCGTGAAGAAACCTGCATGTCTGAGAGAATTTAGTAAAATTTTGAAAGACATGTGTAAGTCCGCCAACCCGCACTTGGCCAGCGTGGTGGACTATCGCTCGTGCCCAGCAGTGGGACGTTAAAAAGGTCTGAATACAAGCCACAGAACTAACTTCGACCGATAAAGCCTGTATTTAGCGCATGTAAAAGAGTATAAATCTACAGACTATAAATTACTTAAACTGTTACAGTAAATAGTGTAAATATAAATCACAAGTGAAGTGAAATGAGTTCCCAAATCAAATCACCAACAAATGTTAGTAAGAACTTATGAAATACTAATGACTTACCCTCACTTCACTCAAGTTCCCAAATAATAGCCTATATTTCTCCATGCTACTCTATCTGTCTGCTAAATTCCATCCAAATCTGTTCAGCCATTTTATTGTGAGAAGTTAAAAATGTACATAGATACATACAAACATTGGTTTTTCGTAATAATATTTTGATAAATATCTAATTACTATAGGTAGGTACTCATAAAGTTAAAAAAATAACCTTTTATTAATTATTAAATCATAGTCGAGTTTACTGTCATATGCGATTCAGAATTGACTGGTCTTCCTTCCTCTTATTTAAAGCACTATTGCAATTTGTTTTTGAAAACATGAATCAAATTTCCACAAAAGTGATTCATTATACCTACTGCAATACAAAATATTGTGTCATCTGAAATAATAATACAAATGTTTCCATTTATTTTATCAAAATACTAGCGACTCACCCTCGCTCCGCTCGGGTTCGTCCCTGGGGTGGGCTCTGGGTGGACCACCCTTATCTTTATCACTTAGGGGTATGGAAAATAAATAGTAGCCGATTCTCCGACCTACTGAATACGCATATAAAATTTGGTAAAAATCGGTAAAGCCGTTTCGGAGGAGTACGGTAACTAACATTGTGACATAGAAATTTTATATATTAGAAGATTAGCTTTAGTCTGCTTTGTTTGTACTTTATTAACTGGTTAATATTGGTCTATTACGCTTTTTTTAAGATAAACACAAGCATATTTCTGCAATCTTATTTATACCTATGAAAGATTCACTTTCAATAGAATTTAACTTAAAAAACTGCTATTAAGACTGTTTTGAGGTATATATTGGATATTATTAACACGAGGCATTACATTGTTATCAAAGTGCTGTTTCTATAAATATTTTAACACTTTGACCTCTATTAGGTACTTATTTACCTAACAACTGCATCAGTAGTTGTTTAGGCAAAGTGAATAGTTGCACGCTAAATTCCAGATTCGAAGTGTCCAAAAATTATTTGCGGGTAATTTAAATTAGGCTTAGATTTTTTTTAATTATGACGGATATTAAATAGTGTAGGTAACTAAAATTAATGTAATTCACGGTTCCAGTACTAACAAGCAGCTAGCATGTAGGTATAGGCACATTATGAAAAAGTAGTTTGTGGGTTTTCGATTTTAATTTTTTTAAGCGGAACCCTAATTCTTTTTCTACAAAAAAAGTAGTCTATGTTACTCCCTATAACATCAGCTATCTTCCAGTAAAAGTCCCGTCAAAATCAATCCAGCCGTTTCCGAGATTATCCGGAAGAAACAGACAGACAGACAAAAAATTGAAAAAAAATGTGTTTTTTTTTATAAGTACCGTATATAATTTCATATGCGTTCAGTAAAACGCTGTTATTTTACCATTACAAACAGACACTTCAATTTTATTTACCTATAGTGTACAGATGTAGTTATACTGTATAGATTACAGCAGAAAAGCGGAGGAGTGAATTGTATGTTTAAAAAATGAAACACAACTACGAAATGAAACAACACATACCACATCTTATTCTCATTGTTATATATTTCATAATTTTATAAACTACCATATTACGCAGAAAAATAATCCAGTTTAAAAACAATACTCACCGTAAAGTTTTTATAACAGTGACTAATAAACAAGCACAAAAACGATGATAGTTTTATAATAATTAATAAATAGTTCTCAGCTAAGAAAATTTCATCATAAAATCATATTCACATATAAGGTACACTAAACTTAGAATTAGGCATTAAATTTATAAAATATTTGTTTCTTGATTATAATAACCACTAATATATTCTATATCTTTTTCATTTATTAAAGTATAAATAAAACGTGTTGCTCTAACGGTGTACAAAATGTATGTATACAATCTCATCATATTATTTATTGGACCAATGTTTGATGCAAATATTGTTCCACAGCAAATTCGTATAAATTATTTGATTTTTGGATTCAAAACTCAAATATGATCAAATAAAAATGTTATATTATTTTTTGATTATGTAGCTTGTGCCTTTTCTTCTATTCTTTAAAAAAAAGTTTATTTATTTTTCTACGACATTAGTTTTGTACCTAGTTGGTTTACGTCATTGGACGTGATTGGACCGACCTACAATAGTGACCTTCCCATATGTCGCTAAAACCAGTTTCCTTGTTTCTTATTAGTTTTTGTTGTAGGTTCTGTTCGTAGATTTTAATCTTTCTTAATATCTAAATACTAGCATTTGCCCGCGACTACACTCGTGTTAATAGTTTATATATTTAAATAGCCTATAATATAATCTTTATAAATGAAAGACGAATTTTTCCAATTTGAAACGTTCACGTCAGAGTGACGTCAAAGTATCCTATATATAGGTACCTATCGTGGATGACATATTATTATGACGACTTAAGTTTGTAGCGACAAAATAGCTAATCGCTTTGTTTGATAATTATATTTGTTTGATAATAATAATACTCTGACGTCACATTCGGTCTGACCAATGGCGTGCGTTTCAACTACTTTGAATTTCCCACCTATATTTGCACTTTGCAATAATTATTTTCTTAATCAAAAAGAAATTACATAAAAAACCAAGACCTTTCATTTGATATCTTTATAACGGTCCACTGATCACTCTAGTATCAAAGAAGTTGGAACACCCATGGTAAACTACCCACTGAGGTCCCATTGCGTTTCTTGGCTTCTCGATGCTAATGAGCTCTTGACCCTACCATCACGACAAGATGGCATGCTATATACTACAGTAAAAATAGAATTTAACTTTGCACTAAATTTCCGATCCATTCTTTTATTTTATAAGGTTTGGGATCACTTACTGAGTATAAAATCACAAAATGCTGACAAATTCCGATAGAGCTTCAGGCGCCATCTTGAAAAAGCTTTTTTGGCCGAACTGCACTTTAGGGCAAAAGTTATTGAAACTATTTTTGTAGAAAATAAAATTTTGCATCTTTTGTTTCCTGATTTTTTTTTGTAAAACTTACCTTTTACGATTTATAGCCCATTTAATGAACCGGTCCTTCTATCTCGGCCGATAACTCTTAAAATATTGGTTTAATCAATAAAATGCATCTATTCATTTTTAAAGACCCATTCATTTTCTACAACTTTTGTTTAAAACTTTTTTTAAATTACCATACGATCCAGCTATTAAAATAAATTAAAATTTGTAAATAAAAATATTGGATCGGAAATTTAGTGCTCAGTTGACCAAAAAAACGTCTATTGTTACTGTAGTAATATTTTCACATCGTTTTATTATTCCTTCGATGTCATTATTATATTTTTGCTGTTAATATGAGAATAGATATTAATATGTAAATGAATCATGCAATCAGATAATGTCGGACTGTCCGTTGTCATATATTTTTGCTTGTGAGTTGTGACTGTATATACGAACAGTATAACAACCCACAAGGACGGTTCAATCTAAATTTATTAGAAAACGTTCCACCGCTTATAAATGGCATAATTAAATATAAGTGATCTTGAAGTTAGTGAACTTTAAAATTTTTTATTGCAAACTGATACAGGCCGGAGTTAGCATCAAACATTCAACACCTAGAATATTTGCGTCGGGAATAAAGTATTTTGCCACTTACGAATACATGCGTTTAGTCTCGTATTATCTTATTGTACTGGGTACAGATTACAGAGTTATAGGTACATTTTTCGTTAAAAAGCAATGTTTCGTTTACATAAATCATATTCTAATCAAATAAACACAACGTTGTAACAAACTGAAAATGGAATATCGACAAATGCTAAAGCATCCTAAAGGATATATTTAAAGAATTGATTAAAATATCGATTACGTCTCGATATCCGTTATATTTTTTAGTCTCACCGAAAACATAAAACAAATCTATCCCACGGGAACCGTACATTTTTCCTATGTAGCCTATGTGCTATTCCAGACTATAACCTATCTCTGTCAAATTTCATCCCGATCCTTCAGCCGTTCGGCGCGATTGAATAACAAACATTTATTTGAACTTTCACATTTATAATATTACTGAGATAGTAGACCATGGATAAAGTGATAATATATTTAAAATAATAACCTTATAGCATAATAATTACCTCATATAAAAAATATATATTATAATAATTTCACAATCGAGTTGCAATTGAGATTAAAATCTTTATTCGTTATGGCACATCATTATTCATTACTTAAATGTCAAATTTATACTATTGACATTTGACATAGAATTTGTATATTTCTAATTTCTATCGAAAATGTAAATATTAGTAAATATGTTAAATGATACTCATTTTCTTGTGATGTAGACATTATTTTTTGATATTAATCACTAAAAAGAATGGCTGATTTAAAAATATGTAGAATATGCTTAAGAACGGAAGCAAAAGTTTATAATTATGAGCAATACCAACTTAAGTCGTACTATGAAGAAGTTTTAGCCTTAAAAGTAAGTAATAAATAACTTCATCTCCACTGTAATTAAATGTACCTTAGTATCAGATATTTAAAATATTAAAAGATTCTTTGTGCAAATTCATTCGTTGAGTTTATATTATTGGTACAAACAAATGCCGGAATTTTCTAAAGTATACCTAGTTAGTAGTTACTATTTTATATTAAAGTGTTTTAGAAAATTTTATTTCTTGTAAGCACAAATTTCTTGTTAACATTGTTACTTATGTTTATTTAATTCATGTTCAAATGTTTATATTAAAAAATGTACTTATTTATTTTAATATTTTTTCAGGTACCGGAATCCGATGATTTACCTCACTTTTTCTGTTTTGAATGTGCAATGCTATTACATAAATTTCATAAATTTAAAGAGAAATGTTATTTTGGACAAAAAGTATTAAAAGAGATATTGTGGAAGGGTCCTGTGAGTTCAATTTTTTAGTTTAATAATCTAATGTTACGTTCACATTATCTTAAACTGTAGTATATCTATGTATTTAAAGTACCTTGTCCTGGCTATTTTATTAAACCCTGGACGAAAATCCTGCACCTAAAGGACTAATATTTTGACAATATAATTTTAAATTATTACACAAGTAACCGATAATTTGAAAAATATTTGTAATAAAGAAAAAAGACATTAAATTCCTTCTACAATTATGATTATTTTAATTATAGTAAATATGATTATTTATTTTTAGATAACATATGAAGCTGTATATAAAATAGATAGATATGGTTTAAATTTGGAGTCTCCGTTAGAAATTATAATTTTAAATTCAAATGAAGAACAGTGTATAACAACTATTTCAATTAAAGAAGAAATAAAAGACCAAAGACATGCAAAGATTGAGAATATAGAGGTTGATGAAGACACATTAATAGAAAATACATTTGTAGAAATAGAAATAGACACAGATAAAAAAGAAATCTTAGATATAGATAATGAAAAGGAAGATGTGGTATTGATAACGAAAAATAGAGAAAGTAAGAGACAGAAAGAGAAATGTGAAGTGAAAAGTTGTTTAGCAGATAAAGATAAGTGGAAAATAATTGATTTGACAGAAGAAGAAGCTGTTAAGGTAAGATTTTTAATATTTTTCTAGTAATAAACTATATTTTAAGAGTGGAATATAAACACAATTTTTTTTTGAAATTTTCATGTTAATTAATATGTAATATTAATTAATATGTAATATTTGTAACCAAGGCTAGAGATCACAAGTTTGATTTTTTTCGTTTTGGTAATTTACTATCCAAAGTATTTATTATTACTAGTTCACCCAGTGGTCAAATTTTGACCATAATCAAACATATTAAACAAAGAGAAAAAGAAAATCAGATGATAAACAGATGAGAAAAAGGTACTGAACTGTTTTGTCTTTAATTTTCTGTAAAAAATTAGATTAGAAGTATTATATCCAATTTTCTTTATTTATGACAAAAAGCTTGTCAATAACTATAAAAAAACATACATACAGACAAACATAGTACCTCCTCCTTTATGGAAGTCGGTTAAAAAAAGGGAATTTGGTGGACAAACAGAGGAAAATAAAGGTAAGAAACTGTTCGTCTTTGCCTATTTTATTCTTTACTAAATTTTTATATGTTTTTTTTGTTTCAGGAATTTAGAGATAGAGCAAGTGATGAAAAGTATGTAGCCGCTGCTTACAGATGTACAGATTGTTTTAAAGGGTTTTCTAAAGAAAACATGCTCAAAAGGCATAAAACACTTGCACATAACGAGGTATGGAATTTTAAGGGATAAACATGTATGCATAGTGATTTTTTATATAAAAAATAATATTTATTAGGCTATGTTTATCCAACTTCCTGAAATAAAGGGTGTTCGATTGGGCTGTATTTTTTTAATGACCAGTTTATAGATCTTTTTTTTTATAATGGGAAATGCATTTACACATACTACCTGTAGACATACAGGTGCTTACCACTAAAACCCAACACACACAGGGGATACTCCACCGCTCTGGCCAAATGAACTAACCCTCACTAAGCCAGCATAAAGAGCTATGGTCTTATCTCCCTAGAAAAGTTCCGTGCCCAGTAGTGAGTGGTTAAAAAAAACTGAATACATACGACCCAACACCTTGTAGTTAGTTGCTATTTGATAAAATAAATATTAACATTTATTGCAGTTTTTTTACAACCATATAATCACAGACTATATATTATTCCAGTCTAATATGTTCGAGTGTCGCTTCTGTCACATGCGCTTCAAATGGAAGTGTCACGTGCGCAAGCACATGAAGCAACACTACACTAAATACGAGTGTCTGCGGTGTCACATGGTGTGTCCCATAGAGTGAGTAGAGCGATTGTTTTAAACGTAAGGGCATGTGCACACTATGTTTTATATTTTTTATACTAGCGATTTGATTTATCACTTAAGGTTTAGCCAACGTTAGACTTGTACATTTCTATGGACGACTTGACAGAACCAGTTATTGTGTTTTCCCGTGGAATGAAAGTACTCCTTATAACATCAGTCATATTTGCCAGTGAAAGTCCCGTCAAAATCAGTCCAGCCGTTTCGGAGATTAGCCGGAACAGACAGAGAATAAAGAACAAACTAAAAATATGTTTTTCTTATAAGTGCCGTAAATAATTTCGTATGTATTTAGTAAAATGCTTTTATTTCGATATTATAAACAGACACTTCAATTTTATAATAGAATAAAAATAATATTATTTCTGTATCGATGTAGAGATAAAAATCAATTGATCTTTTAGTGATATATAATTATATTTTACAGAAATACAGCCATCCTTCATGAGCAGTATCACAGCGGAATACTGTGGAAGTGCAAGTTTTGCACTGAGGAATTTAGGTATGTCAATTATACTAAATAGGTTCCTCCGTTGGCTAATGGCTAATATATATGGCAATAGAGGACCTGGGTTCGAGTCTCGTTTCGGGCCAATTTGAGTTTTACGTTTTTTCTGATAAGAAATTCTCAGTAACATCCCCGAGTTAGCAACGGTTCTCCACTCGAATATGAGAGTGACAGGAATAGAGAGTGCACGTTGTCTGCGTGTATACTTGTGTACTATTATCTCCTGCTCTGGCTAGCCTCGGTGAGATTGGCCGTTGTGGTCGAAATTTGTAAAGAGAATATTAGATATTATTGATTGAGACAGTGCCCTGAACACTTCGTAATAGGAAAAACCGACCACCCTATAGACAATAAATTAAAAAGTGGACTGTACTAAATTGGTTTATTATTACACAGTGGTAACCCGACTATATAATAAGCGATTCTTAACGTGAGTTAGGTAGTTCAGCACGTCGTCCAGCGATCTTAAGCTTTTATCTCGTCGTCCCGCACCCCCCGTTCCTAAAACTATATGAGGCATTGTTCACGCACTAATGTCAGGCAGACCCTTGTCTTTACCAGCTAATGTAATTAAAGTAAATTTACTGGTAGTCTGTTTATTATAGTAATGTTTGGTGTAGAATTGAGAACGTTGATACAGTTCGGGCGATCAATGAAACGCACTCATTTTACTTATATAATGTGTATTCTATAATATATCAAAGCGGAATATTTCTCACTCACTCGCTGATTACAAATTAATTACAAAATCTTGGAAAGTTTTAATGCTAGAAAACTTGGACATTTTTTTGGAAATTCAATCCCTAAAAGGGCAAAAAAATCTTCCGTTTGTGTAGAAATCTATTATTTTTACGGTTTCAGTGACCAAAAAATCTCTCTGATTATAAATGATGGCTATTCTTATGGAATTCTATGATATTTTAAGGCACTCGTCAACATACTACACACACCTGCGCACGCACAGAAGTCAGTTCGTGTGCACTCTGTGCGGCTCCTCCTTCGTCAGCGAGGCGGGTCTCAACATGCACAAGCGTCTCAAACATTGTACCAGCGATGTGAGTAATATGTTACACTAGAGCGACTCACCCTCGATTCCCTCGGGTTCGTCCCTTGGTAATTTTTTTTTTTTCAGTGGAACCCTAATTCTTTTGCTGAAATAAAAGTAGCCTAAGTTACTCCTTATAACACTACCTGCCAGTGAAAGTCTAGTCAAAATCGGCCCAGCCGTTTCGAAGATTAGCCGGAACAAACAGACAGACGAAAATTTTAAAAATTGTCTTTTTTCTTATAAATACCATGCGTTTAGTAAAAATCTGTTATTTTGGCATTACAAAGACAAACAGACACTTCAATTTTATTTATCTGTATAGATTTCTTTGACGTTTATGATCGTCTGGTACTCTTGCTGGCTATTAATGTCATCTGGTTTTTTTAGGCTTCTGTACTGGACTAAGATCCCGCTGCAAGATTGCTACGTTCATGGCGTATTTATTCATAATCAACTTTTTATATACAATAATAAAAGGGACTATATGTCTTGACCGGGGTGCCTATTAAAATGTGCCCGCTAGTATGTTTAATTAAATAAATAATAATTGAATTTTCGGAACAAAAGTGAAGCATTTGTTATTAAAATGAATTATACTCCACTTCACAGAAATATACGTAGAGATCTTGAAAAGTGATAGCTGCCGTTGCGCACTTGGCCGCAACCTTTTCGAAGCCAGGTGTGAGCAGGTCATATTTTGTTACGTTTATACGTTCATGGCGTATATTCATCATTTATACATATAAAATTAATAAAAAAATTATTTTGATTAAATACGCTATCAACGTAGCAATCTTGCAGCCGGATCTGGATCCATATTTAGAAGGAAAAAAAGATACCCTTATAGAATCGATCACTGCATTGTCCGTGTGTCTCTTTCCGTCTGTCCCTCTGTCGGTCTATATGTCTGTCTGTTTGTCCAAGACCGTTTTTAATAGATACCTGTGGAGGTGTCAAGTTGAAATTAATAACAAATACTCAGATCCGCAATTTCTTGGAGTTATGAGAAAATCAAACTTCTAAGTTAACGCAACGTCCGTTTGTTCCACGGTACTAGTTAGAGTCAATAGTACAAATTAAAAGATTTCTTGCTTTTCTGTAATTGTAAGATACAATGTTTGTTGGTGAGATTTTATTCTTACTATAAACTCTATCGATTATTAAATAAAATAGTGAAGTTACATTTTTACCTGAACTTATATTTAAACCTTTCTTCCATGACCAATTTGCTTGTTCCACTCTATATAAACTTTTGAGACGTCTATAACCTCAGTCTCTTCCGTGACCATGATTGGTGTAAAGCATACGAAACGTCGAGAACCAAAAATCAGAATAAATCCGCGAAATAATCCGAAAAGATAGTTTTATTTAAAATAGTCTTAAAATTTTAGGAATGTAATTTTCTTCCTAGGAATCTCCAGACGATGATGAAGATCTGAACGCTTTTTGTTCTCGATGCGATATTCGCTTCGAGACCCGAAAAGCGTATGAGGAACATTTGTTTCATTCTGCTCTACACGGAGAGGTTGTCGTGTGAGTATTGTTTGTAGTCAGTTCGATTCCCGCATAGGGAATTTCAACTAGTTTTCTTTTAGTAGTGCATTTCTATTTTGGTACTAATTAATTACTATTAGAAATATCATATTAGTGTGTATTTTCAAAATAACCATTTGTGAGGGCGATCCTTTTTTTAACGTCGAACAGATTCATTACTCAACAGAATTAATATAGATTAATATTAATATAGTAAATAATATTAATATAGATTAATAAGATTTATAGCTGTGTTTTATCATCATATATTTTACGAAAACCGAATGCTTAAATATAAAAAATATTGTCATATTTAATGGTCTTATATGCAAGTTCAAAACAAATATGTATATTATAATTATGTATGAGACATGTTGTGTTGAAGTCACACAATATCTTTGCTTAAAGTTACATGAGATAAAGAGGCAGTTGAAAATAAAAAAAAATAAATATATATATATTTTTTTATTATATCACGTTTTTATATTATAATATTAAATGAGCAATTCTTGTATACATATTCACATATTATAACTTTATTACGTGTATATTGGAAACGGTTCTAACGATTTGGATCAAATTTTGTATTTAGATAAGGTTTTGCTTTTTAAGTTTAATTATATAGGGTTTTTTTCAGAAAAAAGGTCAATCTCACATTTTTTTTATAACTAATTATTATAAGAACCTTTTTCTGCCTGCTCTCATGCTGACAATGTTATAAAGCGCCATCTAGTGAATGTTAATGGTACTTCCATTGTCGCCAAAGGATGATAACTTACTGAGTACTACATATAGATATATTATATACATTAATACATAAATATGTTGGTACATTAACACACAGCACCATCTAGTTCCATAGTAAACTACGAGGCTTGTGTTATGGATACCAGATAGTTGATACACTACATACATATAACTTTAAATACATACATATATTATAAGTATAAATACCCATGATTTGAGTATAAACATTCGTGCTAATCACACAAATGAATACCCACAGCGGAACTCGAACCCGCGACCGCTGGTACAGCAAGTAGGGTCACTACAAACTGAGCCAGACGTATCGTCAAAATATATAAATGAATATTTTATCGAAATTAATTATACTTTACAGGGATGGAATTAAAATAGAGAAGGCTGTACCTATCCAGAGGAAGATTTTGGCGAAGAAAGTTCAGAATAAGGTTATATATAGTTCTAGTACTATATAAAAAGGCTTACCGACTTAAAGGTCACTTTATATGTCATTCTTCCACCTATCGAGGTGGATTTTTATCTTGGGATTTATATTAAAATACTTAATCATCAAAAGTATCTACTAAAATTAAATTAAAAAAAGCAGTCATGAGGAATGACGACAGAAGTGAAAATTTAAAACTATAAACAAACAGTTGCTATTTTTTGAATATTCAAATTGTTTGATCTTAAATTAAAATTTGTAAATTAAAACTGTTTACATTTATCTGGTTTTGATATCTATCGGCGCTCTGAGTGTTAGCGTTGACACGTCACGTGACCACGTCGATGACGACTCACATGAATTTACTCCCCATCTAAACGTGCCTATAGAAGTTTTCACTTCAAAATGCTCGAACGTATGCTAGAGAGTACTTTCTGCTTTTTTTATATGATGAATGTGTGATTTTTTCGTGTAATAACAGATTTTAATGATTATTATAAAATCTGTGAAAGTCTATACATTGATATATAAAAACATTGCTACACATTTTCTAAGAAATATCTCTTCAAAACGTGGCGTCGACATGTCACGTTAAGTCAAACCAAAGAATAAAATTAAAAAATCGATAGTTCTTATTGTCTAATTAAAATCGATAGTTCTTATTGTCTAATGAAAACAAATTCGAACTTACTCGCATCACATAAAGTACATTTTTAAATGAAACAACATGCGTTTTAATTTTGTTATTCGAAAAAAAATGAACAAAAGATATTTGAAAAAAAAAAGCATAATTTTCTAATTGTGCACTTCTTTTGAGGGCACTTTTGAAACTTTAATTATTATTTATATAAATCTTCAGTTTTGTATATCAAAGATCCATATAATAATTTTAATAAAATGTCCATCCCCTAAGTGTTTAAGGTTATTTTGAAGTAAAATTCGGCATACCTTTTAAGTTAGTCATTTAAATAATTTATCTTTTATTAAATACTAGCGATTTACCCTCGCTCCGCTTGGGTTCGTCCCTACTTCCTTTTTAATGGTTAGTATAGATTTCTCAGAGATGAGATATTTTCTCGCAATAAATAGTATCCTATATGTTGACCCGGATAACCAGCTATCATCATACCAAATTTCATCAAATTCCCCCCAGTGGTTTTCAGGTGTTGCGGTAACAGACAGCCAGACAGACAATAATTCTAAAAACTATAGATTCGACCTCTGTATCGATAATAATGGTTATTTCAATAAGATTTCCCAAAAAATATTTAATGTTTCAGATTCGACTTAGTTACAATTTTATTATATGCATAGGTTAGTTTACTACAATTTATAATAAAGGTTATTTTGTTTCAGATCACTAATTTATTAAAATCTCGGTAAGTCACTTTCTCTTAAATATAAATAAAAATAATCTTAATCTTTATATATATAATTCTTCTGTTATATGTATATAATTCTTCTGTACGTGTGTTTGTCACCTGACTCCTCCTAAAGCGCTGGACCGATTTGGATGAAATTTTGTGTGTATATTTCAATGGGTTCCTGGATGGTTCGAAAACAAAATTGGACCCGGTAGGTGGCGCTGCTGTTGGTGTGTCAAAGAGTTGTTTGTGTTGTTTTTTTGTGTTATTTACTAGCGATATAACTTCACTTCACTACTCCTTCACACAGAAACGGCTGGACTGATTTTGATGAAATTTAGTATATAGATGACCTGGTGTAACACATAGGCTACCGTTAGATAAAACTAAAATATCTGTGTTTGAAATTGAAATATCAACTTTGTTCTGCATAGTATTTAGCTCTTTTTTAACGTCCCATGCTAGCCGAGTGCAGGCGGACTTCACATGTCTTGAGAAAACTTGCTAAGTTCTCTCAGACATGCAGGTTTTTTTTCACCGTTGGACAATTAGTAATCATGTTGTAAACTATTCGCATATGGAAATATCAGACAAACAGACTTGAGTTACTTTCGCATTTATAATATTAGTATGGATTGTTCTAGAAAGTTCGATGACGTTCCAATAAAACCGGGGACTGGCGGGAGAAAGAGAAGGCAGAAAAGCAAACCGACAACATGCCATCAAGTAAGTGTTAAAACTAAGTAATATAGATGTAGTGTCAGAACTAAACATGAAGTAAAATTTAAATGTCCAATGTGTTAGTTGTGTCTAAGTGCTTATATAATCTCACAAAAAAATAATATTTTTAATGATTAACAAGAATAAATTGAGAAATTATATCTAACAATATACTTATATGTAATAGTTTATGACGACGACAAGTTTGGCTCAGTATGTAGTGTGTACTTGCTTTGCCAACGGTCGCGGGTTCGAGCCCCATTGAGGGCATTCATTTATGTAATTATAATGAATGTTTGTACTCCAGTCATGGGTGTTTATATTTATAGTATGTATGTATATGTATTTAAAGTTATATATGTGTACTGTATCAACTGTCTGGTATCCATAACACAAGCCTCGTAGCTTACCATGGAACTAGATGGTGCTGTGTTCATGTCCCAACATATTTATTGAAGTAAAACTTCTTTAAGCACGCTTGATTTGGGGGGTGAGCTGGTGAATGCGTTACGAAAAAATGTACGTACGTTCGTTGCCATGGTAACCGTTGTTATTGTCTGACAAATGATGTATAATATTATATTCTTTTTTTAAATGATATTCTATAAATATATGATTGTAATATGCCTTATATGCATTAGTTTTTAGTACCTCACCTTAGATCCTAATTATTTAAAATCTAAATTGAATTTCGTAAAGAGTACCGAAAACCTATAGAAGTTTTACTTCTTGTGCGTGTACACATACATACATGCACTCTTTAATTTTTTTTAATTTATATATCTTTCAATATGTCTGTCTGTAGTGCGGTAAACACTTCAGCACACAAGCGGCGTGTATGAAGCACCACCTGGCGGAGCATCCGCGAACGTCGTTCTTTGCGCCGGCGCAGAGACACATTTGCGAGATATGCGGCGCCTCGCTTGCTGTGAGTCGTTAGCAAAATTATACAATGAAAAACGTGTGTGTGTCCTTATGTACGCACGTAAGAAGTTATACTTCTTTTGCGTAACAGAACAAAAATAGCCAAAGATTTCATCCCGTATGTCACAACTCTCTGTTTGTAATAGGAATGTAGCCAACTTCATCATATCGCTTTCAGTTAACTTAACTAAAGCTTTTTGGCTGTCGGTGTGCACGCGCATCGTGAGAAATTTACTCTCATATTTTTTTCCAAACGTCATAAAAGAAGTATAACTTCAGTATACAATTTCGGTGGCTATAATTGGTGTTACTCCGGATTATTGTATATCTAAATTTAAATTTTATCTAAATCTGTCCAGCCGTTTCAGCGTGAAAGAGCAACAAATATGCGCACAAATACAAACTTTCACATTTACAATAGTTGTTCTATATATGTACAAGCCAATAATAGTTCTATATACATACCAAATAATTTGAACAAAATCCACGTAATCTGTAAAATGGGCAGGGAGGTGATGAGAATCCAATCAGTAGTTTTTGTGTACTAAGCTGCATAAGTTACTATAGTTTTTTAACTATCCCACGGGAAGTCTTTAATTTTCCTGGATGAAAATAATCTAAAATGTTGACCTGGGATATTAGGTACCACCATGCAAAATTTCATTTAAAGAGGTCCAACAGTTTCTGAGATTAGCCCGTACAAATAGACAAACAGACAGAGAAACAAAAAAATGAAAAAAAAAACTGGATTTGTTCTATTTCTCTTCTTACATCCCCCTGACTCGTTTTATAGCATTTTTATATGTACAGACATTCGACCTCTACAGTTTTATTATATGTACTAGCGACTCACCCTCGCTTCGCTCGGCATCGTCCCTAGCTTGATTCCCCATAGAAAATTTCATCCCCATTTTCCCTCCCTTAAAGGGTGATTTCCGGGATAAAAAGTCCTATGGCCTTTCCAGGGTCTCAAACTATCTTCTTACCAAATTTCATCTAAATCGGTTCAGTAGGTCCAGAGGTTACCCCCGACGATTACAACGTCATAAACTCACAAACTTTACCTATTTATTATATTAGTATTGATAGATAACTGGCTTTTCCCACATAACCACCTGTATGTACACATGAGGTATGCGTAAATGCATTTCCCAACATAAAAAAGGGAGATGATGATTTAATTTTTATACTCCCAAGCCGGGCAGCGTGGCGGTGCACCAGAACATGCACAGCCGCGAGCGGGTGCACGCGTGCGGCGTGTGCGCGCGCCAGTTCCATTCTAGCATCGGCCTCAAACGACACATGGTGGTGTGTACAGTTTATTTACGATTTTCGTATATATTTTTTCCGATATTAAAAATGATTTTTTTTTAAATATAAAAAAATAGTAATTATGGAAGGCCCACTACCAGACCTGGCTTAAGTTGCATTATGGATAGAAGTTTAGAATGGAAAATTTAAAAATAAATCGAATAATACGAAATTTAAAATTGAAATGACAATTAAAGTTTAAAATCGATTTTTATCATTTAAGTATATATTTAGTTGAAAGTAAACTTAATAAAAGCTTATTAATCAAATTTTTGGGTTCGTCTCTAAGTACTTTTTAACGGTTAGTATCATCTCCTTTTGACGTTGTAAGGATGGGTGTTCGAAATAACAATAGATGTGTTGCTTCGAGTACTGATTTAATAATAATAATCATAGTATTACAAACTTACTCTAGGTATTTATACTTACATCTACACCACAGATAATTAAGAGATGATTTCCAGGATAAAAGCTATCCTATGTCCTTTCCTAGGTCTCAAATTATCTTCGAATACATACAAAAACTAATTTTTTTCTCTTTATAATATTAGTAAAGATTGTAATGTGTAAAACAGACGCACACGGGAGAGAAACCGTTCGCGTGTTCTCTGTGCGATAAACGGTTCACGCAAAGCAACAGTATGAAGCTCCACTATCGCACCTTCCATCTCAAACAGCCGTATCCTAAGAGGTAAGCTAGTTTTGCACCTGGTTTTGCTTGCGTTAAAGTTAAATATCATCGATCAAAAAAGTGCTATAATTATATATATACCAATCCCATGCAAAAGTTCTCTTAAAACTGTCACCGATTGTGTTTAGGTAATTGTTCTAGTTGATATAAATATACAATGTAAATTGAACCTTAAATGCAATGCTTAAAGTTGTTTAAAAAAAATTAAAGCGCGTTCAAAATATGTTCAAATGAGCGTTCATTTGTTGAGAACATTTTTATCGCTGATTGTATGTATATCTAGAATTTTTTTGATCGATGTTAAAGAAAAATATACGAAACTGCTTTGTTTGAACGGGCGATTAGAAATATATAGAAATAATCTATCCGTATAACAAATTCCATCCAAATTCGTTCAGCCGTTTCAACGCGAAGGTGCACCAGAACAAGCTAATCTATGGAGCTAAAGGTATTTATAAAAATCGATGTGTGTATGTTCCCTATAGACTCTAAAACGGCTGGAGCGGTTTTGATGAAATTTTCTAGCAATCTTCAGATTACATCGTAATTTTTACATTACTTACTACTATTAACACCATAATTGTTTTTTTAACATAGTACTGTAAAACCCAAGTAGATTTCTTAAGACGTTTAAAGCCCAGTTACCTGCATTTGTCCAATATGGTGGACTCTAACCTTAAAACATATGAGAAATTCCTGTAACAAACAATGGAAACTCAAGGGCTGAATACTAACAATAATTATTATATGCATATCTATGAATGAAAATTGTTAGGCACAAGGGTGTGACCTTATCCATTTCGGAAGCCAGGACTGTTTTAGATTTTTTTTTAGTGAAAATCTCAATGTTCAGGGCTCGAATCTTCCCCCCCAACGTGCGTTCACCTTGTCGTGGTGGGGGGGGGGGGCTCAGTAGTGCCCGGCAACCCAACCGGGCGCGAAGCTAAGAAACGCACAGGGAGGTTGCCCACTTCGTTGGGCGGTGGGAGGTGGCCCTCTTCGGGGGGGCGGTGTACCTTGGCAGACCTGCCGTCGGGGCGTCGTAGTTGAATGCGTAAGCGATCCTGCGACGCCCCATTAAGACGGGGGAAGGTTTTGTTGGGTTTTAGTGGGTAGTACTGGCTGTATTACGCCGGTGAGTCCCACACGTCGTGCGTAAATGCATTTCCCAACGTTAGGGCTCGAATCTTGCTTTTTATAAGTAAGCTTATAAATGAATCCTTACACGAACGAGGCACAGCTAATTTGTATATAAAGTATAGATAGATCATAATAGATACGGTTTTATTTAGATAATCTAGTCTTTTAATAAAAGATTACACATTTTTGAAGTTATACTTCTTTTGGCACGTTTGAAAAAAAATATGGGAGTAGAATTTTTAGGACGCGCGCGCACACCGACAGCCAAAAAGCGACATGATGAAGTTAGCTGCATTCCTTTTACAAACAGAAAGTTGTGACATACGCAATGAAATATTTTAGCTATTTTTGTTCTGTTACGCCAAAGAAATATAACTTCTTACGTGAGTACATAAGTAGACACATGTTATTTATTTAATTTTTGTTAATCTTTAATTTATTACAGAAATAGAAGAAAAAAGAAGGATGATCAAAAGAAAAGTATGTCAGAAGACAGTTGTAGTGAAGAGCCTCAAGAACAAAAGGAATCTAAAGAAGCGGGAATCGAACCCGCACTCGCACAGGCAGAGAACAGTGACATTAACTATTTGACACTCGGCTACCAAAAATATTAGGTTTAAATAAAAGGTACTTATGAATAATTATAATTGATAAATATTTTATAGATTCAAGAATGGGAAAGAAAGATTGAGATTTTTTTTAGTTTTTATGTTGATTTTATGTAAATAGATATTGGGATTGAAAATATTGTTATTGGTGTTTTACTCAGACTGAAGTGTTCAATGCAATTCTCATGTAAATGGCTTCAAAGCGTGCCAGTTGAGCGCAGATTATATCGCCAATGTCACGTAGAATGGAGAAGATATGAAGGAGATTGGTCGGTTAAATAAGATTAATAAAACTATATTAAATTACATAGGTATAATGTGTGGATTTAGACTAAAGAGTGATATAGATGGAGCCCGCCAAAACGTTACGTTAAAAATAGTAGCGAGATTTGCTGTTTATGTTAAATAAATAAAAAAATAACCTATGTGCTATTCCAGACTATAATCTATCTCTGTGCCAAATTTTAACCAGATTCGTTCAGCCGCTCTGGCGTGATTGAGTAACAAACATCCATCCATCCAAACTTTCATATCTATACTAATATTATATGTAAATGTGGTTTATATCCCTTGAGAAATGATAAATTCATCATACAACCAAATTTCATCTAAATCGGTTCAGCGGATTAAGCGTGAAAAGGAAACAGACAGACAGATTCTTTTATACTATATTATGGCGACAGTCCAAATTCAATTCCGCCATTTTGAATCCCATTCTTTATCTGAAGGGGTTATTTATATTAATTACAAACAATACAGAATGTTCTACATATTTATTATTAAGTCCAACACTTGTACTTACAATATTTTGTCATTAATCTATTGATATGGCATTATTGATTATAAGATTTATTAAATATATTGTGGTTTTATTTGATAGAATCCTAATTATTTTGTTTAATCATTAATATACGAAATAAATTAAACTATCGTTCCTTCATACTTTCAGCTTACCATGGAACTAGATGGTGCGGTGTGTTAATGTCCCAACATATTTATATTATTATAAAATATGCTCTCTGAGGCAGCAGGTAACAAAGCCAACTTTCCACCTCCGAGCTACAGCTACAGTTTTCTGACAGAAAAATCCTGTAACTATTAAGCCTGACACAGGAATCGAATTGAACACTTCATAATCTGCAGTAAAAATCTAGTTACTGAATACTGATCTAAATAATAGATTAATGATGATGATTGCTAGTGTGAATCACATTTTTCATGACTTATATCATGGGTTTTAAAATAAAAAACTTCTTTTACATATATTTGTGGATTTTGAAAATTAAATTGTGTTTCTCATTTTAGCGTCGATTATTTTGTTCCATTTAAAATAATAAATAATTTTTAGTTTTTTTTTATTTGTTTTAATATTAATCTGCGATTGGCTGGTTTTAATGAGATTGGTCGCCGTGGGCAAAAATCAGTCAGCAACACATTATTATTATTAAAAAAATATTTATATAGGTACTTGGATATTGAAAAAATAAAAAAGAAAACTCATAAAATAATATGCATGTCATTATATTCACAGAAACAAATAACATTTTATACATACACAAAACTAGATCAATGAAAATACATAGCTCTGTAAACCCTTAATACTAATATTTAAAAAGTTCAAAAATTATTTTTCAGAAGAAAATCTAAAATTTGTGTTTATAACATTATTATTTAATTAAGACTAAAAGGTTTCACATGTGCTCACTTTCATATGTTCAGAATGAATTATTTTAATATATAAAAATCGATATTTAATTCACTACTAAAATAAAATATCGATACATATCCATTGATAAGCATTTTTATGGCTTTGGCCAAAAAAATCATGTACATATGTATATTAAATATATATATATTAGTTAAAATTTTCTTATTAGAAATTCGCAGAATGCATAAGCTTTAAAAAATAACATAATTTTGTGAAACAATCATTTTTTCCATACAGAATATAATACTCCACATGGAGGAATACCCCCGCGGAAAAATTACAGTCCTTATAGAACATGACATCAAATATACAATAATTAAATCGTATTACACTTTAAATAAAACTATCTCTTCGGATTTTTGCCCGACGTCGCTTTACAGCAATCATGGTTACGGGAGAGACTAAGGTTTTAGACGTCTCAAGTCATATTTATTACAGATAAAAAACCTCAATAAAACCGAAGACGCCGTAATTGGTGCCGCCAACGGTAGCTGATCACCTAGCTGGGCCATCCTCAGGGTAACTGAGGGTCTCACCCTGAGCACCCAGGACAGCACCTCCTCACCTTCAGTACCTGAAGCTGGGCTGCCAGATCGTATAATTGGAACACAAAAACGTGTATAATTTGGTTGTCTTATATATCCAGTGATTGCCTTGGATTATTGGATACAACAATAAAAATCTAAATCGAATAACAAAAAATGTGTAAAACGATTTTAGATATACTTTATGTAATTTTTGAATCTGTTATATTGTGATATCATTTAACGTTTTTCGCAGCAGGTGTCAATAAGTAACCTAAAATTATTTAAGTTGGTACAAAAGTATATGTATTAATTTATTTTATAGGTGGTACTGTGGAGTAACCTTTTTTTCCGTTGTCAATTTTAAATTATTATCACACACTATATCTCAGCAGTTTTGAAAATCCACGGAAAGAAAACCGCGACAAAATCCAAAAAGATTTATTCTTATTTAAAATGTCATATTCACATCACATTATAAAGAAGATAAGTGATACTAGAAAATATTAATCTTTAATTACCAATGAACGAAGAGTATCGATACGGCCCCATTTCCGCGCCCGAATAACGAAAGAAAATATATCATACGATTTGACCTTTTCTTTATATATTCTATAAATAATTAAATAAATATGTTGTGACATTAACACACAGCACCATCTAGTTCCATGGTAAACTGCGAGGCCTGTGTTATGGATACCAGATAGCTGATACACTACATATACGTATATAAGTAACTTTAAATACATAAATATTATAAATATAAACACCCATGACTGGAGTACAAACATTCGTGCTCATCACACAAATGAATGCCCCCAGCGGGACTCGAACTCGCGACCGCTAACACAGAAGTAGGGTCACTACAAACTGAGCCAAACGTGTCGTACTGAAAGTAGACTGTGTGTCTGATGAGATTAATATATTCATCTTCCTACTCTTGTAAAAGCTCTCATTAGTATATTATTATCTTATCAGGCACACAATCTACTTGTGGCGAATCACTAAAAGAGTTTTTATATGTCGTTTCGTTTCGCCGATTAAGAAAGTTAATTTTATAATGATATATTATGTAATGTAATATTATCAAAATTCAATTCAAAATATTTTATTCAGCATTAAATTATTACAATTTTTTACTGAACGTCATAAGTCTACTACCAGTTCGGAAAGAAGAAGCCTCAGACCTGAGAAGAACTGGCGAAAGAAACTCAGCAGGTTTACACGTTATTAAACTGGTGTAAATAATATTCTATTGGAGTTGGTTTTAATTTTTCCCATACTCTAACTACTTTCAAAATATGTAAAAAAAAGATCAAATCGTGTGACATAATTTTTTTCATTATTCTGAGGCGAAAAATGAGGCCTTATCGATATTCTTCCTTTCAACACTAAATATTTAGTATGAAACACAACCTAGTATTACTTAACATACTGTACCGTACCATATAAATGATGGTAACGCGATTCAAAAACCTAGTGAAGCGGGTTCAAATACCATCGCATCTCTAATATTTTCATGTGCGAATCGTTTCCAACATGATGACCACTTGCCTAACGGTGAAGGAGAACATCGTGAGGAAACCTGCATGTCTGAGAGAACCTAGCAGGTTTTCGAAAGACGTGAAGTCCGCCAATGGTATGATTCTTGATTGAACTATGGTATGATTCTCCTTGTATTGACGTTAAAAAAGGGCTAAATATCTAATATATGTATAAATATCTCGTGTTCGGTGTTTGTAGTCGCAGTCCTCCGAAACGGCTTGACCGATTTTAATGATTTTATTTTTTATATTTGGTAGGTATGAGAATAGGTCGTAAAGTATTTTCCACCCTCCTACCCCCCACCCCCATTTTTTAATCGCAATTTTAATATTTTTGTATGAACAATATTATATAAATACATAGCTGTTTGAACGCGGGCATAGCCGCGGGTTTTACTAGTACATATAAATGAAGTCTAAGAGTGTGAACATATTTTCCAAAATAATTGGATATTTCCCAACCTTCAATTTTCTACTTTCCCGAACTCCTCCCACTATTTCGACCATTATACAACGTTATTCTATTATATTAAGATTGATCTACTTATCTACAATTGATATAGCTCAAAGAAAACCGAAAACCATTAAATACGCACGTAAGAAGTTATACTTCTTTGGCGTAACAGAACAAAAATAGCTAAAGATTTCATCCCGTATGTCACAACTCTCTGTTTGTAAAAGGAATGCAGCTAACTTCATCATGTCGATTTTTGGCTGTCGTGAGCGCGCGCATCGTAAAAATTTTACTCCCACATTTTTCAAACGTCAAAAGAAGTATAACTTCAAAAATGATATATCACATATTATTCCATAGTTTTTTTAGCGATACCGATTGTAGAAAGTAAATTTATCGAAGAGAGAAGATATAACTTAGCTACTTAAATATTTATATAGACATTATAAACGCTATACAGGGTGCTAAAACAAAGCTTACACGCTATATATTTAAAGTTAATAGAAGTCTAACTCTTTTCTTCTTCTTTCTTCTTCCCTTCTGCTGTCTGGTCTGGTCTTCTCCCTAATAGATCTCGCTTTGCGGAGAAATTTCCCGACTGGAATTAAGAATAAATTTTAAGCTTTAAAGTAGGTACATTTAGATTTTATTGTGCGGAATCCTGATGTTTTTACTGGAATAAAAGTAGCCAAGTTAATCCTTATAACATCAACTACCTGCCAGTGAAAGTACCGTCAAAATCGGTCCAGCCGTTTCGGAGATTAGCCGGAACAAACAGACAGGCAGACTAAAATGTTAAAAGTCGTGTTTTTCTTATAAATACCGTATATAATTCCATAGGCATTTGGTAAAAAGCTGTTATTTTAACATTACAAACAGACACTTCAATTTTATTTATCTGTATAGATAGTATAAAACAAAGTTGATATTAGCATGTCTATATATTCTTAACTAGCTGTGCCCGCGGTTTCATCCGCGTTAAATTAGTTTCATTATAAACATCAGTTTTACAATAATGTATAAAAGTCTGCCCGATTTGTTGACATTTATGATTACTGCTCCGCTCACTTGAGTAGTAGCATAAAGATATATAGCGTTCCTCAATAAACGGGCTATCTAATACAAAAAAAGTTTTTCGAATCTGATTAGTAGTTCCCGAGATTAGCCTCTCTATAATAATCATCGTTGACGTCACATGGGATGCTCTTCTATACTTATATTATACAAGTATGATTTTTTTGTTGGTTTGTTTGTTTGTACCTAATAAGCTCCGAAGCTACTGGACCGATTTATATGAAATTTGATAAGAAGATAGTTTGAGACAATGGGCCCTTACTGGATAAAAACTATGCTACGTCCCTACATAGCATAGTTTTTATCCCGAAAATCATTCCTTACGGGGGTGAAAATAGGGATGAAAATTTTGTATGGGGAACCAACTTAGGGTCGAACCCGATCGAAACAAGAATGAGTTCGCTAGTAGTCTATACTTTTACCGCGGGAAAATATCTCATTTCTGAGAAAAAATACAAAAACTTCATTGTAAGAGTATACTAATATGTAAAGCCTAAGAATTTGGTTTTTGGTCATCTGAACGCGGGCGAAGCCGCGGGAAATGCTAGTAATTAATAAAAAATGTCGTGCTGAACGAAATATTACACTCGTTTCTATCTCTCATTCACTAAGCGTGCCGATTGTAAAGAGCGATAAAGAACATCGTTCTAAAAATCTCTAATATAAATATATAATACATATTATGTATGTATGTACATAAATCCACATACCGATTCCATATCGCTAGAGTCAGTGTCGGAGGACGAGTCGGTGTCCGTGTCGCGGTAATGTCCGAGTCCGGGCAGCACGCCCAGCACGCGCATTGAACCCGTGCCCACCGCCGCGGGTATGCTTACACTGGAAATGGTTAGATAGTAAAGAAAAATTGACTAGTTTCTATACAAATCTCTTGTAATAGCTTCAAAGCGTGACAATTGAGCACAGATTATTTTAAATAAAACAATCTCTTCGGATTTTTTCTCGGATTTATTTAAATTTTTGGTTCCCGACGTTTCCAATCATGGTCACGGGAAAGACTGAACAAAAACCAAAATAAATCTACAAAAAAATACCAAAAATATAGTTTTATTAATTGTTAATCTTACCATAACGAAATATACTCGTAAAAGAACAGTTAATTAAAATTATTTAGTAAGAATAGCTTACTTGTTATTATGGACAATGCCATTTTTGGGGGGAGATGCTTTGTCTTTTTCTTTCTCTCCTTCCATTTCACTCGCCTTTCTTTTTCTCACCACCATCTGTAATTAAATACATATTAACATACTTTTATCAGATTACTTGTCAGTACAGGTGCCTTAACCTTATATAATAAATATGTATAATATTATCTTATATAATAAATATGTATAATATATACGAGTATATCTTCTTTACATAGTATAAAACGCAACGAATTTAATGCAGTTTTTAACAATAAATAGAGTGATTCAAGAGAAAGGTTTATATGTATAACACATGCATATTATAGTACAGAAAAGCCGAGGAATTCAAAGATTTGTATTTATATACTAACCGTTAAAGCGTACCTAGGGACGAACCCGACTGAAGCGAGGGTGAGTCGGTAGTAAATAATAAAAATGAGCACAAAAAACATTTTTTGAAAATAAGACTCAAGGAATATATTAAATTAATGAAGGTAGGTTTGGATTAAGGTGAAAGTTTTTCATGTTCGAAACTGGAAAGTAAAAAAATGAAAGTTGGTTCCAGAGTTCATTAACTCATATCACAATTCACATCCCGTCAGTGTCACTAAGGGTTCACTATAGTAACACTATGTTTTATTATAATACTAGCGTATCACCCTTGCTTCGCTTTGTACATCACCCCTAAGTATGTTTAACTTTCTCCATACCAAATTTCATCTAAATCGGTCCAGTGGATTAATTGTAAAAAGGTAACAGACAGACAGAGTTACTTTTGCATTTATAATATTAGTATGGATTCTTTAGCTATTTTAATTATCACAGTAATGAGTATTCTATAAATATTTTTATACTATTTTAAAACATTATTGTTTGGCTTCATGTTTAGTTCTATGACAATCCTTCTATATTATTTGTATTATTATGAAAATACGGATGGATAGGTATATGTAATATACATCAACTAACCCCTTGTAATTTATTCTTCTGTGATTGAGCTGGAGTTTGTGTAGAGCGAGCGGGGGCCAACTGTGCCCTGAGACGAGTCAACTCTTCACTCTCTGCTAGACTTGACACCCTCTCTCTGTAGCAACATAATTAATTAATAGTCTGACGGCAGGCTAAAGCAGACCACAACAAGGTGTTGCTCCCATAGTCCACTCTGGTACCAGATAAGCACCAGGAGCAACCCACATGGCACATCACCCAGCGAAGTGGGCCTCCCAGTGTATCTTTTGGCTTCACGCCTGGCTGGAATGCCGATCGCTGATGAGCCCCCTCTACCATGAAAGGGCGAACAAACATCAGGAGGGAAACATGCTTCAAAGCGAGTTGAGCACGATTATATCGCCAATGTCACATTGAATGGAGAAGACACTAAGGAGTGGCTTTGTCCAAGTGTAAAGTGACACTTACACTAGTGTAAAATGACACTACATTACTGACAGATACTTACATGTTTCATTTAGATTAATGAGTTTCTATGGCATTCTTTGAAGCCATTAACAAAAGATTGAATGAGTCTCAAATTATCTGATGAGATTCATGCACCACCTATTGTGCATAAAAGTGCTACATCTAAATCACCCTGATATAATATCGCACATACAAAAAAAATTGCTAACTCCTGTACTCCTAGAAGCCATTGAACATAAGAATTGAATTGAAAACAAATTCAAATTTAATTATTTTTTTTCATTCAGCATTTTATTACAATTTTTTTACTAAATGTCATTAGTCTATCACCAGTTCGGACAGAAAAGCAGTTGGAGAAAATGACACATTTCTTATGTATAATATTTGCCAGATTTGTTCGAATACACAATTCTCCATAGAAATAATTATTTTCCTAGAAAAATAAGTAACTTGCATAATTAGATTTCTATGTTGTAAGTATGGAGATACCGTATAACTATAATTAAATTTAAAAATAAATATGTATTTACTAACCTAAACTCTTGCATTTCTTTCTTTTCTTCAATATGTATCTGTTGAGCCACTTCAGCTTTGGTTCTTTCCACCAAATCTAAGAAACCAACTTCATCATCATCTAGGCCCCGAATCATATTTTCTATAAAACAATGTTACATAAATCATATTTTTTTCTACAGCTAAAAACTAAAATAAAAAGTATACTTAAGTATACATTTAAAAAACAATTTAAAAAAAAACTATTTACAACACATATTTTTAACTAATTTATGAATATATAAAAGCTTATTTTACTTACTAAGTTTGTGTGCCTCTTCATATTCTGCATCTTTCTTCAATCTCTGTTCTTCCAGCCGTTGATATAGTGGCCTTGTGTCATATGGCTCTTCTGGAGCCTCTGGAACATTAAAAAGAACAATCGATTACATATTAATAAAAAGTAAACTGAATTTTATATAGACTTAATTAGAAATTGTATGTATAATAACTAACATTTATGTAAGTGTTTAGTCTTTCATATTATACAATTCTAAAGTGCCTAATAATTATGTAAAGACTAAAGATTCTTGTTAATCTGAAGAAAAAGGTATTAATTCTTCACAATCTTACTGTGATAATTACAATGTTTGATGTATTGTCAACGAATTATATTACCATAATATCATAAACATTGATAAAGTGTACACTGAGAAATGCTAAGGTGTTTTTTTTTAATTTTTCGGGGAAGTTAAGGAAAATTATTTATAGTCAGACGTTATAATATTTAAGTTTATAAAAAGGAACTGTATATTTATATTTATAAAATTATAATCACAAGTTATTAACCTTTAACGTACGTTTACTAAACGATTACCTTTTGGTTGATCATCCGAGCGTACTTTTTCCCATTCCTCTTGACGCCGGCGTCTCGCTTCTATAATTTCGGTCTCTGATATAAATCCGGAGCTCATTTTATTGATCTTAAGAAGAATTACGCGTAATTTTCACGTTTTGATATAAAATAGAACCTGATAAAATATGCTTTGACAGAAGGAAAATCACACTTTTTGACAAAATTGAAACTGTCAAATTTGTTTTACAGTGTTGCTACTTAATAAAATTAGGTTAAAAAAATATGACACTATAATACTGCCGGTCGTGATGACTTTGAACAGATTTTATCTAATACCTTTAAACGAGTAATTCTTGTATATTTATTTATTTATTTATATATATCGGCAATCTCGGAAACGGCTTTAACGATTTCGCTGAAATGCATGTAGGGTTTTCGGGGGCGAAAAATCAATCTAGATTAGTTTTATGTCTAGGAAAACGCGTCTTTTCGAGTTTTTATGCGGTTTTCTTTCGCATTATTCAGCTCAGCTAATTTTGCAGACTCGGGAATAAGCATTGTAGTCAAGCAGCCACGGCGCAAGATTGACAATCTCAGGTGTCCAGGTTTGAATACCGATCCCGATTACAAAGTTTTTCTTTTGTTTTTTTTTGTTTTTAAGTCAATTTAAAAGAAAAATGTATTTTTGGTCAAAAACTAGATTATCACTAAAAATACGATATAACAAAAAATAACTAAGTACAAGCGAAGCTCGGTCGCCGAGATACCTACTATGTTTTTATAAATAACAGTTACTTTTCATGCAACATAAATCTGTCTTTGCAATACCTGTATTTTACTGATTTCTTTAGATTTAAAACGAAGGTTCAAAAAGTTTTTTAAAGCTTGTTTAGTTTTTTAATTTTACTTGATTTTAGATTGTTTCACTGTATTGCTAGAGCTTTAAAGTTCTAAAGTAGCCTCGAAAGAGAATAGTAATAAAAAGTCAGGAGAATTTTATTGCAGATATGTAACAATTACTTATAACTTAACTTTGCTATTAATTTTTTAGCTCAAGCTTAAAGTAAATGGCACTCGAGTCATTAGGAATCTCAATAAGTCAACTCTCATAAAAAACATTTTTTAAGTAATTAATATTATATTTCATTGAATAAATAAAATTAAAAGATTATTATTGCGAATTTTTTTTTTATAATATGAACATCTTTTATTTCATTGTGAAATATTAATGTTTCACAATTCGCAGGCGGATCAATTAATTAAAACTCGAATAGGGCTCCATGCCTATGAATGGTTTCGTCAGTGTCATCAAAAAGGTACTTATCACAAATTATACATAAGCTTGAACAATGTACAAGCTTTTTTAAAGAAAGAAAATTGTTGGAAGAAAATCAAATATTCGTTAACATTATATAATATACCTACATAAATATTTTTAGGTGATTTTGCAATGTAAAATAAAAATAATATCCCTAGGTACGTTTTAACGGTAAGTGTAGAATAAACTATACATATAATATATGAACAATGCACATACTGATACATAGGTATAAATAAAAAAATATACATCCCTTACTTGAGAAATGATTGATTCCCCATTCAATCTTCCACCTCACTTTTCACTCCCTTATATATATGTTTTCCGGGATGAAAACTATTGTATGTCATTTCCAATGCCTCAAACTATTTCCATACCAAATTTCATCTAAATCGGTTCAGCGGATTAAGCGTGAGAAGGTGATGGACAGGTATAAAGGCAGACAGATAGACAGAGTTTCTTTCGCATTTAATATTAGTATGGATATATAAAGCTGGCTTTTTTTGTGGTGCTGGTCTATCATCATCGGCTTGGGCTGAACGTTGATAAGTCACTGTCAGTCAGTGAATCGCGACGTTATCTTTAATATAAAAATAGTTATTGCGAGTGTACCTTAGGAGACTTTTCTGTAGACTTTTTTAAGATCTACAATTTTCTAGTACATTGTTTTGATGTATCTCTTAAGGTTTAATAAACTATACAAATTTCTAAGGGTGACTCGATAGAACCAGTTATTGTGTTTTCCCGTAGGAAAGAAAAAAAAATCCTAAATGTTGACCCGAGTAATAAGTTATTACTTAACCAAATTTCGTTAAAATCTGTTCATTACTTTATGCGTGAAACGCGCACACACAAACAGACAAAAAATTTAATAAATATTATTTTTCGGTCTATATTGTGTACAATGTACATAATACGTTACAGTCATTGTTTTAAAAAAATATTCCATGTACAGATATCGCTAAGTTACAGCTTTATTATAGTAAATAGACTATTAATTAAATAATTAAATAATTTGATTCAATTATTTTATATAATACAAACATTGACTTAATATTAATGAGATTCTTTATTTTACAGGTACACTAGATTGAGGAATTATTTTTAATGTTTCCTTCCTTTAACATTTCATTGATTTCATCTTCGCTCTTTCCTTTTGTTTCTAATAAAAATATTATAGTGTATATAGCACCGAGTAAATTTATAATTCCATAGAATATAAATGGCGCGTACGGTCCAAATCCATTTACTAAAGGCGGGTATGTCGTGACCAGAGTGAAAGATAGAAACCATGCAAAAGTGATGATAACACCCATAATCTTTGCTCGTATCTAAAAAAAAATTAAATTTATTTCGGAAGTCATATTACATACACTATTATGTGTTACGAATTTATTGCCGGATCCACACGATTGCAAAGCCTCGACAAACCTTCACAAATTCAAAGATGTGGAGAAGTCGTTTTGATTGGTTTGTGCAGGTTTTCCAGCACTTGTGTTCGTTCCGATCGTGTCGGTTTTTGCGCACATATTAAAAGAAATTGTGGCAAGTGTTTGTGATGCATCGACACTTTTGTGCGTTTCTAGAGATTTTAAATTTGTGGCAAATGGCATGCGTGTGGATCCAGCATGTAATCTTGTCCCTTTTTAGAAATCCGTTAAAAAGAAACGGAATATTATTTAACATTAAATTAGATTTACCTGAAAACTTAACATTTCAGTCATGATGATATACGGTAGAGATGATACGCCACCCCCATACATAGCGACAGCTACCATCATTGCTGTGACCGGCAACCACGCTGGTATATCAGTACCTCGCTCTTGTAATATCATGAGTACCGCTATGAGGATCATTGAGCATGCCGATATCAAAAATGACAGGCAAAGAAGAGTCTGAAACAGATTATTTAAAAAACTTTCTTCTTACATTTACCTGCTTATTACGTCTACACTAAAAATCGGAAAAGTTCTTTTTTTTTAAGTTTTTACTTTATCCCAAAAAATAAATGTGAGCCAAAATTAATATCTTCTTTTCTATCTATTTGTGGCAGAGCTGGTTTCAAAATGTTGACTACTGATACTGGTATATTTTCCGATAAAAATGTAACTAAAGATGAATATGTGACATTTTAAATCTTTTCAGATTTATTCGCGGTTTTTTTTTAATTTTTGGTTCCCGATGTTTCGAATGCTTTACAGCAATCGTGGTCACGAGAGAGACTGAAAAATCCGCGAAGAAATCCGAAGAGATAGTTTTATTTAAAATGTCAAATATTCGCGTAAATCTAAGTAAGTATTATGGATACATATGTGACTTTTCTAGTTCACCCAAATAAATATTGCAGATGAATGAGACTGCTATTTACCTTCCTTCCAAATCGTTCCACAATTCCAGCTAACAACACAGAACCGATAATCGATACTATTGGAAAACTCAGTGTCTGTGTGTCCGGATCTATTTCAAACTTTACCCCAGTAGAGACTAAGATAGCAGAAGCGTATGTCAAAATGGTGTATGTTCCATTTAATCCGTGGAAAAGAAAAGTTCCTATAATGAGTAGGAACGCACGACGCCAGGGTTTTTCTTTTACTGAAATCACAACAATAGTAAATTTATACTTGGGCAAAAATTATTTATTATTATAAATTGCAAAAATGTGTGTGTGTGTGTGTGTATGTATGTGGTATGTTTTTTATTTACTTCCTTTCCTATGTTGGAAATTTAGAATGGAGATAGGAGATAGGAATATGCCAATCTAGGATAGATTGGCATATTTTTTTTGTTTTCGCTGGGGAAACCCATCATGGGGATTCTGCCGGCCGTCAACGGATAGGGTACTGTGAGACTCCTACTCACTAAAACCCACGGCGAAACTCGTCGCTGCAGTGCAATGGGACGTTGTAGGATCGTTTGCGCACACACCACAACACCCCCGCGGAAGTCCTAGATTGGTCCATAGTTTATTTTCGAAGAACTACAACACGCGCAGAACCACGCGCAAGGCTCTATAAATTATGTATGGAATGGAAAAAATAGAAAAAAAATAGTAATATAAAATAGGAATTATGATTTTGTATCAACATTTATGTTTGGGAACTACTATATACTCCTTACTGCGATAAGGTAAGGAACTTGGGTCTCATTATGGATTGCAACATGACTTGGACACCTCATATCAATGAAGTTAGTAGGCGTATGCACTTCACTTTCCATTCTCTTAAGCGTCTCCAATATTTTCTCCCCTTCAAAACCAAAGTTATGCTTGCGCAATCTCTTCTACTACCCATACTCGACTACGCCGATGTATGCTATTTAGATGTGACAGAGGAGCTACTGAATAAACTTGAGCGTCTCCAAAATCTCGCCATACGCTTTATCTATGGTCTACGCAAGTATGATCATGTCTCCGAATTCCGAGCTCAACTTCAATGGCTCCCTATCCGCCTTCGCCGTGATATGCACATCCTTTTGTTTCTATTTAATATTCTTCATAATCACAATATCTCTTCTTACCTTCGTTCCCGGTTCAACCTGCTTCCGACTCCTACACGTTCCAGGCGGCCCTGCATCACATCGATGCTTGATATACCGACAAGTAACACCAAGTTTTTACAAAACTCTTTCTCGGTACGTGCTGCAGTGTTATGGAATAAACTTCCTAAAATCCTACAGGAGAGCCCTTCTACAGCTGTGTTTAAAACGAACATAAAAAAGCATTTTCTAGCTCAATCTTGAACAATATATTTTTCTGTTTAACATTTATTTGCATATGTATGTTTATGTATATATTTATATGTACGTATATATTTATATAGTTTTAGTATGTATTAGATTACATGTTTATATTATATATCTATAATTGTATTTATGTATTTATGTTATATAATATGTATATAATTAAAATATGTATATGTTTTTTATATTTTCATATATGTATATTAATGTATTCATATATTTAACTTTTATTTATGTGTCATACTTATATACTTTACTATAACAAAAATTCTGCACTTTCTCTTTCTGTCCCGCTATTTAACACTATTTCCCACATGCATGGGTTGACTGGAAGAGATCTCTTATAGAGATAAGTCCACCTTTGTCCACGTCACTTTCTATGTATTTTGTTTTTTATAATTTATTTGTGCAATAAAGAATATATATATATATATACGATATATTTTACATAAATTAAGCAAGCTATTATGTTTATTTTTTTAAAGTGATATTTCATTAGAATTTAAATGGCCACATGATTTTTGAATTAAATTAGATTAAATACTTGTTGTTTGTACTGTTTGAATGGTTTAGAAACGCATAAAAGACAAATGTTCAAGGAAAAACTTTTTTATGCGCCAGGAACTTTTGTAGGCGTATACAAAATAACTTACCAGAGTTTCATCACAATCGGATCAATGGCTTAGGGAACACGTAGAGGACAAACATACGAACATAATTTTTTATTTATAGAGATAGAAGATAGAGTGGGTACTTACAAATTGTAGCAATTGTCAAGTTAGGCTTGGACTTAAAACGTTCATTTTCGCTTTTCATGGTTTCTACGATATTTTGAACTATTTTATCATCCTTTTTTAAGCCTCTTAGAAAAGCTACCGTCTTCGTAGATTCCTGTAATATAAAATAAGCGGTAATTTTTAAATCCATATCGAGAGAATCGATTAGTAGTTACATGTTGTATTATTTGTATAACTTTATATACCTAATTATTATAATCTTTTGTTCTGTCGAATAAACCAAAGTACTTTAGGTACTTTAAACACATGATAATATAAAAAATGATATGTTTTTAATTATTTTTAATTATATATATTTATATTTCTAAAGAAAAATGTGAATGTTCGTCTATATTTTCTGCCATATTACGTATATAGATGAAGATTTCCCTATTATATACTCGCATTATAGAATAAACGTACCTCAATTTTGCCTTGTTTTATTAAAAAAGCAGGTGATTCAGGAGCTTTAAAGAAAAGGAGAGCGGTTATAATAGGAATCCCCAGAACACTGATGATCACTGTGTAGTAATCAAAGTTAGCTCCGATTAAGTACATCACTAATATTCCTACGGTCTGTATTAATTGGGGAAGTGTTCCAAGTATCCCTCTAATGTTGTCTTGGCTTATTTCTTTGACATACATTGGTACAATATTGAAACATCCCCCTGCCGCTAAGCCCGAGAATAATCTGGCAATTATCAAGGTTGTGGTGGAAGCGTACGAGAGTTTAATTATCCAGGATATCTGGAAGGTAAATAAAATTACAAAATAATCGTATCTACATAGTAAAAACAGTAAAAAATTTCTTTTTGTTTTTTAATATTTTTTATCTACTCGTAGCTTTTAATGCACAGACTCGTGCTGTAATATTCACCTTTTGGTTAAGTTTGTTTATATATTTATTATATTTTTTTATTTGAATGTTGTGTACAGATTAATAGGACAACAAATTTAAAATTATATTTCTAGTTTTTAATACGTAGATATAATTTTTTTAATTTGTTTTCTGTTTCTGTACCTAAATAAATAAAATAATATAAAATTAAGGCTATTATGTTAATGAAAATTAATAAGTATTTTCTTCGGCGCGTCTTTCAAATTTTGATTTGGATCCATAAAAATAAGCAATAACGTAATATTGAAAATTATAATAGTATGAACATTTGTTTACATACATATATGATCTAGATTCTAGATATTACTTACAGCTTCAGGAACAGCAACGAGAATGATACCAGTTTTCCTTCCATATGTATCCGCAATGTACGAATATAACGATACGGCAAATATGGCGGACATACTCATCGAACTAGCTATCCAGGCGATTGAGTTATCAGACAAGGAATACCCAGTCGGTGAGTTTTCCGATTGTAGGATTTTAGTAGTGGGGGATATCCAGCCACATTCAAATCCATAAGCGAGAAACGTGATGTTTGCTGTAACAATTTGGGCAAATGCTTTAGGCTTAGGTACGATGGTTTCCCGAAAATTTTCCAACATAATTCAAATTTTTCGAATTCTCGATTATCTATTTATTATATACTAATATTTAAAGAGGAAAGATTTTTTGTTTGATACTATCTAACTACTAAACGGGTCTCAAACTATCTTTTTACCGAATTTGATCTAAATCGGTTCAGTAGATCCAGAGATAACAGCCAACACCGTCACAAACTTACAATTCACAAACTTTACCTCTTTTTAATATTAGTAAGATTCAGGTGTTCTTATTACAATTCATAAAATCATTAAATATTTAATTATTATGTACATTTTTTTATTTATTATTTTTACATAAATACATACCTATTACATCTTATCATATAATAAAATAAATATTTGAAATTTTTATCTTCCTTCCAGAATTACATCGACATGTTATTGTCGGTTTTTATATTTATAATATAAATAATTTCAAGATCTTTCAAAATAAGGAAATAAGCCTAATTAATAATAATTAATATATGTAGTTCAAAGCTAAAACTATAAAAGAGGCTTATATTTATAATAATTGATAAATAGCGACATTTTTAAATAAAAAAGCTAATATACTCGTACTTATTAGACCAATCGGAATCCGTTTATTTTTAAGAGAAAAAAAATAATATTAAAAACCTGAATTTTTATGATTTTAAAATGTTAGCAGGTATAGAAGGAATAGAAAGAATAGAAATTCGTAAAATGCCCCACATGCCCAGCTACCCCCGAGAAATGGGGGGACGCAAAGCGTTGAAAAATAGTTTTTTTCAATTTCCAAAACCAAATTTTTGTAAACTAATTACACCAATGTATTTTTCGGGGAAAAAACGAACAAATGGTGTCCTTAAAAGTTTTTAATTTGACGCTTATTTTTTATACAATGCCGCCGTAAGCATTCCAACTTTGCAATTTGACGAGTCGTGAAAAAATACTAAAAGTTGGAATTTACTTAAAGTATATCATCGTTTTTGTATTTTTTTATGCCATAAAATCTATTTATGATATTAGTTTTTCAAATTTATGGATATTTTATTAGTTTTTGATTTATTTTGGAGTTAATATTTATTATATTTTTTTTACTAAATTGTCTACGTCGATTTTTCCTGTATAAATTTAAGTAATATTTCTATAAGGAATTATGATAGTTTAAAAAAAATTTTGTTCATTTTTTACATTTTTGTATGATTTTTTAACAAAACTATGACTAAATTTTGTAAATATCAACTTATTAACCATACAATATCTTAGCATTTAATGGATGCACAGTAGATTAAAGGGTAATTTTATTTTAAGTAATATTTCTATAAAGATCTATGACTATCATAGTTTTTTTAATTTTTTTGTTAATTTTTTACATTTTTTGCTTAATTTATTTTTTATATATAAACGGGCTATCTAATGCAAAAAAAATGTTTGAAATCGGATGAGTAGTTCCTGAGATTAGCGCATTCAAAGAAACAAAAAAAAAACAAAGAAAAATCTTCGTAAATATAATTTTAATATAATTTTATAAGAAATAACATATATTAATATTAGAAAAAAGTTTGTAGAAAGTATCACAAATTCATACCCAAAAGCGCAAACGTCCATTGCAAGTAAGTATGTCCTCGCTTAAAATCTTTTTCATTACCCATTCTTAATATTCTCCTAAAAAGTACACTACTCTAAACTACTACTACTAAACTACACTAAGTGCTTTATATATTAAATTTAAGTACAATTTTTTTTTTCTATATTGTTTTATTGTTTCTTATCAATACTTGGCAAACATTTTCATATGTGATACGTCATTGCTATATAATCTTTTATATATACATTTAATATATATAATCTTTTATGGTATATAATATCTATATGAAGATCATAATACAGAGTGTTCTAACAATTATGAATAAACGTTTAATTTTATCCGACTATGCAAGAAAGGCGTTAATGTGTTTTGGGAAGTGTGTTTATATGCACCTATGTCCATACATATATTTATAAATTTAAATGTACTTCTTTAGTAGGCTATAATTAAATACACCAAAAAAGTGAGACTACGAAATAAAAAGAAAAACGAGACGAATAGTTTCTTAGAATTTTTTTTCAAATATATGATTAGTCAATTAAATACTATGTACTTTTATAAAACTTTTCTATGTTTTCTAAGTAATTTTGCATATTTTTTAAATTTCTTTTTCAGTTTTATGTCAAAGCAACACGAACAAATTATCAAATAAGATACCAATATTGAAGTGTTTTACTGAAGGTATTTTCTTTATTTCTTACATTTAGTTACTTTATTTTTTGTACTTCTCTATTACTTTCCTCTTTGATGTTTTATGTATCTTCTTTATGTGATTTCCCATACAAAGTTTCATCCCCATTTTCACCCCTTAAGGCATGATTTCCAGGATAAAGTATCCTATGTCGTTCCCAGGGTCTTAAACTATCTTCTTACCAAATTTTATCTAAATCGGTTTAGTAGAGAGAGATTACCCCTTACAATTTCACAAACTCACAAACTTTACCTCTTTATAATATTATGAGTAGTATAGATTTTATTAGTTTCTGATGACACTGCTACAAAATAAATGCCCATATTAATTCACTTGCAATAAAATTGTATAGTTTTAGTAGCAAAGTTTACAGGTACCACGATAATGTAATGCATACAGTATTCCAACTCGGGCCTGTCCTTGAAATAATTACCTACAGCCGAGCGGCACGTACCCACGCGACAGGGCTGCCCGCCGGCCAGTATTTTAATTTCATCTACCTACTTGAGTTTTTTTCTAGTTTTGTGATTTCAAATATTATGTATTTTATTTAAAAAATATTATTAGTAGATTTAATTAAAAAATCTCAAATTTATAAGGGTGGTATTTGACCCTTATAAATTTGAGATTTAAAAATATGTGCACCTCGACTGAGACATACGAAAAGCTTTATTGTTAAATTTAATAGTATAAAGAATACGCATTCGGATAAAATGTTTAATTGAAAATACTTTAATTTTTATTTTTAATTTAATTAATTAGTTTTTATTTTTAAAACATACGATGTCTCGATACTTTTTTGTTTGACATAATAGCGAATTTACGGGAGGAATAAAATGTTTATTTTTGTATCTAATTATAAAAGTTACATAACATAACTATCTTATAAAATTTTCGTTTCAAATTATACGATGTGGCAGCCCCGCACGGTTGTCTACCGAGTGTATACCGAACGCGATGCGCGTAGGTATAAATCGATTTCCGAACTTTTGTATGAAGATGGAATACTGTATGTAACATTACCGTGCAGGTACCTATACAAGTACATACAAGATAATTTCATAAAAATTTTAATGTTGCCTGTGGAATGAACGTTTAAATAACTAAGAGATAGCTCTATATATTGTAGGATATATTATAAGGCTATCTCAGAAAATTCAGAGTTCGTTTTTGTTGTTGTTGTTGTTTTTCGTAATTTTCTATACATATAATAAAATCTGAGTCGAATCTGTACATTAAATAGTTTTTGGAAAATCTTATTGAAATAGACGTTATTATCGATACAGAGGCTGACTCTATAGTTTTAAGACTAGAGCGAGAGTGAGTCGCTAATATAAATATAAATTTATTTATCTACTAGATAGGGAAATAATAATAATATTTAAACTTCAACGTCTCTGGATGCTCTTGTTTTAAGCGTTGTTAGTAACTATATACATTTTTGTGCATAAACTAATGAGTACATACATACATATAACGTAAAACGGTTATACTAATATAAGATTCGAATTGTTTACAATTAATAAATATGAAAAATATATATCAAATTCAGAAAAAACTTAGCGATTACTTAATTTTGAAACACGGCTCGGAAATTTTCTTTTGTAAAGTATGATATTGATATGAATTAGAAAACTTTCAGACTTTCTAAAGACGTGGTGTGTTCTTTAAATTAGAAATTAATTCGCAAAAAAGTATTATACAAATTAAATGTAGTATATATAAAAATATACTCAAGTATCAAAACATTTTTATCTTACTATAGTAAGTATTAGGTACCATATAAAGATTTTTTGAAATTGCCTTGTTTTATCAGGTCACGCTTTCGTTGGACAGACTCTATGAGTAATTGTTGCCATGGTAGCCGTGGTTATTGTCTGACAAATAAATAATATTATATTCTTTCCGTATACGATATTCTATAAATATATGATTGTAATATGCCCAACATGCCTTATTATAATTATTGATTTGTTTTACTTCAATTGCGATATTTGCATAAGAAGTTTTACTTCAACCACGCGTAAAGGATTCATGCACCCATTTTTTAATGCTAAAATTTATATAATAATAGTACCGTACATTTCGCGTGAATGACAGTAGTAAAACAACTGGAGTAAAAATGTGAAGACACTCAAATTCAATAACATGTAGATATCATAGCATGCTTAAAATTTATAATGGTTTTTAACATTTAGCAAAAATGAATTATATTTTTTATAAAACATCCCAGTTAATGTGTTTAAATAGAACTTTAAGAATAGATATATATTTACTTTCTCTTTATTACGTCAAGGCCTTATAATCTGATATAATTTATTGTTGAATGTATAACTTGTTTCTTGTATGTTGATATCAATTTATTATTTACTTGAGATTGCTCAATATAAACAAAGTCATGATTTTTCAGCTTTAAAAAAATTATATGGTTTAATCAGATGTTTTGCAGGAATTAAACAAAGAAAATAGATAACTATACCCTTCACGTAGTGGTTACATTGTCTTTAATAACCTTTTTAAAAAGGGCAGAGGAAACGTACATAAACAATTTTTATTTCCTCGTTCGTACTCGTAGGTACAACGTTTAGTTATTGATAACTGATAAAAGCGTTTAATTCAAGTTCAAAGGACTGTACCTAATATAATGTATATAAGATAACCTCTAGACGTCGGAGGAGAAGGAAGGAAAGAGCGGATCTCATAATATTATTAGCTTTGGAATTTCCAGCCAATAATTTTTATTTAAAGTATTACGAGTATAATTGATTGATCAAGCTAAAAAAGTATTCTAGTACTTTAAGAAGATTAATTAACAAGTTTGAAAAGAAAATATATTTGCTCCAAACACGTTTTTGATTTTTTCCTTAATATTATTAAAGTTTAATCCTTTATTTGTAGAAACAAAATGTGTTTGTACATTTGTCATTTTTATCACCAAAAATAAAGCAATGGATAGACGCGATATTATTTCATCGATTTTTATATGAGGTTAAGAGAGACCAAATTTTATTGGAAAATTAGACTATCTGCAATAAATTAACAGTAATTTGTACCATAAATTATACCATAATGTATATTTTTAAATTTTACTATATCTCTATTCAATATAGTATAGGGAGTGTGCACGAACTATAGAGGGCAGCACTTCTGTCGAAAGTAGAGCACCCTGGTATTAAATAAGAAAAACATAGTGATGTAAACAGTGTAATAAATAATATTAGTTAAGCCTAAATAATGCAAAAAATAATAAAATTTGATATTTTTACCAATAAAAAATGATCGGATTAGAGGTCAAAACGATAAAAAGGCCAAAAATTATTGGAATCTTGTCATGTTTTAAATGTAATTGAAACAGAAGATGAAAATATCAGTTATAACCTGCACAGTTGTCGGCTGCCGCTAAAACCAGCGTTTCTAATATTTACAGTGTGACAATTATTGTAAGTATTAATAATTATTTTTATATATACTGTATGATATTGGAAATAGTAAAAGTCTGGTAATATTAAAGATTCTTGAAAAGTATTGTAAGCTTAACTAGCTTGACAGAATAAAAAATTACAAAATAGATGTTTAAAAATTTCGAAGTACAAATAATATTATTTTACAATTTGTAAGCACTTGAAATAAAAAATCTGATTATTATTATTTTCAATATTAATTAAATTTTTGAAGAAGCTGATAATAAATAAAAAAATATTATTTTTAGATCGATAATAATTGGAACATAACCAATGCCAAATGTATGGAATTTTTTTTATTCTCTCGATAATAATCTTTTATTATTTATTTAAAAAAATTTAGAACTTGTCTAATACCTGACAACTTTAGTATCATATTCATTATACACAAAATAATAATTAAAATTAATATTTTTTTTTAATTCTAAGACTTTACTTACACATGGTTTTTTATTGCGTTTATCCAATTTTAACGTTTGAAGATTATCCGCGCAGTGTCAATGAACTTTCGGGTAAACGATAAAATTTCAAGTGCGTATTATATTTATAGGGCGTATTTGAACGGCCACTAATACAGCAAGATACTTTTGATGAAGACATTACAAACACTTATTTTAATTAACAAAAAATAAATAATTAAAAACCACTGCTTACCATTACTTTGTTTGTGTTTTTTCCCATCAGATGGCATAATCGTCATCTTTCTCACTCCCTAATAGTAAATTAGATCTCCATTAGAATATACTATCGTTGCCATTGCCAAAGAAAAAGAGGACAAAAATTAAACAGTAAAAGTTTCATAACTTTTAAGAGACAAAAAAAAGATCAAATGAGACACTTGCTTTTCTAGATACATGCGTAATGTTTCAAGAAAAAAACTTCCCAACTGTACTGAGTGTACCCGCTGGTGACCGGCGGAGACCGGGAGAGACTAGAAGAGAGAGGTCAGTCTCTCCCGTGACCATGATTGCTGTAAAGCATTCGAAACGTCGGGAACCAAAAATCAAAATAAATTCGCGAAAAAATCCGAAAAGATAATTTTATTTAAAATGTCAAGTATTCGCGTAAATCTAAGAAAGTATTATAGAAAAACAGATACATAATATTATTAACAATGCCCATAATTTTTTTAGATTTTTTTAGATTAGATAGAATAAAAATTCCCTTGTCAGTTGGTATATAAATAAACATATATACTTACAAACCCTTTTAAAAATACAGTGTAAAATATGACTTTCGGAGGTAACGTCAAAGGAAAAAAAAAACAAATCTTTTTATAAAAGAGTATAAAAAAATTATATTATAATATTCATTCAGTAATTTTTAAAAAATGTTTATTGTAGATTCTATCCATTTTCCCGTTAATGGGAAAGACACCCTATTAAATACAGTTGGGCTGATATTCTGTAAGCAATCCTTTGAAGTCCATCCAGAGGTAATGCCCCAAAGACGGTCATTGGCTGTAATTGGGGCACCAACATCAGGCTGGAAATGAAAAAAGGTGTTATTAGCTCATTATGTGCTGTATTGTTGATAAGAGATGACTCGTTATCAATTTTTTTACGGATAAAGATAAATCTTATTCAGAGTTTTCGTAGGTCTGGTAAGGTCTAGGATAAGACTGATCGTTTCTGAACCCATATTCCTGTTTAATGCTCAATATGCTTCTTTTTTTTGTTTTGAGGCAAAATATTAATATCTAAAGTCTAAACATTTTTTATGCTGCAACATTGCATAGGGTAGATAGTAACACTATTATTACATCGTATACATATTAAGACTTGTAAATAATATAAATATTGATAACAATATTTACAAGCAGGAAACACCTATAAATATCAAGTATCAGTATAACGTCATATAGAAGAAAATCATCTCGATGAGATGTAGCTTTTAATAATAATTTTTATGTCAATCGGACATCGAACTTATGACTCTAACAATGAAAATAAGTTTTAAACCTGCGTACCGTACAAGGACTGTGATGTGACACTATAGGCCCCAAACATAAAGTAGAACGACTGAAAGTATAGTTATACTTTTGCAACAAATCAACACATTTTTCTTGTGGTATCATATCTTGAGTTGAGACACGTAGACTGTTCTGTTGTATCCGTTCCTTTGCCGTACTTGGTAGTAACTTATGATTTATCTAAAAAAAAGTATTCTAAAAATATTATGCATCTTGTTGATCTTATAATATATATGTATATACAATAAATAAGCAATTATTTATTGTATATACATAAATATAAATTTGTTTCGTGTATCTAAGAAACGGCTCTAACGATTTGGCCCAAATTTTATATTTAGATAAGGTTTTAATTTTTAATTTTTATCTATATAGTAGGTATCTTTTCTGAAAAAAAAAACATTTTTTTTCTTTTTCGAAAAGCGCCGAGCGAAGCTAAATAATACATAATATCAGAAATATAAATATTTTATTTATCAAGTCTAATCATAGCGGATTTTACTGGCAATTGTTACTACGTCAGATAACGAGTAATATTAGTAGGTACTTTATTTATTGTCAACTAGCAGAACCCGCGGCTTCGCACGCGCTAAAACTATAAAACAATTTCTAAAAAGGTAGTTTCATACAAACTTTTATCCCATATTTTACCCCCTTATAGGATGAATTTCGGAAAATGCTAAAACACGTATTTATTGAAGAGCATAAATACCAAGTTTCAAGTAATTCTGATCATAAATATTTTTTTGAATTGTATTATAACGTGTTTTCCCGTGGGAATTAGATAATTTCCCGCGGTAAAGTAGCCTATGTCGTTCTCCAGCCCTCCAACTATCTCCACACAAAAAATCACGCCAATCCGTCACTCAGTTTCGACGTGAAAGAAAGACAAACAAACAAACACACTTTCACATTTATGAAGATATTTTCTTATTGTTTTTGGTGGTTGTTGAGAAATGCGACGAGAGAGCACAAATAAATGTCTATGTTACGTCACTAATTAAATTATAATGAAAAGTCAACACACACGTAAAAACAGTACAGAAGAGAAGGTTTAGGGAGATACACAGTAATATAAAAGGTTATAGTAGAAACACAAGAAGTCCACAAACAATAACTCACGAAAACGATAAAATAAAATAAAGCAAGTAATTAGCGTCAGATCACAAAGCATCGACTGTCTGAGCTTAGTAAAAATCACAAGTGGCCTTAGTAAAAATCACAAGGTAGGTGAGAACAAATTCCGATCTACTACAGGTTTAGCGCGGCTATGCTTGTGAATTTAATAATAATATGAATAAATAATAATTAATAAATATAAATAATCAAGTGTACGTGTTGTATGTATTTATGTAGGTATGTAGATAATATAAATACGTAAACTAAACATTAAATAAAATATAAATATTAAAAAACTTGAATATATGAATATGATAAATTTAATATATTATAATATATTAAGTCACCTACAGTTAAGCAGCCCGGATTTGTAATCGATTTAGTATAAATTCAATTTTCTTCGAAAACAAGGATGAATAAAGAATGATGAAAAAAACTTACTATCAGTCTTGACCAATAGGTACTTTGAAATTTAGCGCTTAAAATTTTTCCTTTCATAGTTGCCAAGGGAATTGGTAAGATAAATTCCGAAAATTTGATGGGTTGACCAATCTTTAGCAGTGCTAAATCGTAAGTGGGTTCCATGTTAATATATGATGGGTGGATAACGATTTCTTTTAGAGGGACAACTGTGCCACCTTTTTTACAATTCACTGATCCAAGTCGAACTTTTAGTAGTTTTATTGATTCTCGTGTGCTGTTGGGAAAGATTTAAGGATTAGGATAAATCATAAGACATGAAAATGTTTTATTTTATCTTGAAACGTTGTTGCATCAAGTCCTGTTGGTATCCAGCTTTTGAACTGTAACGCACTGCTATCACAACTAATATCATTAGGTATGCAGTTATTAGGATCGTCTTATTAAAAAGCAGTCACGGTTTTTCATTCATTCCCCTTATTTATAAAAAATAAAAACTAGGAGATCGTCTAATAATAATAATAATGTTCTTCTGACCGATTTCGGCCACCGCGGCCAATCTCACTGAGACTTGCCAACTGGGCAGGAGATATTATAGTGCACAAGTGTACGCGCAGATACAAGTGCACTGCTTTTACGCTCAATGCTCGATTGGGATGATATATTTGACACGACCGGTGAGAGTTAAGTCGCAGGACCGACGGCTTTACACGGTTTCCGAGGCACGGGGTTGAAACACCGTCAACTTCCCAACTCCGGGCTTTAAGTGAGAATATCTTAACCGAAAAACTCAGTAATTAAATTTGGCCCGACCCAAGACTCGAACCCAGGAAATCCCAATCTGTAACTGTATATGCTAGTTACTAGACAACCGAGGTGGTTATTGAATAATATCATATATTCTAAGGGTATTTTCTCAAAATTCCTTTAGGTGTTCCACAAAAGTTTTTTATTTATGTTATTATCTTTATCGTTTTATTTTCTATCGGTTTATAGGACCTAAACAAAATAAAAATTCCATTGAGACTCGTTAAGTGGATTAGATAACAAGGGAATGATACAGACAGATAAAAAATAGAAACTTACCTATAAAAAGGACCCGCTGCTGTCAGAATCCATCTTTTATCAATCAAAGCACCAGACGCATAATGAGATCCTTTCTTCTGAATAGAAACAGCGAATGGAAAATATTTCATAGACGTTTTCATATAGTCTGTACATGTTGATACATTTATTACGACGTTATCTGAAAGTCTTAATGTATTAAAAACTTACAGCTCTGTTACTCATTAAAAAAAATAATAAACAAGCAATTGTAATATAAGAATATTATTTCCTCCACGACCGCGGACACGCCGGCGTGTCGTTTTTATCAGATCTTTATCTGACTCTAAGATGTTTATTTAGCTATACCTAATCTAGCACATATTCTATCCATCTCAAAGACACAAGTAGAATAACGTGACATAGACGGACGGGTCAGTAAATTCATCTTTAATGTTAATCTAGTCGAAGTACATATATTATATTACTTACTGTTGTCTATAACTTTTATATCTTGATATTTTAGTCTATCAGGTTTCTCTTTTGAACTGGCATTATAAGCTTCATTGCTTTCTGATTCTAAAGATGCAGTACCATTATCATCAGTCTGATTTTCATCATCAACGTTTTCTGCGTTTGTAAATGTAACGAATAATAACAGAACAAGTAAGGGATTTGTATGAGAAAAAATTATCATTTTTAAGTTTGTTGTATTTTCCAATTTTATAGAGACATTTTGATACTTGTAAGAACACTATATTTGTAAACTTTGATAATCCTAATAAAAACTGTCGCTATTAAGCTGGTGTTAAATACAAAGTCAAGAGAAAAAGATAAATGTTGGATTCAACATCAACATACAAAAGGAGAAATGAACTTGGGCATTTAATCTGAAAAGAACAATGCACAATTCAACTTAAAAAAGATACTTTGACGATGTTTGATTTTTGAATTAACTTCTATGAATGCTTATTTCTGTAGCGAGTTTGATTCTCAGCGTGGATTTTTCTATAATATAACAAAAGTAGGAGAGGAATCAAACACATACGTCATTGATTCACATAATGAGGATTTCGTAAAACATTAAAGTTCTTAAATTTAGTCTCTCTCGTCACCATGGTTGCATGTGGTTGTTGCAAAGCAGGGCTCGGAAACCGGTTAAAAATTTGAACCGGTTTTGGCCATTGATCGCAAACCGAATGGCTTTTCGGTTTAAGCTAGCGTTTATGTTCTGTAACCGGTTAAAGCGCAGAGAACGGTTTTGGACGAATTTAGGACCCATAAACGAAAATTAACCGGTTAAAATGACTTTTCGTGCATTAATATTTGGCGTATCTTTGCTTGTTTAGTAAATGTATACATTGCAATAAGTGAAGACTTAGGTTAGCGGAGAGGTTACTTTTTTAATTTACGCTATGGGTGTGGCGGAGTACATTTTATTATAATAAATAATATCATTACTATTATTATTATTTCCTCTATTATGTTCTAGTATATATGTTTTATATTTATTCTATACATATATCATTTGGTGTATATTTTAGGTATGTGAAAATTTTATATGTATGTACTCGTATATTCATACGTTAATTTATACGTATAGCGCATTATTTATCTCTTTAGTTTGTATTAGTATAATATATGTATTTATGTATTTATATGAAGTATGTAGCTTAAATAAATATATTGATTATATTACGAGTATGTATGTATGTATGTATGCAAGTACACCGCCTACCATTTTATGTACTGATTCCTCGACCCTAAGGTTGCCTGGAAGAAATCGCTTCTAGCGATAACGCCGCCTACTGAGCATCTTTTCTTTGTGTATTTTTTATCATTAAAAAGTTATTGTTATCAAACATTATAAATTATTATTATTATTATTATTTATTATTTATTATCTATCCAGTTCTATTTATACTGCACTTGTAAATACTATCATTTTTGTCAGCATTATGTACCTACTGGAAGATTGTAACTTATAAAACACTAGCAGTGCCCGCTGCTTCGCACATGTGGAAAAAATATGTTCATTTTTAATTTCCATTGAATTATAGTATAGTATATGTAAATGCATTTGGGAGAGGCCTATGTCCAGCAGTGGACGTGTTTAGGCTGAGACGATGAGATGAGATGAGACGATTTATAATATAGTCTGCGGAATCAGAAGATATTGGCGTTAATGGACGAGAGTTCAATATCGCCTCAATTTGGATCAGTGTGGTATTAAGTTCTTCGAAGGTAAGGTTACAATTTCCCAACACTCGCTTGAGATGATACTTCGTCGACTCTACACACTTCCCAAAAGTCCGCCAGAATGAGGAGTATACGCGGGAATAAAATGCATTTTAATGCAATCATTTGCCAAAGTTTCACTCAGCGAGTCACAATTAAATTTAAGAAATTTTGAAATTTCGTGGTACGCGCCAACGAATGAAGTACTGACGGCAATAACGATTATGGGAAAAAAAATTGATGGGTGTTCCTCTCCGACATATGTACATAATATAAATTTATACAGTACACGAATATCTTTTCATTCATAACGGTTAGTTATACTTTCAGCTAATAGTTTCAAACATGCACCATTGTTCTTATAATTGTTTCTTAATCACAAAATCGAACAATTCGTGTTTTCGAAATCTAAAAGTTACCAAAACTACTTTGGTTTAGTTTATTTGGTTTTCTAAAATGGGCAGAAGTTATGGGGGCTTGGATAAGATTATTTTTCTTATTTTTTTATCTAATTATACAGTCTTAAATATTCAGAGTGGTAAGTTTTCATATTGTATGTACTATGTATAAGATTTTCTTCTAAAAGAAAAAGTGATACAAAAGATTCAAATCTGCTAAGTTTTAGGATATTTGTAGTACATATATAATATTATATTTATTAAATAGTCGTATATGGCTCGGCTTAAAAACTCAAAATAAAAAAAAACCGACTTCCAGGCACTAAAATGTAAAAGATAACTAAACGGGGGTTTTCATTTATAATAGATACCTAATCAGATATTTTCGAAGTCGATTTTGAAATTGATAACCTCCTTCTTTTTGGAAGTCAGTTAAAAATAGGGCTACCCATCACCTCCTGTGGATCTCGTAGAAGACGACTGCATGATCTAAGGATATTGCACCTGGAGTCCGTTGCTCGATGGCAACCAAACAACAAAAAGCATTCCCAAAGAGACGGCCGGTCGGAAAACTTTTGCCAAAACCAATTTTAGTAGTATAGATGTACTGCGTAGACCCCAAGTAATCTGAGAAATGGGCAGGGAGATGACGATTACATTTAGTAAATAATAATTACGTAGTCGTTGTATTTTAAATAAAACTATCTTTTCGGATTATTTCGCGGATTTATTTTGATTTTTGGTTCCCGACGTTTCGAATGCTTTACAGGAATCATGGTCACGGGAGAGACTAAGGTTAGGTTAGGTTAGGTAATGTAATAATAATATTATATAAAAAAAACTGTTAAGGGGATCTTAGATTGGATGTTAATTTTTATGCAGTTCGTTGTATTTCTTTAATGTCACCTATTGAATCCGAATCTTTAGAAAGTGAGTATACTTATTCCAGCATCAACAACATTAAAAGCTGAATTAGAATGTGAGTTTCCACCAAAAATGGAAGAAGATTTGACGCATATAAGAAGGAAAAGACTGACAACAGCATCTGGACTTGTCTGCTTGGAAGATTATCCTTATACTGTATCCATAAGGTAAGAATAAAATTTAAAAAAGATAAAATTTGCATAAGTAAAATAAGTTTAGGATTATATCGTGTTAAAAATATTTCCAGATGACTTATTCTCTTTATTTATATGTGTAAATTATATTTTGTGTTCTTTAAAAATGGCGGATACGGAAAGTATTTTCTATGGAACCATTTCTTTTTGGAAGCATGTCTTGGAAATATATTCCCGGGAAAATTAAATTGTGATCTTATAATAAATGTTTATATTAAACCTAAAATATAATTATTGATAATTATTATACTCCGTAGGTTACACAGCAAGCATTGGTGTGGAGGAGCGATTGTTGGAAACCAATGGGTCATATCAGCTGCACAGTGTTTCGATTAGTAAGTTGAGTTTATGAGTTAATTGAGTTTGTTTGAGTTAATTAACATGAAAATATACAAAGTGACTTGTTTAATACTCATAAATCTGACAGCTAGACATCACTTTGGGGACTGGAAACCTTGCATGGCGCAGAGTTCATGTAAAAATTAAACTATTTGATTTTTTTCGTGATTTTGATTTTGTTGTTACTCTGAGCTGCGTATTGTTTCTGTCCGACTAACGTATACTTGAAACGTTTACCGCTTGTAATACATGCTTTGTATTTTTTTAAATAACGATTTATTTCTTTTAAAAAAATCAGAATATTTTGTTTTTAATTATGTCGTATTTACTACCATTTAAAAACCATTATGTCATGCATATTTTCTATACAAAATAGTTTCGATGCTTTACATCTGCTAGGCATCCCAAGACGGCTGGAAATGATTTTTTTTATTTAAATTTAATTTATGGTTATAACGGAGAGGTTATGATCCTATCAACTAAAAGATTACCAGCTAAATTCGTAGAACCCGAAAGAAATCTATTAGTAAAACTAAATAAGTTCTAACAATCAGTGATTTTATTTTGAGGCAATAAAGACCAATTAATCATATAAATTAAATAGTGTAGAAAAATAATGTATACATAATCAAAAATTGTGTTCATATTTTGTAAATAAGAACACGCCTTATAGCACCCAAAAGCCACCTGTCAGTCACCATCTATACATATAATAAAATTGTAACCAAGCCAAATCTCTACATTAATTTTTTTTGGAAAATCTTATTGAAATAGACATTATTATCTGTCCGTTACCGCATCACAGAAAAACCACGGGAGGGATTTTGGTGAAATTTGGTATGGTGATAGCTGGTTTACCGGGTCAATATATAGGATACTTTTTACCGCGGGAAAATGTCTCATTTCTAAGAAAAAATACAAAAACTGCAATGTAAGAGTATACTAATATGTAAAAAATAAGAATTTGGTTTATGGTTATATGAACGCGGGCGGAGCCGCGGGCAATGCTAGTCAATAATATAATCACTTTTATTTTCACTATATAAATTTTTATACTACAGTAAATAATTAAATATTTTATTTTAAGATAATGATTAATTTCATAAACGTTATCTAATCTTTGTCTTAAAAGTCTTCTCATAAGTAAAGTATGCATTTCAGACGTAAGATGGTAAATAGAGTTAATAATTTTCTGATTTAAAAGATCAAGTAGTTTATTTTATGTCATCCTTACAGAAATTAAAAAACGTTGCCTACGAAAATATATAAAACAAAAGTGGTTTTTTTAATATAAGGACCCTCGTGTGTCCGACTCGCTCGTGACCATTTTTTTATCTCTTATAATATTATTATCTCTTATACATATAAAATAATATATGTACAAAGTCTATTTTTTTAAAGACTTAGCATTCATCATGACTGAGACCGAAGGTTCCGTACTATGAAATTTTTTTTTGTTATATTTTGACTTATATATTTGTGTGATAAAATTAAAATAAAATAATGAACAGTTATTGTATATATACAAATTTCTTGTATCTCAGAAACAGCCCTAACGTTTTGGATCAAATTTTGTATTTAGATAAGGTTTTGATTTTTACGTTTATGTATATAGGGAAAAGGTTTTTCTGCAGAAAAACACGCAATAGTTTATATCTTTTCCGAAAAACCGATTTAAAAAAGAACGCTGAGCAAAGCTCAGACACCCATACTGAAATTTTATTGAAACTTCATGTTCATTTGGAATTTTAGGACAGAATTCTGGACACAAAAAGACGATAACATTTTTGTGGACCATAAGATAAGATTACTACAAAAAAAAATTTTTTCCTTTTCTTACTTCTTAATAATACTATAAATGTGAAAGTTTGATGTTTGGATGGATGTTTGCTAATCAATCACGCCAGAAATGATGAACGGATTTGGATGAAATTTGGCACAGAGATATATTTTAGTCTGAAATAGCACATAGGTTACTTTTTATCCCGAAAAAATGTACGGTTCCAGTGGGGTAAATTTGTTTTTGTTTAGTTTAAAACTAATATTAAATACAATCTTTGCTTTTTTTATAGTGTTACAGAAGAAGAGGTTACAGTGCGAATGGGCTCCGTGTTTAGGGACAGCGGAGGCAGGATCGTATCAGTTATAGACATCCAGCGTCATCCCAGATATAGAACTGACCAATACTACCCAGAACATAATCTAGCTTTAATCAAGGTTTGTTTAAAAAAAAGCAAAAATCTTTCAAAAAACAAAATTCGTAGGTACTTTTTGAAAGGATAAGAAAAATTTTAAATTGTTAACAGGGTAAGTACTTTAGGAGCCAGTAATGCATATCTGAGATTCCAAAATAGTTACCTTACATAATTATTTGTAGTACTTACAAAAGTCCAAGCCTTACTCCACCATTTTGTCTGTTTGTATGTTTAACCTCGCTAATACTCGAAATGGTTAAACCAATTTTAACAGGAAACACACTGATGGGTATAAGATTTGGAGACATAAGTCAATTTTATTCAGAGGAACGGAAAAGTTACCTCAGGATAAGGGTCCCTACACGTTTCATAAGGAAGGCTAATAATGCAATTTCACTAAGGAAAAAGGCAAAAATTATATATTTGATTGATTAAAACTAAAATTACACCTTTAATTTAAATGTTTTCTTACGATATTATTTTTGATGAAGATAAATGAGTATGAAGATACACGTTTGAAGTGACGGATTCTAATTCTGAAAGAAATTTTTAAGTACCGCTATTCGGTACCCATTCTTTTAATGAAATGTGTCGAATCAATTCAAGTATTTGAAATCGTTACTGCCAGCTTAGCTCTTGAATTTTAACAATTTTTTTAGTTTAATTTTAACTATATTTGTATATATGTAGCTAGGCATACCAATACTACGTAACAACCGAGTGCAACCGGTAGCGCTGCCTCAAGCGGATGCTAACGTTCCGCCACTGTTCGGAGAAGTGGTTGTCACTGGATATGGATCGGTGGTAATATCTTAAATTACATAATTTACTCATTGCCTAGTGACTAGCGTGTACGTCTGCAGATCCAGGGTTGCTGGGTTCGATTCCTGGGTCATATCAATTTAATGATTAGGTTTTGTCAAAGAAATTTCCTATATAGAAACAGTTCCTATACCAGTAGGTATTTCCGTCTATATTACGTTTCATGTAATTATATATTTTACCCATTTACTACGATCAATTCAAAGGAAAAATTAAAGAATAAATAAGCATACTAAGGAATTGAATACATATAATTGTGCTGTGTTTCCTCGTAGGCATTATATTTTTAGGGTTCTCTACTAAAAATCCCATTTATTATTTGTTCAATTTGTCAAAAATTTAATTTTATAAATACATATATTTAAAAAATACGTGCATGCTAACAGGAACGAATTATTAGATAGAATATTATTTAAGCCAGGACATTGTCTATCTACATATGTACCAAGTTTCATCCAAAACTCTCCAAAGGATGCTTAGTTACAAATATCACAAACTTTTATTTTAACACAGATTTTTTTCATATTTTAAAACTAGTGAATTATAAAAATAAAAGCTTATATTTTTTTATGATTATAGTGCAAAATATAAAGTATATTTGACCTATTTGACAGTTTTTATTACCATCGACTTATTTTGCAATTGTAGTAAATATTTGCCCAACTGTCTGTCTACACTCATTTTGATATAAATACGCTAAACTAAGGATGTAATCGACAAAAGAATCGTCACCAGAATTTTGCCCTGCCTTTTTAATACATATTTCTCCAAAGTGGTTAGATTTTTAATGAACAGGTTCATTAGTCTAAACAGCTAAGACTTTTTTATTTTTATTATGAACTAGCATTGCCCGCGGCTCCGCCCGCGTTCAGCTGACCAAATTAGGTTTTACATATTAGTATACTCTTAAATTGCACTTTTTGTATTTTTTCTCAAAAATAAGATATTTTTCCGCGGTAAATGGTATCCTATATGTTGACCCGGATAACCAGCTATCACCATACCAAATTTCATCAAAACCCCTCCAGTGGTTTTTCTGTGATGCGGTAACAGACTGACAAAAAATCTAAAAACTATAGATTCGGCCTCTGTATCGATAATAATGTCGATTTCAATGAGATTTTCCAAAAAATATTTAACGTACAGATTCGCCTTAGTTACAATTTTATTATATGTATAGATAATTATAAGATAATTATATTTTCCAGATAACAGGTCAAATTCGGGAAGGCGTAAATCAAGAATTGCGTCGTATGATAGTGAAGGAAGTTCCTCGACCAGAATGCCGTGTTGTTTATGGAAACGAATATCAGATTCAACACGACCACATGTGCTTGCTGAGTGTTGTCCAGGGAATAGCTTTATGCGCGGTAAATAAATTATAACTAATATTAGCATTGGCCGCGGCTCCGCCTGCGTTCAGATGACCACAAAGCAAATTCTTAGGTTTTACATATTAGTATACTCTTACATTTCAGTTTTTGTATTTTTTCTCTTAAATGAGATATTATGTTGACCCGAATAACCAGCTGCCATCATACCAAATTTCATCAAAATCCCTCAAGTGGTTTTTCCGTGATGCGGTAACAGACAGACAGACCAACATTCTAAAAACTATAGATTCGGCCTCTGTATCGATAATAATGTCTATTTCAATAAGATTTTCCAAAAAATATTTAATGTACAGATACGGCTTAGTTACAATTTTATTATATGTAGGTATAGATGATGGAACGTGCGACTTAATCTTGCATCCAGGGCCGGATTAACCATGTCGGTGGCCTAGACAATGCAGTTCTCGGGGCCCCTTCACTTTTTTATAACTTATTGAAATATTTTATTTTTCACCACTTGCAATGCAATTATATTCGTAATTTTTCGTTAAATTACACTTATCTCATTAAGTTAAATTTGATACTTTTTTATTTATTTTAGAAAAATCATAAATGTAAAAGGGCTCATTAAATATGGTTCTATTTTCCATATATCCGGTCATTTGTTATTATGTTAAAATGTAATGTATAAATACGTCTAGTTTTATTTGTATAGGATTGTTTATTCTACATTTATAAATAAAATTAAACGTAAAAATAAATAAAAAAAGTGATAGGAATAAAGGTAAAATAATAAATGAACACAAATAAAAGTCATGATAATGAGAATGTATGAAAAAGAATCTATGCATAAAAAACATTTATTATGTATTTGAAGATAAGTAATAAAAAAAAATCAAGATTTAAATATTTGTATATGGAAATGTAGTAGTTAATAAAGGCTTTATTTATTAATTTATTATTATTAGTAGTTGTTACAAACATAGCCGCATTACATGTTGCAATATGACAATTTAATATGAAAAAAAGATTCCGACGAATTGAGAACCTCCTCCTTTTTGGAAGTCGGTTAAAAACAATAATATTGTCATTGGGAAAAGTAATAATTTACGCTTTTACGCACTGATATCGTTAGTATAGTATAGTTAATAAACTAACTTGATATATGATGCCAAAAAGTAACAAGAGAACAGAAAACCATTACTAGGGATCGTAGGGTCCATCGTCGTAGCAAATTTTTGCTTGTACTACTAAGAATGATGCGAATATATATATATATATATATATATATATATATATGACTTGGTCTTTTCTCTTCAGTAGATCCAGTGAAAATAGTTGGTGACTTATAGCCAAAGCCAAAGTGATCAAATAACCTTTTCCTTTACTTTTAAGTTATGGAACTTTGAAATTTCGAATATTTTCATAGATCTCTTACGAGGAAACTGTATAAAGACTAACTAAAATAATGAATCATTCTTCGACTTAGAGAAATTATTAATGATCATTTTTGAAACCATACTTTTTTATTTTATTCAGGGTGATACAGGAGACCCAGCAGTACATTTCAGTGGGATAGACCGTGGCGGTACATTGTTTGGAATAGCTTTATTTTCTGGAACCGAAGAATGCGCTTACAAATCGAAGCCTGGAATATTTGCAAAGGTTTCATAATTCTTCATTACACAATATAAATTGGATTTTTAGACCATTTAGTTTTCTTCAACTAAAGAGAATTGTTTTGTTTTTAAACTGAAACTGCTTAACATTACTATATATCAACCAAGTTTATTCAAGTAACTATATACCAAATTTATTTTCTTCATGGGCAAACTATATGAAGATTTTTCAAAGTAAATATTATTACTGTTCACTTTAAAAAAACACATATGTCCTTTATATTTCTACAAGTATTTTTTTATATATTTTTTTTCAGGTATCATACAGCCGTGCGTGGATAGACAAAGTTATAAACGAAACTTTACCTACCGAGAGTGTTGAAAGCATCGAAAATGCTATACCTATTGATATGAATTAAAATAAAGTACAATATACTAAATAGTGTATGTTTGTTGATAAAACAAGTTCAAACTGTAGGAGTTAGATCTGCTTTAAATTCTGATATATTAATATCTAGAATAAATGTGTTTACCACTTGTGTAATATGATAAGTACACAATATGGTGAAGGGAAACTTTTGAAAATCTATCGATCTATCGATCTATCGAATCTATATAACTATTTTGACGATATATTTGGCTCAGTTTGTAGTGACCTTATTTTGTAGTTTACCATGGCACTAGATGGTGTTGTGTGTTAATATCCCAACATATTTATTATAATACATATATTATAATACATATATTATAATAAATTTTATTATTTATTAATATGAGGGCCCCACTGCAAATTGGAACCTATGGTAATATACCTAGGAATTTGGTTGAGTTTTAACACTTCCTCATTTATTATTACACCATTATTAAAAAGTTTAACATTAGGTGTTGACAATTTTATTAATTTTGTCTTATTATTATTTAATAATAAATTATTTGAATTAAACCAACAGACAACTTTTCAGAGAGCATTGTTTACATCGTCGTACATTAGTAAATTACGCTTTACTTTAAAAATAAGTGAAGTGTCAACAGCGAACAATACTATCTCTCTCTCTTTCTCTCTCTGTCTCTTTCTCTCATGTTAGTCGTGTACAAAGAATGGCAAATCATTAATATAAAATTATTTAGTTATTATAAGTTACTTAGTAGTAGTATCAACATTATATTTTAATAAGTAATTATACGTATATATGTATTGTATGTATGTATACAGTATGATATAAAATATATGTATTATAATCATTATTGTTATCTATTTATTTTATATACTTATATGTTTGTGTTATTTAGTATACTACGATTACATGTAGTATGTTATTTTTAAATGTATATTATACTGTGTTTTTTTTTTGTACTATATTTCCATGTTACCTTGCACTTTTCTGCTCCGCTAAATGACAATCTTTCTCACCTCCTAGGTTGACTGGAAGAGATCTCTTTTAGAGATACGTCCACCTTCGCCTTCAATTTTCTCTTAATATTAGTAATTTTTATTTTTTATGCGTAATAAAGAATATATAAAAATTAAGAAGAGAAAGGGGCCAAGAATAGACCTTCGTGCAACCCCCATAACTAATGGAGAATGAATTGTTAAAAGAGCACGTGTTGAAAATTCTCATATCTAGACATCCAATATTTTAATTAAAAAAAATTTAAGTTATTTTGCGCGGGTCAGTATCATTTTTTTTTAATTTGTCGGCAAAATTCACACTTGATATACAAAAAGTAATCAAAATAAAATAATAAAATAAATACTTATTTATTACTCACTCCCTCCGCTCGGGTTCGTCCCTAGGTACTTTTTAATGGTTAGTATAGAATTCTCAGAGATGAGATATTTTCCCGTAGTAAATAGTATCCTATATGTTGACCTGGATAACCAGCTGTCATCATATCAAATTTCATCAAAATCTGTCAGACAGACAGACAAAAATTCTAAAAACTATAGATTCGGCCTCTGTATTGACTATAATGACTATACCAATAAGATTTTCTAAAAAATACTTAAGGTACAATTTCGATTTAGAATTTTATTATATGTACGATATATATTTATTTAATAAATGAGAATGACCACCGAAAAGCAAAAAGAACTTTTGCTACTTACAAGAATATATAGAAAATTAATATATTAAAAAAATATATCAAAATAAATTACTAATTAATTGTATATATTTTAAAGAGTTTGATATCGGTCCAAGAACAGGGTGTTTTGAAACAAACATCCAATTGAGGTCTTTAGAATAATTAAACAGGAAAATATTCACGTATTAAAATTTTTATTTACGTTTCTTTTATGCAAATATGGAGTTTGGAGATATAAAAAATATTATTATTTAACCGTCTGCTGCAAAATTATTCTATCTATAATAGGTATATTCTATCTATAATATTTTGATGCAAGTTTTGGGAGCATACTTTTAAAAAGCAAATTACGTTTCAACAAATATTTTCTTTATATAATGGTATAATATGTGTATATAATAAACAAAAAGTAATCTATTCCATATATTAATGATCTTCAATTCAGTTAAATAATCACGTGTTTTAGCATTATCTGCAATGCATTTCCGCAAGGGGGTAAAAATGGGGGATGAAAATTTGTAATTTATTTGTATAAAAATGTAATTTTTGACGTGAAATGCATTCAAATAAAAAATAAAAATATACTTGCATACTATAAATATTATTTTTTTGAAGAATTCACCCCTTAAAGGGGCGAAAGGGGGTAGTAATGTTTATATCTGGAAATAATTATTCATGATCAGAATTACTTGAAACTTGATATGAAATCTTCAATACAAATAAATAAATACATATTTTAGAATTTTTCAAAATTCAGCCCTTAACATGTTAAAACCATGGACGAAGTGGTTAATTCGTTCATGGTTAAAACATAAAGCCAATGAATTTGTTTTTTTTTTGTAGTTTGAACGCGGGCGAAGAGGCGGGAACTGCTCGGTCAATAATTAAGTTTTAACGTTTAGTATAAATTTCTCAGAAATGACATATTTTCCCGCAGTAAAACGTATTCTACTCGTATATGTTAAACCGAATACCCAGCTATCATCATACCAAATTTCATTAAAATCTGTCCAGTGGTTTTCTCGAGATGCGTTCCCAAACAGATAGGCAGATAGACCGACAAAAGTTCTAAAAACCGTAGTTCCGGCGTCTGCATCGATAATGATGACTATTTCAATAAGATTTTCCAAGAAAATATTTAGTGTACGTTTCAGTTACAATTTAATTATATGTATAGATTATAAATGGGGCTAAAGTTATTCTGTACTTAGTTTTAAAGTATAAACTATCTATTATGATAGCTTCACAGTCAGTGAATAAGGCCAGTGGCTGGTACACGTAAAGAGTGAATTCAAGTAAAAATGGTCGCTGAAAAAGAAATTACGAAAAAATTTGGACACACATATCGACAATGGACGTTTGCTATTACGGGTAACATGTCTTTAAATATTAAAATAAAAGGTTTTGATAATTTAAAGTTTTAGATATATAGTGGGATGTTCAGAATTTTCACTCAGTACCTTTCTCTATTTTTTTTACCTACTAGCGATATAATACTAATACATGAACTATATTATTGTAAAGTTTCATTAAAATCCAATTAGTAGTTTTTGTATACTAAGCTGTATTTGTTACTATTGTTTTTTAACTATCCCACGAGAAAAATTTCATTTAAATCAGTCCAATAGTTTCGGAGATTACAAACAGACAGACAGATAAACAGACAAACAAAAACATTGAAAAAATCTGGATTAATTCAATTTCTCTTCTTACATCCTCCTGACTCGGTTTTTAGCATTTTTTTCTATGTACAGACATTCGACCTCTACAATTTTATTATATGTATAGATAAGAATTATTAAATCGATATTGTGAAAAGCGTTGTTTTTGTTAAAAAATTCAAAATAATTTCCATTTGGTAACTTTGTATTTGTGTATTAGGTAATAATTTAAATAACTGCCGCGCTAGTTTAGTTGTGGCTAGCGTGTACGGCTGTTGTATATCCGGAGGTCTTGGGTACGAGGCCCTTGTCGGTTCAAATAGTGTTATTGAGTCTTTCATTTAAAAAAGTACCAGTAATAAAAGTTGGCGGTGTTTCATTCCCGGCATTCGGAAAGTATGATAGATTTATTTTTGTTTGTCTAATATAAACTATAAACTATACAACTGTATATATGTATAATATAAACTTGATATGACCGATCAATAGTAATAATAACTAAGAGCGTCGGGCAATAATAATGCCCAACTACTCGTGGTCCATTTAAAAAATCTAGATTTAAGATAAATGTTCAATTTATCCTTAGACCGAGCAGTATGAATACTTCCCTACATCGAGCCGGGCAAGGTGATAAATATTTTTTTACGTTGGGAATTGCCTCTGAGCATACCACCTGCAATGCATACAGGTGGTTATGTGGGACTCACCGGCTAGAGAATCCAGTACTACCCACTAAAACCCAAAAATATCTCCCCCGTCTTAATGGGGTGTCGCAGGATCGTTCGTTATTTGGATCCTTTTTATAACCCAACTATAACTTATTTTGAATTACTATGCTGAATAGCTTTTTTGTACTTTTCAATTTCAATAAGAATTATGTAAGTTTAATTTCATATAATAAATAAAAACACCACAGTTCATCTGTTTTATTATATTGCTCAAGATGGGGTTGTCATTATTGTAACTAACCGGGAAAAGAAGTTAGTCATGCAGTTTTACTCACATTGCCCACTTTTGTGATATCTTTGTTTATTTCTTCCTGTCAGTTTCTGATGATGCTCTCCCCTCTTAGCCCCAAAATAGCTTTATCTAAATTGTTTAGTGTTTTTTTCAGTGAAGAATAAATTATAATATTATCGATACTTTTAAGCCAATTTTACGATCCTGGTGTATGGTTTCGAATGTGGTTGGATATCTCCCATTACGTCGTTGCTGCAGTCAGAGGATTCACCAGCCGGATACCCACTAACAGACTCTCAGCTCTCTTGGGTAGCAAGTGTATTGAGTTTGACCGCAACATTTGGAGTCGTCACGTATTCTTATGTTGCTGACCAGTATGGGAGGAAAACTAGCGTGGTTGCTCTTGCCATTGTGGAAGCAGTAAGTACATTTTTTTTAACTAAAAGCACCTAATTAATTGCTTAACATAATTTTTACATTTGGCCTTATTATTGAAACTTGTTATTTATATATATTTATTAGCGACTCACTCTCGCACCGCTCGTTTTCGTCCCTCGTTACGTTTGAACGTTTAGTATAGATGTCTCAGAGATGAGATATTTTCCCACAGTAAAAGTATCCTATATGTTGACTCAAATAACTAACTATCATCTTAAAACGTTTCATCAAAATCTGTCCAGTGGTTTTCTCGTGACGCGTTCCCAGAAATAAAAATAAAGTTAGTTATCACGAGAAAAAAACATTGTAAAATTTGGGACAGTGTGACAGTTAAAAATGATTAAAATTTTGTATGTTTTGTATATTAATTTGTTATTATTTCTTTAAATAGGGAAAATTTTAGAAATTTGAAATAAATATTCTTCTCTATTTCAGATTTCATGGGTAATTCGTCTATCGTACACCTCGTTTCCCCTGCTTATCTTAGCCAGAATCTTCGCTGGTTTAACAGCTGGCGGTGGTTACACCATCAATACTATCTACGTGAAAGAAATAAGTCAAAAAGATTTGACAGGAATTTTAGGGACTTTCCCCATTCTTATGCATACTACTGGAATATTTTTGATGTATCTTATGGGAGCCTATATGGACTATACGGTAGTTATTATTACTGTCCTGGTGGTGTCAATATTAACGATGATTGCAATGACAAGAGCTCCTGAATCACCCGCCTTCTTAGTTAAACAAGATAAAATTGAAGTAAGTATTTTAGATTAAATGATGATCCTTTATGACATTCTTTGCACCGATTTCGGCCACGACGAGGAGATATTATAGTGCACGAGTGTTAGCGCAGACACAAGTGCAAACTCTCTATTCCTGTTAGTCTCAGATTCCGATGGGACGTTAATTCGATACAACCGGCAAGAGATCAGGCACAGAGCCGACGGCTTAACGTGCTCTCCGAAGCACGGCGGTGAATCACTTGGCTCTACCCGGGGCTCGAACTCAGGACCTCCGGATATTCAATCGTACATGCTAGCCACTACACTGTGTTTTTTTTGTCTTTCAAATTTGTAATCATTTGCATATTACATATTAATATTATAAATGCTAAAGTCTGTCTGTTTGTTACGATTTCATGCGTAAGCCGTTGCACCAATTTTGATGAATATTGATATAGAGATTGATGTAACCTTCGAGAAGGACATAGACTACATATTTTAGCGACAGCTAAAATGAAACTTGAAGGGGGAGAAATGGGGGTTGAAAGTTTGTATTGGGAATAAATTATTTCTCAAGTTGAGAACGTAGAAAATCGTTATATCCTTTAGGCGCTTTTTACCAATCAATTTAAATAGAGGATGATTTCAAGTTTTTTACACCCATGAATAAGGGTGGCGCAAAAAAAAACAACATTTTTTCTTTTTCGTGTCTCGTATGAAAATATGTTAGTTTTTCATGTTTTAAAAGCCCCCTTAAAAATCAAGTTAAAAATGTTTTTAGAGCTTTTTTCTCTCGTTTTATATATTATATAAGGTGCTACCATGAAATTTCCCATGACTTTATAAGAATCCCATTACAGAAAGCAAAAGAAACGGTGGCATACCTCAGGGGACTAGACAAAGACCATGATATTGTGAAAAGAATTATCGATGATCTGATTAAAGAAGAAGAGCGCTTTAAATCTTTACCAACTATCACTTTCATAAACATATGTAAGTAAGTAGCTTGTGAACGTCGTCGTTTGATTATTTCTATTGAATTACCAATCACTAAACTTTACTTGAAAATATTTTATTAATCGAAATAATAGTATGCTAAAACTGTAAATAGACTGTTTCTCAATAATTATATATAAAACTTTTTCTAATACACTTGCAAACATGATATCTGATACGAATAGGGCCAGAGAACTTTAATTTTCATTGTTGAAAAACTAGTACTAGGTATATGTAGATCTTCTAATGCGTATTTAAAAAAAATATTTTCATATAATATCGGAGCGAATATATTTAGACAATATCCAAGCGAAGGACTGAGAAATTTTACCATTTTATTTGTAGGACAATATCATCATTCAATTATGCATATTTTTAATAATATTAGTTATATATTTTAAGTAAATAATTGAAGATATAAAATTAAAGGAGATTAATGGTTACAGTGAAATATTTTAGGTGATTTTTGGAACTCACTGTATTTTCAACTTCGAGTTTAATAATTTAGATATTTTTTTAGTAAAAAACAATTCTTGGCGTCGTGGCTTCATCCTCATAATGTTTTTATTTACATGCTTTGAATTAAATGGTGCATTTGTCATTGTGACTTTTGCGACTAAAATGTTAACGTCGACTGGAATACAGTTTGATGTAAGTCCTGAGGTCCAGTCTCTCAGCTTCCCACTTGTGATGATCATCGCTTCACTTGGGTTGACTTCTTGTGTTGAGAGATGTGGAAGAAAGGTAATAATTTTTGTCATCTTAAAACGCTCATTTTTTAAATAAGAACAATTATATGAGAATAATTATCAGACCGCCAGACAGTATTTTATTATAATCGTGCAAATACTTATTTCTTATCAAATAATGCTAATTGAATGAATGAAAATTTTAAAGAATTTTAATTAGCCTTTAAAGTTAATTTTAAATTTACCAGATAACATTTTTAAGGTTAATTTCTAATTGGAAAATTAAGTATATTTTTTTTAAATTAAAGACTTCTTGAATCGTCAAATTCGTAAAAACATAGTGTAAGATATTATAAAAAGTAAGTTCAAAAACTAAAACCCGACTACTGAAAAATCACGCTCTAAAAAGTATGAAACAAAAAAAATATTAATATTCATCGTGTATTAAATAAACAACTTACACGTAATATATTTTAATGTACATATATTATAATACATTTTCATGTGATGTTCAGAAGACAGCCGCAGTTGTATGCCACCTTTTTTTTAATGTTGGAAAATGCATTTACGCTTACCACCTGTAGACATACGGGTGGTTATGTGGGACTTACCGGCTAAAAAGCCAGTACCTACTAAAACCCAACAAAACGCAAAAATCTCAATGGAGCGTCGCAGGATCACTTATGCACTTAACCGCGACGCCACGACGGCAGGTCTGCCGCAGCAAACCACAATAACCATGGTTGCTCGAACGGTTCGCTTTGCCGTCAGAGAAGTACCAGGAGCAACCCGCATGGTACACCGACCACCGTAGTGAGCCATCTCCCAGTACAGTACGTTTCTTGGCTTTGCGCCCGACTGAACTGCCGGACGCTAGTGAGCTCCTTCATCACAATAAGGTGAACGCACGAAGAGGGAAGGGGGCTGGGGTCGTATACTACCTATATATATATATATATATATATATATATATATATATATATATATATATATATATATATATATATGATGAGTCTCTATCGAACTGATACAGGATGTATGTTTGTTGCTTTTTCAAGTCGAAACGGCTGAACGGATTTGAAAAACAAATCTGCACAAACAGACTTAAAAATTAGTTTTTTTTTTACTTTTTTTAAAGATATCACTAATATTTTTTATCTTTACAGCCTCTTTTAATCGGCGTATATGGTATAACTGCTTTAGCAATGTTCGCGTTGGCCATAATGATTGTTTTCCAAGAGCGATATGGTAATGTTCCAGCGTGGATGCCTGCTGTAGCTTTAATACTGTCAGTAGCTATGTTCAGCGGTGGAGTGTCACCTCTGGCCTTCATTGTTACGTCAGAAATGTTTAATTTCCATGTAAGTATTATTGTATGGTGACATTATCTAAGGAAGCTCGCAGAAGCTTTAATTGAAACTAGTTTTTCTAATTTTTCGTGGATTTATTTGGATTTTTTATCCCCGATATTTCGAATACTTTATAGCAATCAAGGTCACGGGAAAGACTTAGGTTTCAGACCTCTCGAACGTTGTAGTTCTTACAGATAGCAACTATCATTATATCGACAATTTATTTCGATTAAAAAATAAGACGGAAACTTGTACAATTTTTAAACCGGTTTTTATCATTGATCCCGAACCGAAAGGCTTTTCGGTTTAAGGTTTCGGTTTTTGACGAATTTAGGTTCTATGATCAAAATTAACCGGTTAAAATGAGTTTTTGCGCACTTACATTTAGCGAATCTTTGCTAATGGTGAATTTCTTAGTAGAAGAATACGCGTACGCTTTTTACTTATGAATGAATAGATAATGTCTTTTTCTATTAGTAAAAACCGTAAAAATATTCATACAGTAGTTTATGCTGGAAATCCTAGTTGGTATCACGTTGAAAATATATTTTCAAATATATTTAATTATAGTATATTAAAACAATACTCATTTTATACTATATTAAAAACTTTTTCTATTAGTGAAAAACGTATAAAAAACACGTTAAAAATATGTTTTCGAATAGTAAAAAATATTTATTTTCTAATATATTAAAAACGTAATAGTTCATTGAAGAGTTAAGGAAAGTTTGACGCTAATGTTCATTTCAGATCAGAGCCACGGTGATGGGCGTGGTGGTCACTTACGGATGGCTTTTGACGTCTGTAGAACTGATGACTTATACTCCTATAGCAAATTCAATGGGAGAATTTGCCCCTTACGTTTTTTATGGATGTGTCAATTTAGCTGCAGTATTTTTTGTTGCATTCTTCTTACCTGAGACACGGGGTAAGACTGAGGAAGAGATATTTAAAAACGTGAAGAATAAGGATGTTCATGACAGTGTTATATGATCTGAAGATCGTTAGAAATATATATATATATATATATATATATATATATATATATATATATATATATATATATATATATATATATATATTAGTGTAACTAGTTAATGTTTGACAGAAAGAGAACAGAACAGTATTTAATTTAAAAAATGTACCTCTTTTCTTCTTTAAAAATGTTGAATGGAGCGTTTTTATGTTGTATTAGTTAATGACCGTGTTGTTTGTGATTGTTTGACGTAATGGCACCGCGGTACGGGTCTTTAGTCAAGAGTTTGATTTCCGGCTCTATAAATGTTTGTTTTGTTTGGAAGCCGTTATTGTTATGAACCACTTTTAATCATTGAAAGAAGAGTCCTAACGCTTGTAACCCACTAAGTGTTATAACGCAGATATTAAAAAAACAGTATACTTTTATGGTAAATAGATTTTTAAATTTTTTTATGAAATAAATAAAATAATTTTATTAAAGACTGTTGTTTTATACGCGTTTGGTTGTGGCTCCAGATACAGCGTCATTCGGCCCTAGGAGAGGTAGAGTCATAGGAGTAATAGAATGGGATTTAAGTGGCCACGTAGGAGCTAAGAGTAATACATATGGAGCAGTACATGACAGTTTTGGACTAGTCGAAGCAAATAAACAGGGAGAAGACATTTTGGAATTTGCAGTCAGACATGTTTTAACCCTGATAAATACACATTTCCAAAAGAAAGAAGAACATATAATCTATACATATAATAAAATTGTAACTAAGTCGAATCTGTACATTAAATATTTTTTGGAAACTCTACTTGAAATAGACATTATTATCGATACAGAGTCCGAATCTATAGTTTTTAGAATTTTTGTCTGTCTGTCTGTCTGTCTGTCTGTCTGTCTGTCTGTCTGTCTGTCTGTTTGTCTGTCTGTCTGTCTGTCTGTCTGTTACCGCATCACGAGAAAACCACTGGTCAGATTTTGATGAAATTTGGTATGATGATAATTGGTTATCCGGGTCAACATATAGGATACTTTTTACCGCGGGAAATTATCTCATTTCTGAGAAAAAATACAAAAACTGCACTGTAAGAGTATAACTAATATGTAAAACCTAAGAATTTGGTTTTTGGTCATCTTTACGCGGGCGGAGCCATAGGCAATGCTAGTAACATATAAATATGCAGGACGAGTGTTAGACAAAATTTCAAGGACTGCAAAGAAATCCCTGGCGAGTCTCTGACTTCGCAACACCGCATACTCATAGCCTTTTACGCTCTGTCCAAACCTATAAAAATTGTGGTGGACAGAACCGCGTACTAAATAATAATAATAAATAAATAAATATGTTGGGACATTAACACCCAGCACCCTCTAGCTCCATGGTAAGCTAAGAGGCTTGTGTTATGGATACCAGATAGTTGATACACTACACATATATAACTTTAAATACATACATATTATAAATATAAACACCCATGACTGGAGTACAAACATTCGTGATCACACAAATGAATGCCCTCAGCGGGACTCGAAGCGCGACCGCTGGCACAGCAAGTAGGGTCACTACAAACTTAGCCAAACGTGTCATCAAGAAAAAGATTAAAGAAGAAAAATTATTAACAGGCAACTCACAAATTATGGATAGATGGTATGAATAGCATTAACAACTACTAAATGAAGAATTTTCAAATGAAGACCCTGCTAACCTACATCTGGAGCAATACCAAAAAAGTGAATATATTTGAAATCAAACATTCGATAGCCAAAATGAAAAACCGAAAAACAGGTCCAGATGAGATACTAGCGGATCTATGAAAAGGTAGAAAGGCTTTTGTATGTGGATATTAATTTCTGACAGAAGCAACGGAAAAAAGTGTTTTATCTTACGTGGCTTGAACTATCTTCAGTCAGCAACCGATTTTATTGTAAGAATTAAAATATTTGTACTGGAATCATAATTATACTGCTTCATAATGACTATTTGGAAGAAGTGTATTTTGTTGTAAAATGTATGACGTAGCTCTTTACTTGTATAAATATTAAATAACAATAGAGATATGGAAGAATCCTATAGTATTGTATGTTTTAACATTGAAAAAAATTATAATATTATGTATCTATATAATAATAATGGGATATATACGTATCCTTCCCTTACTTGAGAAATTATTGATTCCCCATACAAACTTTCATTTTCCTTTTCATCCCCTTAAGTATGATGATGATTTTCGGGATAATAACTATCCTACGTCCTTCCCAGGGCTTTAAATTATATTCATATTAAATTTCATTGATATCGGTTCAGCGGAGTTTTAGTTTATCCATTACAAACAAACAAACATACATAAACCATTTTTTTCTCTTTATAATTATTCTAGCATATTCCCTGCCTTCGACTAGTTGCATATTTAAATTGATATTTTTATAATTTTTCATTAGTGGAAAACTGTAAAGTGAGAAGTTGAACTACACAAAAAGGCTGAAGCTAATAAAATACCTTAAAATTAATTTCGCCGGAAAATTGAAATTGTGACCTCTTAAACATTATCATAATGTCAATTATTAAACGAAGTCTGTGTATTTTCTTGTATTGTGCTTAGTCTATATATTAGGTGATATAAAGACTATACTATGATATATAAACTGTATATATTAAGTGAAAAAGTCTAACATATATACAGATAAATTAAATTGAGGTGTCTGTTTGTAATGTCAAAAAACAGCTTTTTACTAAATGCATATTATGTAAATGAAATGATATGTATATACGGTACTTATAGGAAGAACAAATTTTTTAGTTTTTTTTTCTGTCTGTCTGTTTGGTCCGGTTAATCTCCGAAACGGCTGGACAGCTTTTGACGGGACTTTAACTGGCAGATAGCTTATGTTATAAGGACCAACTTACGCAACTATTATTTTAGAAAAAGAATTAGGGTTCTGCTAAAAAGATTAATAATTATGCCATTATACCACCGAGGCAGTCAACTTATTGTTGTAATTTTTATAATCGTACTTACCATGCAAGCATGATATGTGTTAAAGAATTATATTACCAAGTTGTATTATCTAAGTACTAATATGCATTAACGTAGTTTTAAATAGTGTTCGTATGTACTTACAATAAAATTCATATTAAAATGTTTCACTTTAAAAGAATATATTATAACGGTTCTAGCAACCTTCGCTTTTCCTCATCGCTAGGTGCCTTTTGTATTTATAATATCCCATCAAAAAACATAAATGTGCCAAACATGAGAGCTAAAAATAGAATAATAATAAATAAAGAATTGAGATCTAAATGGATGCCAAGTTCTGAAGATAATAAAGTTTTTTTTTCAAATAACCTATTAAATTTGAACAGTCGAATTATTTACACAGAGTAGATAACTTAGAATAAACTTAGAATAATTGAAGTTCACGATTTGACTAGCTGGCCAAATCCGGATTGGTTAACTTCACATGTCTTTCAAAAACTTGCTAGGTTCTCACAACTGCAGGTTTCCTTACAATGTTTTCCTTCACCGTAAGATGTAAGTGGTAACCATGGTGGAAATGATTCGCACATGAAAATATGCGAGATCTCGGATTCGAACCTGTTTCACTGGGTTTCCCAAGGGAGCGCGTTACTTGAACACTACTGGGTTCTGGGCTACCACTGCTTAAAAAACTATACGTTTAATGCAGTATGAAGATTTTAATATTTGTTGTTAATTTTCAGCCAGCGAGAGAATGACTTTTTAGGTCAGTTCGTAGCTTGGTAATTCCTAGGTAGGAGACATCAGCTGAGAACAGATTTTGCGACAGAACCAAATGAAGTTAGTCTAAGGGTTATTGTAAAATAAGAAAGGCATTATTATGTTTGTTTTGTTGCTAGAGTCATAAAGGTGACTTATTCTGGTTACAAATGAATCAAGAACGCGAGCACAGCCAAGGTAAAAGGTAGTAGTAATATTTATTGACAACTAGCGGCTTAACCTCGCTTCGCTCCGGTTCCCTTCTAGACAAACAAAAACTAATCTATCCCACGGAAACCGTAAATTTTTCCGGGATAAAAAGTAGCCTATTTGTTATTCTGATATATGAACTGTCATGTAGGTAGATATAAAACAAATAAACGGGTAGATACAATACAAGCCAACGCCTATTTGTTTTACCAATAAATCATTCAGCGATAGTCCGTCTTTCATTTCATACATTACAATTGGCGCAGTCGGTTTCCTAAAAATAAGTTTAGTTTTTTTTTTCATCATACTATGCCTTTTGGAAAAATAGAAACTTTTGAAGTAGGTTCCCATAACTGGGATGCCTATTGTAGAAGAATAAAGCAGTTTATAACATTAAATGACATTAGTGAACATTTGCACGTGGCCACGCTAGTCACACACGTTGGCGTGTCTTGCTACGAGTTAATGTGTGATTTATGCTCCCCGGATTTACCTGAAGATAAAACATTTGATGAGCTCGTGGATATCGTTAAAAATCATCTGGAGCCGCAGAGGTCGGAGATTGCTGAACGCCATATATTTCGGCAGCGGAAACAACTTCAAGGCGAGACTGTGAGTGATTACTTACAAAGTTTAAAGCATCTGGCGAAAACATGTAATTTTCGCGATACTCTAGAAATCAATATAAGGGATCAATTCGTCTCTGGACTTATTAATGAAGATATGAGGTCAAGGTTGTTTGCCGAGCGAGATATCGATTATAAACGTGCTATTGAACTCGCATTAGCATTAGAAGCGGCGGACAGGCACGCAGCAGAGGCGGCGTCCGGTGCTAGCAATGGAGTTGCGGAAGGGTTACATAACGTAAGGATGAAGCGTATCGTCGGCGTGACGGCGAGCCGGGACGCAGCGGGCGGCGCGAGCGGCGCTGCAGCGAGCGACGGCGGCGGCGCGCGGCGTGCGTGTTCGCGCTACGGACGCGCGGGGCACGGGCCAGCGCGGTGTCGATTTAAGCAGTACACGTGTGATAATTGTGGACAAAAAGGTCATCTTAAAGTTGTGTGTCAAAATTACAAAAGTGTTAGCGACAGTGAGTACCAGAAACATCATAAAGGTCAGTTCTTTTTAGATGATTCAAGTGACAGTGATTTAAATTTTTATAATTTATCATGTAATCGTGATGATAAACCATATTATATCAATTTAACTATTGAAAACATTTTATTAAAGTTTGAAATCGATACCGGTAGTAAAATATCTGTTATTTCTAAACAATGTTATGATAATTATTTTGCAAATATTTGTTTACAACACAAGCATCTACGATTAAAATCTTATACGGGAAATATTATTGAACCTCTGGGTTACATATTAGTTAATGTAAAATACAATAATTGTTTGTTTAAGTTACAATTATTTGTTATTAAAAATGGTGGCCCGCCATTGTTAGGTCGTACTTGGATCAGATGTTTACAACTTAATATTACAAACTGTTTCAGTATATGTGATAACGATGAAAACATTGATAATTCTATAGAATTACTGCGTAAGGAATTTCCTGAAGTTTTTGCTGATGGGCTTGGGACTTTTAAAACACAAATGCAATTGCATCTCGCCGATAAAACACCCATATTTGTTAAGGCGCGGCCGTTGCCTCTGGCCTTAAGGGCACCGGTCGAACGCGAACTTGAGCGATTGCAACGCGAAGATGTCATTTATAAAGTAGATAGTTCCGAATACGGTACACCTATTGTTCCCATAATTAAAAAAAATGGTTCTATACGAATATGTGGAGATTACAAAATAACGATTAATCCGCGTTTAAAAGATTTTCATTATCCTCTTCCCCGAATCGAAGATATTTTTGCTACACTCGCGGGGGGTGAGCAATTTTCTAAACTTGATTTGTCCCATGCCTATCAGCAGGTTCTTCTTACAGAAGATTCTAGACCCATGACTGCAATAACCACGCATATAGGTACTTTTGTATATAAGCGGATTCCATTTGGGATTAAATGTATACCTGAGAATTTTGAAAAACTGATTGAGGAAACTTTGAATGGTTTACCTTGTACTGTTGCATTCCAAGACGATATATGTGTCACTGGGAAAGACAAACAAACCCATTTCGAAAACTTACGTGCTGTGTTATCTAGGTTAAAGGAGGCAGGTTTGCGTGTAAATTGGTCCAAATGTGAATTTTTTAAAAATAGTGTAACTTATCTTGGATATAGAATTGATAAGCTGGGCTTGCATACAGATACGGAAAAAGTTAAAGCTATTGTCGCGGCGCCATCACCGAATGATTTTACGCAATTAAAAAGTTTTTTAGGCCTTGTAAATTTTTATAGTAAATTTTGTGTTAACATGAGTAGTGTTCTTAGACCTTTGTATAACTTGCTAAAAAAAATGTAAAATGGTACTGGAGTTCGGACTGTGAATGCGCTTTCAACAAAATTAAAAAAATATTAATTAGTTCCCCGGTATTAGCTCATTATGACGCGAACTTGCCCTTGCTCTTATCAGTCGACAGCAGTGCGTACGGTTTAGGTGCAGTGCTATCTCACCGCTATCCCGACGGCACGGAGCGACCGGTCAGTTGCGCTTCTCGCACACTTAATGACGCCGAGCGAAATTATTCGCAAATCGACAAAGAAGCACTGGCAATAGTTTTCGGTGTTACAAAACACCACCAATATTTATTTGGTAGACACTTCATTCTGAGAAGCGATCATCGAGCTTTAAGCTATATTTTTGGGAAAAATAAGGGTATTCCACAAACGGCGGCTAGTCGTTTGCAAAGATATGCTTTACGTTTAGCAGCTTATACTTTTGACATAGAATTTATACCTTCTACGAAAAATTGCTTTGCTGATGCATTATCTCGCTTACCATTACACATACATAAGACTAAGAATAAAGTGCAAAAGAATGAAAATAATAGCTATTTATTTTTTATTCAAGATAAATTGCCTGTAACATTTCATGAAGTAAAAAATGAAACTAGTAAAGATTTAATTCTTAATAAGATAGTTAGTTTTGTTAAATTCGGTTGGCCTAAGGAGTTAAATAATAACGTTTATAAGCCATTTTATATAAGACGAGATAATTTATTTTTGGAACAAGGTTGTTTAGTTTGGGGTTATCGTATTGTTATACCTAGCAAATTACAAGCTTTTGTTTTAGACGAGTTACATGCGGGGCACATAGGTGTTGTTAAAATGAAACAACTGGCGCGCAACTATGTCTGGTGGAGCGGTATTGACTCGGATATCGAACGTGTGTGCCGCGAGTGTAAGCCATGTTGCGCGCAACGCGCTCAGCCCCCGCCAGCACCACTTCACACATGGGAATGGCCTACTGAACCTTGGATTCGATTAAATATAGACTTTTTAGGTCCGTTCCGGAATAGGTATTATTTAGTACTATTAGATGCTCATTCTAAGTGGTTGGAAGTAGATTGTGTAGTCAACACATCTGCTCCTATTGTTATCGCAAGTTTACGTAAAATATTTTCTAGGTTCGGTCTACCTAAGTGTATAGTTAGTGACAACGGACCGCCATTTTCCTCAAACCAGTATTTGTCGTATTTAAATAATAACGGTATTAAAAGAGTTTTAGTGGCTCCGTATCATCCCTCTAGTAATGGTGCAGCCGAAAATGTAGTAAAGACAGTTAAGTTAGTATTAAAAAAGGCAGTTTTACAAAATGAAAATATTGATGAGGCCCTTTGCAAATTTCTATTCACTTACAGAAATACTGAGCATTGTACAACACAAAAAGAACCTTCGGTAGCACTTATGGGTCATAGGTTACGCGGAAGGTTAGATCTCTTGCGTCCGAGTACTCGCGATGTAGTGCTTGATAAGCAACAGGCACAACAAGCTCGTCATGGAGGGGTTGTGCGAGACATGTCCCCCGGGGACCGAGTATTGGTTCGAAATTATAACGACAGCTTAGTTAAATGGAAGGAAGGGGTAGTAGTAGAAAAAAGGGGGCCGGTCTCCTATGTTGTTAAAACAGATAGCGATGATCGTATTAGTAAAAGACACGTTGACCAGTTATTAAAGAAAAATGTACGATTTTCGCGTTATTCGTTGCCGACATCAAATTGTACTCAGCCATCCAGTCCTTATAAGGCAGATTCTTTAATAAATACATCTTCAACATCTATATTCCAATCTCCTTTGTCAGATAAAAATAGTTCGGAACTGAATAATGACAATAGGAAAGCGCAGTCACCTCCGTTGTATCCTACTGAACCGTCACATTCACAATCATTAAAGCCTCAGCCTGAAAAATATGTTTCTCATGGTATGACGTTAAGACCTCGCAAAAAAGTATTGTAAGTTAGACTTTAAGACATTAATATTGTACGGGACGTATACTAATTTGTTGTCCTTTATAACATGTATTCTTAGATTATGCTTAGTTTAACTTTAACTGTATTCTTAAGGAAGTTGTTTTGTTAATTGTTTTAATGATTACATTACTTAATTAAAGGGGGAGAAAATGTCATGTAGGTAGATATAAAACAAATAAACGGGTAGATACAATACAAGCCAACGCCTATTTGTTTTACCAATAAATCATTCAGCGATAGTCCGTCTTTCATTTCATACATTACAATTGGCGCAGTCGGTTTCCTAAAAATAAGTTTAGTTTTTTTTTTTCATCATACTATGCCTTTTGGAAAAATAGAAACTTTTGAAGTAGGTTCCCATAACTGGGATGCCTATTGTAGAAGAATAAAGCAGTTTATAACATTAAATGACATTAGTGAACATTTGCACGTGGCATACATGAACGAATTAGAGACTGGACCTGACATAAAATACAAATGTATGAAAACTAGTTCAACCAAAAGACGCATAACGCACACAAAGATTTTATTACATTATTATAAACACTGATACACAATACAATATTTCTAGTGCTTGAACGTAATCGATAAAATACATATATCGATGAACCAATGAATCACATTTTAGACATTGGTTAGCATAGTCATCATATTTTACATCTTTTAATTTACTCTTCTTCTTTTAATTTTAATAAATTAAAATAAATGAATTAAAGAGGCAATAATAATGTGTCAAATAATAATTATTTTTTAATTTGATTTATATAAATACGATGGCATTGATGGCAACATTCTGTTGGCCTATAATAATGTTAATGAACAAATGAATATCGGGTATATATTCCATTAATATATAATAAATATTATTTTGTAAAGATTAAAAAAATATTAAGCTAATTTAATTAAATAAAGTGATTTTGTTGATTCTGTTATTGAACTATTTTAATTGGCAATTGATTGTCTCGGGTAGTTATAAAAATGTGACACTGTCCTAATATTGCTCAGTTCTTAATAAACATTTGTGAAATTAGGAAAAAGAAAAAGTGATTGCAAATTAAAGTGAGTGTTGGATCGTGAAAGTAAAATAATTAGTGCAAGTGGTAAAGTGTTTTATTACAAATCGCCAACCCAGAAGTTTAGTGCTAAAACATTATTGTTTGATTTTGTGTAATTTATGTGTTGAAATAAAATGATCTTTATTATTATTACAATGGAATAATATTCCAAAGTATATAAATGTGGAATAAAATAAAAAATTAAGTACACATACTAGTTATAATTTTTGCATTTATATTTTTATTTGATTTAGAAATTATTTTTATAAATTTATTATCATCAGATTGTAGGATACTGTGGTAAAAGTATTTTATGTTATTGTACTGTACAAATAACACAATTCGTTTAGTTATTTCGTCAAATATCGATATATTTTTCAACATTGTCAAGTACTAGTCGATGTCAAATGGACTCGCTCGACAGTTTTGTCATTTGTTCTGAATGGTATAATCCAGCCATTTTATGATGGTTGTCAGATGTCAACAATACATAGAAATATCGACTATATTTAACATAGTTGGATAATATGACATTTTATTTTACATTTAATTAAATTATGTGATAAATAACAATAAATGTAATAAAATAATGTATTTACAAGTGAAAAGAAATACTGCTGCTTCCGCCGTTATAGTTTTAACATCATTTAACAGAACATTTAGTCATTTTTGGAAGATGTTTTGTTGACAAATAAGTGCTTGAGACTGACGCAAAAAACAAACGACCAAGCCTAAAATCTCCTGGTTACTGAGAAGACCGATAAAGGTACGTCCGCTTATATGTCTGGTCCAGTGGTTAATTCGTTCATGGAACTATATTACTGTAAGGTTTCATTAAAATCCAATCAGTCGTTTTTGTGAACTAATCTGTATAAGTTACTATAGTTTTTTAACTATCCGACGGGGATTTTTTAATTTTCCGGCATAATAAGTATCTAAAATGTTGACTTGGGATATAAGGTACCACCATGCAAAATTTCATTTAAATAGGTCCAACAGTTTAGTCCGCGGATTAGTCCGAACAAACAGACAAACAGAGAAAAAAAATTCAAAAAAATCTGGATTTGTTCTATTTCGCTTCTTACATCCCCCTGACTCGGTTATTAGCATTTTTTTCGATGTACAGACATTCAATCTCTACAGTTTTATTATAATATGTATATAGATATGATAATTTTTATCTATATTTATTGTCTCTTTACTAGATAAAAGTTCAAAGATGGTGAGTGTAACACCATTTGTACGCTATTTACTTTTGGCTTTATCAGATAGTAGTGATAATTTAATATATAGTTACGTAAAATAAAGATTTTCAAATTAGAATTTGATATTCATTTTATTTATTTTGAAACTAGCGCCTTATCCCCAATTCGCTCGAGTTCGTCTTTAGGTGGTAGCCCCATCTGCTCCCACGGTCATCTCTGCTATCAGAGTACTGATAGGAGAAACCCGTATGCTATATCGTCCACTGAAGTGAGAATGCGTTTTTTAGCTTAGGTTATACTCAGCTTCGGCAATAATAATTTAAATAGGCGAAGGGATAACAGTTCAGTACCTTTTTCTCTTCTGTTTGTTAACCGTCTTTTTGTGTAGTAACTATGGAAGCGCTTTACGTTTATCAATAAAATATCAACATTTTCCAAATTTTCATTCGAGCATTTATCATGACATCTATGATCTAATATATTGTTTTAAGTTGTACTCGTATAAAAATATAACGAAAACCGAATCTAAAGGAGGTTCAAATCCCGGGTCTCGCACCTTTGATATTTTCACGTGTGAATCATTTCCAACATGATTATCACTTGTCTCTCGGTAAAGGTCTCATCGTCAGAAAATTAATTTTTTAAAGAATTCTTAAAATTAATTGATAAAGTTTTTTTAAAAATTGTAATAACAACAGCTAAAATTAAATAAATAATATAATACTGTATTCAATTATAATACTTAATAAAAAAATTAAAATGTTTGGAATTAAAACTAACAAATATTGTGAGGTACTCTGTGCCATTTTTGAATTTTTGAAATCATTTTTGTAAAATTGTGGGTAGGCACTGTCTGTAATAAGTATATTAACGCCTTTGAGATGTCTAAAATCTTAGTCTCTCCCGTGACCATGACTGCTGTAAAACATTCGAAATGTCAGAAACCAAAAATCTAAATAAATCAGCAAAATAATCCGAAAAGATAGTTTTATTTAAAATATTCAAGTATTTGCGTAAATCTAAGAAAGTATTTACTTATGTACTTAAAATATCTGTCACCACATCTTTAGAAATATAGGATTTCCTATAATGTTAGTTTCTCAGTCAGTGAATAAAGCCTATAGCTGGTGCACGTGAAGAGTGAATTCAAGTAAAAATGGTCGCTGATAAAGAAATTACAAAGAAATCTGGTCACACATATAGACAGTGGATGTTTGCTATTACGGGTACCCGTGTCTTTATTTAAAGAAAATATTTTATGAAATTAATTTTATCCATCTTAAACAATCTCTCACCATTATGATGGAAGTATCATAATGGGGAGAATATAATATAATATACAAAAAAAGAAAATTTATGGTGGAATCAAAATTTATTTTAAAATATATCCGAAAATAAAATTCAAAATTTTAATTATAGTATAAAAATGTTTTAAAAGACAACAAAATCAAAAGTGCATAATAATTACAAGACTTCCGCGACACCATTCAGACAAATAGAGACAATAGCATTCCCGAGAAGGGTTGACGTCAGGCAGGCGGCCGGTCGTAAAACTTTTGCCAAATCCTATCAGCAGTACAGAACATGTACCTACTGCGCCGACACCAAGTGATTGGGAAATGGGCAGGGAGAAGAAGATGATGGAAGTATCACCTGGTGTGGGGATGTCGTGAACCATTCATCCAAGATTTATTGTGCTTGATCTGTTATATTGATAATACATTTTTTTGGTTTCATTAAACTGGGAATAAGTGGGAATTTCTCTATTTTTGTTTATCTATTAGAAAATGGAAATTTATGAAGTTGTGAGATCTTGTATCTCAAAATTTTAAGAAATAGCTAGATATTAATTTAAAATTAAAATAAACAAAGTAAATTAGACCTCTAATTTTACGAATTAATAATAATTAATAATATTTTAACGGTTAAATCGTTTAAATAGAATTTCAAGGCAACATTCATTCATTTCATGTACGTAAAAGTACCAACAGAGTTATAATGATTTTTCTGTCGATAGTTGCACTTGGGTTATGTTTTGTTTTTCTGGTTATTTTAAAATTGAACAATATTCTTATAAGTATTGTTTATTTTTTATAATTATTTTATTTTTTATAATAAAATGCTTATAACTCTGTTGGTACTTTTACGCACATGGCTGTTTTATCATAACTGGGTCCATTTGAATGGTTTCTGGGTCTATAATTGATAGACTAGGATAATATTTCACGATTTTTCATCGTGGATTAGTTCTTGATCCTGACTTTACAGTTAAAAATAAATGTAAATTTGTAAAACTTTAAAGTGAAACTATCTTTTTGGATTTATTTTTATTTTTGGTTTCCGACGTTTTGAATGTACTCTCTCTCCCGACCATGATTTTCTTTCGAGAAGGTGAGAAAAGATAGTTTTATTTAAAATACATGCGTAAATTTAAGAAAGTACATATTAAACATAAAACTGTAAAAATATTAAATAAAATAAAGAATATATCTGAATTGTTTATTTATTTTTCTGTGAAGGCCAAAATTATAATATTATCGATATTTTTAAGCCAATTTTACAATCCTGGTCTATGGTTTGGAGAGTGGTTGGATATCTCCCATTACGTCGTTGCTACAGTCAGAGGATTCCCCAGCCGGATACCCACTAACAGACTCTCAGCTCTCTTGGGTAGCAAGTGTGGTGAGTTTGACCGCAACATTTGGAGTCGTCACGTACTCTTATGTTGCTGACAAGTATGGGAGGAAAATTTGCGTGATCTTCATTTCCATTTTGGAAGCAGTAAGTACAAGTTTTTTAATAAATTTGTAATAATTCTACAAGTTTTATCAAACTTAATATCATATTTAGTTAATTAGTTAAAATCAATTCTATATTTGGGCTTATTAATAATAATAACTTGCTATTAAATGTACAAAATAGTCAACTTTTAGATGAAATTAGTAATAAAAAAATTTTTTTGAGATAGTGTGGCACTTAAAAGTTATTAAAATTTCATTTGTTTTGAATATTATGTTATTATTTTTTCTTTAAACAGGGAAGATTTTAGTAATTTGAAAAATAAATATTCTCATTTATTTCAGATTTCATGGATAATTCGACTATCGTACACTTCGTTCCATCTGCTTATTTTAGCTAGAATCCTCGCTGGTTTAGCAGCTGGTGGTTGTTTCACCATCACTACTATTTACGTGAAAGAAATAAGTCAAGATGATTTAACAGGGATTTTAGGGACTTTCTCCATTCTTATGCATACTACTGGAATATTTTTGATGTATCTTATGGGAGCCTATATGGACTATACGGTAGTTATTATTATTGTCCTGGTGGTGTCAATATTAACGATGATTGCAATGACAAGAGCTCCTGAATCACCCGCATTCTTAGTTAAACAAGATAAAATTGAAGTAAGTATTTTAGATTATGATTGTTTTTCACGATGAAAATTTGTAACTATTTGCATAATATTTTATATAAGAGAATTTAACTGAATATTATATAAAACATACTTTTTTGCCTTGAGATTTTATATGAATTCCTGTACAGAAAGCAAAAGAAACCGTGGCATATCTCAGAGGACTAGACATTGATCATGATGTTGTAAAAAGAGTTATTGACGATCTGATTAAAGAAGACGTGCGTTTTACAACTTTACCAACAATCAATTTCATAAACATATGTAAGTAGCTTGTGAACTAATAGAATATGAAAGCCAAAAGTTTGTTAACCGACTTCCAAAAAGGAGGTTCTCAATTCGTTGGAATCTTTTTTTTATGTATGTTCACTCGAAGACGCCTGAACCAATTTGGATTTTTATACTTCACAGGTGGTCCCATATAAATTTTATCGGAATCGGTCAAGCGGTTTTAAAAAAAATCAACAACAAATAATTTTTTTAAATAAACTGTTCAAACGAATATGTTATTAAAAAAGTTTCTTCTGACAAATTACCTGCTTATTACATCGAAGTTGGTGCCAGCCGACAATAATTTAAGATAAATATATGTTTTACGTATCGAAATATATTAGATTTGCATCGGCTGGCACCGACTTCGAAAATATCTATTCTAAATGAAAACCCCTGTTTAGTTATTTTTACATTTTAGTGCCTGGAAGCCGGTTTTTTTTAAGTTTTTATTTTATTACGGAGTTAGCATACTTTTAAATTATTAAAAAATAAAAATTGGATAAATAATCGGAGAAATAAAATTAAAAGAGATAAATAGATACAGTGAAATATGCTAGCTGGATTTTGGAACTGGCCTTATTCTCAACTTCGAGTTTATTAATTGAGATATTTTTTTTAGTAAAAAACAATTCTTGGCGTCGTGGCTTCATCCTCATAATGTTTCTATTTACATGCTATGAAATAAATGGTGCATCTGTCATTGTGACTTTTGCGACTAAAATGTTAACGTCGACTGGAATACAGTTTGATATAAGTCCTGAGGTCCAGTCTATCAGTTTCCCACTTGTGATGATCATCGCTTCACTTGGGTTGACTTCTTGCGTTGAGAGATGTGGAAGAAAGGTAAGAAATTTTGTTATCTTGAACAGCTTATTCTTTAAAAAAGAACATTACAAGGTTATTTTCTAATTCTTATTATTATTCTTGTTTCTTTAAATGGTTCTTGGATTGTCAAATTAGTAACTGTAGCGTAATAGATGTTCAAATATCCAATAAATATCCAAGTAAATCCTTTTGTCATTTAAATAATAATAATAATTTATGGAATACAATTCATCATTTGTTTGTTAGTGTGTAAATCAGATAAAGAGAACTTGGAAGATTTATGGGTTGGCTTGTAGGTAACATAAGCTCATATCAGGATTTTTGGGCCGTAATATAGAGGTGTTTATCTCATACATGCCAATAGTAATTTACTGATATGCCCGAACGAACCCATGATCCCTATCGAGTGCTATAGGATGTGTGTATCTATGTATGTTTGTTTGTCTTTGTGCCGTAATGTTCTTAATAAGATGTTACTAATATATATTTTTTATTATTACAGCCTCTTTTAATCGGGGCATATGGTATAACTGCGCTTGCAATGTTCTCGTTGGCCATAATGATTGTTTTCCAAGAGCGATATGGTAATGTTCCAGCGTGGATGCCTGCTGTAGCTTTAATACTGTCAGTAGCTATGTGCAGCGGTGGAGTGTCACCTCTGGCCTTCATTGTCATGATGGAAATGTTTAATTTCCATGTAAGTATTATTGTATAAAATCATCCTCGTATACTGTCGCGGGTTTATTTAAATTTTTGGGCCCTGACATTTTGAACGCTTTACAGCAATCGAGGTAATACGTAGAGACTAAGGTATTAGATGTCTCAAAGGTCATTATATAGTTGCTACAGACGGCGCCTATATATTGTTAATTTTAATTTTAAAAGTTTGAAAAGATAGCTCTCAGTAGGAGCATTATTAGACTTAATGCACATACTGTATCATCATACTGGACGCTTATTTTCGCAAAATTTTTATAACCTAATATTTTTTAAGCATTATAGCCTTTTTAGATATGTAATATTTTTTTAGAGTATCTCTTTTTCTATTAGTGAAAACCGTATGAAAACCACGCTAAAAATATATTTTCAAATATTTAAAAATATTTATTTTCTAATATATTAAAATCGTAATAGTTCATTGAAGAGTTAAAAAATGTTTGACGCTAATGATTTGTCTTTTCAGATCAGAGCCACGGTGATGGGCGTGGTGGTCACTTATGCATGGTTCTTGACGTCCATAGGACAGATCACTTATACTCCGATGGCCAATTCAATGGGAGAATTTGCTCCTTACGTTTTTTATGGATGTGTCAATTTAGCTGCAATATTTTTCGTTACATTCTTCTTACCGGAGACACGGGGCAAAACTGAGGAAGAGATATTTAAAAATGTGAAGAATAAGAATGTTGGCGACAGTGTAATATGATCTGAAATACGTTAGAAATATATGAAAATAGGACATGTTCGAATATATTTTAATGTAATTAATTAGTTAATGTTTGTAAGATAGAAAGAGAATTTACCGGTGGTAGGACTCTGTCAAGCCTGAGGACTCCGACTTGATGGGTACCACCCCTTATCTATTTCTCCCGCCAAGCAACAATGATTACATTTTTGTATTCCGGTTTTAAGGATAAGGTAACCAGTGCAATTACAGGCAAGAGGCATATCATCTTAGTGACATCTTCCTCACAGTGACAACGCACCTGCGGTTCTGCATTTTTTTAACATAAAACCTAAGTGCATGAACCGTAGGTGTTATGGGCGACAGGTACCGCTTTCTATCAGGTAGGCAGTCTGCTCGTTTGTCACTGAATACCATAAAAAAAGAATAGAAGAGTGTTGAATTAATATATAAAAAAATCATCTTCTTCTTCTTTAAGAGTGTTTAATGTATATATTATATGTTTATTAATCATATTTATATGTTTAATTAATTAATATTCTTGCTGTTTGTGATCGTGCGACGCAGTGGCACTGTGCCATGTGTCCTTTAGTCAAGAATTCTGTTTCCGACTCATAGTAATTACTGTTCAAATATTCTTACTGATGCGGTAATAGGGAAGAGTATAATTGGAAACCATTTATGGTATGAAACACCTAATATCATTGGAAGAAGAGTCCTAAAGTTTGTAACTCACTAAGTGTTATAACGTGATGATGATGATGATGATGTTCTCCTAGCCGATTCCGGCCACGGCGGCCAATCTCAATGAGATTAGCCAACTGCGCAGGAGATATTATAGTGCTCAAGTGTACGCGCAGACACAAGTGCACTCTTTATTCCTATCACTCTCATACTCCGGTGGGACGACCACTCGACACGACCAGTGAGAGTTAAGGCGCAGGACCGACGGCTTTATGTGCTCTCCGAGGCACGGGGGTGAAACACCGCCAACTTCCCAACTCCGGGCTGTTACTGAGACTTACTATACAGGAAGACTCAATAACTAAACTTGGCCCGACCCGGGACTCGAACCCAGGACCTCCGGGTGTGCAGCCGTACATGCTAGCCACTACACCACCGAGGCAGGCAGGTGTTATAACGTAAATATTGAATAAACAGTATACGTTTAAATTGTATTTCATCAAATGTAAATAGATATATATTTTTTATCGAAATAAATAAAATAATTTTATTAAGTACTGTTTTTTTATAGGCCTTTGGTTGTGGCTCCAGACACATGGTGAACTTCACATGTCTTTCAAAAACTTGCTAGGTTCTCTCAGACATGCAGGCTGCATCACGATGTTTTCCTTCACCATAAGACAAGTGATAATTACGCTGAAAATGATTTGCACATGAAAATATCAGAAGGGCGAGACCCGGTATTTGAACCTGCATTACTCGGTTTCACACCTTTTTACCACTGGGATACCACTGGCTAAAAATATATGTTTAATGCAGTATTATTTTAATATAGTTATTGTTTTTATATATAGTACTATAGTTTTTGTTTTTCAGTTAGTGAGACAATGACCTTTCCATTTAGGTCCATTGGCAGCTTGGTAGTTCATAGGTAGAAGACGTCAGCTGAGAACAGATTTTGCGACAGGGCGAAATAAACTTGGTCTAAAGGTTATCGTAATATATGAAAGTCCTACGTTTGTTTTGTTGTCAACCGACTTCAAAAAGGAGGAGGTTCTCAATTCGACTGTATGTTTTTTTTTTTTTTTATGTTTGTTACCTCAGAACTCCGTCATTTATTAACCGATTTGGACAATTTTTGTTTTGTTTGAAAGGGTATACTTCCAGATTGGTCCCATTTAAATTTCAAAAAAAAAATACCACCCCTAAGGGTGGAAAAACAACAAATGATGAATTTAACCTACTTCTAATTGTCATATTGACTTGAAACTTTGCAAGTATTTCTATTTCCGTTGATAGTATAGTGGTTCGGTGTTGTTGACCTGATCTGATGGCAAGGCCAGAAGGTGGATAGGTGGAACTCTTCAACGGCTAATAGTAGATACTTTGAGTTTGGGCTTATTTTGTTTGATTTGACAAGCCTAATACGTTAGAATTCTTACTTTGCTACTACTGTCTACACTAAAAAGGGAAAAATAAAAAATTTTTAACAAAAAAATAAAAACCGACTTCAAATAAAAGCACTAAAAAGTAAAAAATAACTGATTGGTAGTTTTCATTTACTATACATACCTAATCAAATATTTTCGAAGTCGGTGTGCTTTGGCTAAGTAACTAAAGCCTACCTTTTAAATACATACCTAATCAAATATTTTCGAAATCGGTGCCAGCCCATACAAAGCAAAGCACACCGACTTCGAAAATATTTGATTAGGTATGTATAGTAAATGAAAACTACCAATCAGTTATTTTTTACTTTTTAGTGCTTTTATTTGAAGTCGGTTTTTATTTTTTTGTTAAAAATTTTTTTTAGAGTCATAAAGACTCATTCTGGTTGCATAAATTATGTATCAAGAATGCGAGAAAAGCCGCGTTAATAACTAGTAGGTAATATTTGTTGACAATATGATAATTTTCAACGACATTTAATGTCTCTTTACGAGATAAAAGTTCAAAGACGTTTGAGTGTAACGCCAGGCTGAAAATTTGCACGTTATTTACTTTTGGCTTTATCAGATAGCAGTGATCCTTTAGTATATAGTTACGTAAAATGAGGATTCTCAAATGATAATTTGATAATAAATTTTTTTATTTTTAAACTAGCGACTTCGCTGCATGCTTCGCTCAAGTGTATCTTTAGGTAGTAGCATATGATCTGCTCCCACGATCATCTCTGCTTTCAGAGAAGTACCAAGAGAAATCCGCATGGTACATCGGCCACCAATGTGGGAGTGCGTTATTTATCTTAGGCTATTAGCTTAGGCAGTTATATTTAAATAGGCAATTGGATAAGTTCAGTACCTTTTTCTCCTCGGTCTGTTAACAGTTTTTTTTGTTTAGTAGCTATGACTATTTTTGTTTAGTAAAAAAAAATCATTTTAAATAAAAGTATCTTTTCGGATTATTTCGCAGATTTATTTTGATTTCGGGTTCGCGACATTTCGAATGCTTTACAGCAATCATGGTCACGGGAGAGACTAAGGTTATAGATGTCTCAAACACATACTTGTTACAGACAGACACTATTTTACAAAAATGATTTCAAAAATTCAAAAATGGCAATAAAGTACCTTACAATAATTGTTGCTTTTATTTCTAAACACTTTTAAAAAAATTAATAATATTATAATTAAATATAGCAATATTATTTATTTAATTTTTGCTGTTATTATTATAAATATTTTTAAAAACTTTATTAATTACTATATTATTTAGTGTTGCTATTATTATATTATGTATAACCATAAAGAATATTAAAAATTAAAAATATTAATTATTTATCTACGCAATATTATTGTTTTATATATAATTTAAAAGAAGTTAAAATATTAATTTAGATTGCTATTATTTAAAGTTAAAATATTGAGCAAAACTATTGCTGCCTTTATAGATAAAAACTAAAAAATTTAGAAAAAAAAATATTATTCAGAATTACTGTAATTATTGCGATATACACAGTATGAACTAACTACATCTACTGGTCTCTTATTGAAGAACCCATCATTTTCCAAATTTTCATCCGAGCATCTATCATGACATTTGCGACCTACTAATTTTTTTAAGTACTATAAAAGTATAAGTTTCTATATCCTATCGGCTGGCACCGACTTCGAAAATATCTGATTAGGTATCTATTCTAAATGAAAACCCCCGTTTAAATAAAACTATCTTTTCGGATTTTGTCGCGGATTTATTTGTATTTTTGTTTCCCGACGTTTCGAACGCTTTACAGCATCCATGGTCACGGGAGAGACTGAGGTGTTACATGTCTTAAAGATATAGTTGTTACAGACAGCCTACCCACAATTAACAAAATGAAAATTGCACCAACTACATTACAATATTTTAACTTTAAATATTTTTTTATAATTTTAATTATAATTGAATATGGAAAATTATTTATTTAATTTTTGCTATTATTTTTATAATTATTACAATTTTAAAAATATTAATTGGTAATCTATATTTAGTGTTGCCATTATTATATTTATAACCATAAGAAAAAATATAAAATATAGTATTAATTATTTAAGCCACAATTGATCTATGTGTAATTTGAAAAAGTTAATATTAATTAAAAATAATAATTTTAATTTAAATTTGCTATTATTTAAAAAAACAAATTATTAAGCAACACATTACTACATACATTTACAAATGAAAAAGTGAAAAAATATTATTAATCAGAAATGCTATCATTTTGATCTACACAGTAAGAACTTACTACATCTACCTGTCTGTTATTTTTAGATTTATTATTAGATTTTATTATATTAATAACAGGATCCCATGACGATGGTAGTACCCAGCCATCTTCCCTATTGAAATTAGGATGTTTTTTAATTTCTATGGCTTCTCTAATCATTCTAGGGCGATATCGGTTTTCTTTCGCCAGGATTTGAGGTCTATCGAAGCGAATATAATGGCTTGGGCGGTCCTGACTGTGTTTGCAGACAGCAGATGTTGTATTGCGACGGTGCTTCACATCAGCTATGTGTTCTTTGACCCGGGTTCTAATGGATCTCTTTGTTTGTCCGATGTAAGAGAGCCCACAATCACAATCAAGCTTGTAAACTCCTGCATCTTGTAGAGGGATGTGGCACTTGACAGGTGGTAGAAACTGACTAATTTTCTTTGGCGGCTTGAAGTAAGTTTTAATTGAAGCTCGCTTTAGAATGTAGCCAATCTTGTCAGTGACGCCTCTCATGTAAGCTAGGACTGCAGGGACGCGCTCGACTGTGGTTGGTTTCACTCGGTCCCTGTGACGTAGGCGTGGCACTTGCAGCTTGTTGTCTCGCAGAACTTGCTTGACATGTTGCAGCTCTCCGGCCAGGTGTTGCTCGTCACCCCCCCCAACGTGCCCTCACAAATCCACCGGGCGCGAAGCTAAGAAACGCACAGGGAGGTTGCCCACTTCGGTGGGCGGTGGGAGGTGGCCCTCTTAGGGGGGCGGTGGATCATGCGGGTTGCTCCTGGTACTTCTCTGATAGCAGAGTGGACTGTGGAGCAACCCCATGGTTGTGGTGGTCTGCTTCGGCAGACCTGCCGTCGGGGCGTCGTAGTTGAATGCGCAAGCGATCCTGCGACGCCCCATTAAGACGGGGGAAGGTTTTGTTGGGTTTTAGTGGGTAGTACTGGCTGTATTACGCCGGTGAGGCCCACACGTCGTGCGTAAATGCATTTCCCAACGTTAAAAAAAAAAAAAAAAGGTGTTGCTCGTCACAGATCTCGCGTGCCCTCTGAAACAAAGATTTTCCCACGGTAGCTAACTGTGAAGGGGGGTGGTGAGATTCACCATTCAAGTACCTATCAGTATGGGTCTTCTTTCGATACACAGTATGACTCAAGGTGTTATCTGGGTTACGTATGACTAATACATCTAAGAAAGCTAAAGAATTATTAGACTCCAATTCCATTGTAAATTGTATTTTAGGGTTTATGGAGTTAAGATGTTCTAAGAATACAGATATTTTATCAGATGGTAATATTGTGAAAGTGTCATCTACATACCGCTTGTAGAAACGAGGGGTCACAGGTGATGTGTTTAGGGCGGTCTCCTCGAAGGCCTCCATGAAGATGTCAGCTACAACGAGAGAGACCGGTGAACCCATGGCCACTCCATCCACTTGCTTGTAGAATTCATCATTCCACAATAGATAGCCAGATGTAAGGCAGTGTTTCAAAAGTTCAGTGTATTCTTCTTGCATACTATTATCCCGTAGCTTTCTTGATACTATTTTGACACAGTCCTCTACTGGTAGGCTGGTGAATAGAGACTGTACATCAAAACTGACCATAGTTTCATTGTCCATGAGTTGTAGGTGTTTTATCTCATTGACAAAATGGTATGAGTCCCTTGTAAACGCTGATGTTTGTCCTCTGAGTGTTGAGAGTACTTTCGCTACTAGTTGGGCCAATTTATAAGTCGGTGTGTCGATTTGACTCACAATTGGACGTAGCGGAGCGTTACATTTGTGTATCTTTGGAAGTCCATACAGTTTAGGCGGCTTTGCACAAGATGGAACAAGATTTTTGACATCAAGATTCAATGCATCGGAGTGTTTCTTAATAAGCTTTTTAGTATTATTTAACACAGTGGTGGTTGGGTCTGTTTTGACCTTTTTATATGTACTTTCATCCGACAAAAGTTGTTTAATTTTCTCATTGTAACCTGATGTATCCATCACGACGGTGGCATTTCCCTTATCTGCGCGTAGTATGATAATGTCTGACCTGCTGCGTAAGTTCTTCAACGCTAAATACTGTTGTTTGTTGAGATTAGGTTTGGGCGCGACAAAATCCGAAAAGATAGTTTTATTTAAAATGTCAAATATTCGCGTAAATCTAAGAAAGTATTATGTGAACCCCCGTTTAGTTATTTTTTACATTTTAGTGCCTGGACGTTAGTTTTTTTTAAGTTTTTATTGTTCCATTTATAGTGTAGACGTAATAAGTAGGTAATTTGAAAGAAGAAAGTTTTTTAATAAAGATTAAGAGTTATAAAGATATTCGATTAAGCTATTTATTTAAAAAAATAATTTATTGTTGATTTTTTTTAAAAAACCGCTCGACCAATTTCGATAAAATTTAAATGGGACCACCTGGGAAGTATAGTCTTCGCAAAAAAATATCCAAATCGGTTTAGGCGTCTTCGAGTAATCGGTGAACATACATAAAGAAAAGATTCCGATGAATTGAGAACCTCCTCCTTTTTGAAAGTCGGTTAAAAATAACTGTCACCATATATTTATCTATGTGTTAATGGGGCTTAAAAGATATTCTGTACTTAATTTTAAAAATATAGGATTACCTATAATTATAGTTTCTCAGTAAGTGAATAAAACCTGTAGTTGGTGCATGTGTAGAGTGAATTCAAGTAAAAATGGTAGCTGATAAAGAAATTACGAAGAAATCTGGACACACATATAGACAGTGGATGTTTGCTATTACGGGTACCCGTGTCTTTATTTAAAAAATATATTTTATGAAAAATTAATCTATCTTAAAGAATTTCTTACCATTATGGTGGAAATATCACCTAATGTGTGTGGTCAACCATTCAGGATTAAATCACCCAAGATTTCATTTACTTTATCTGTTGTATTGATAATACATTTTTTTTCGGTTTCATTAAACTGGGATAAACGTAAGACGTTCAGATTTTTCTCCCAGTACTTGTCTCTATTTCTGTTTACCTATTAGAAAATGCAAATTTATGAAGTTGTGAGATATTATATTTCTTAAGAAATAGCTAGAAAATAATTAAATTTTAAATTTAAATAAACAAAGAAAATTGAATCTTATTTTAACAATTAATAATAATTAATAATATTTAAACGGTAAAATCGTTTGAATAGAATTTAAGGGCTAAAATATTTGAATGGTTATTTGGTCCATAATTGGAGACTAGGATATTTCATGTTTTTTTCATCGTAGATTAGCTTTTGATCGTGACTTTATAGTTAAAGCTAAATGTTTTTATTTTTTTTGTAAAACTTACAATTTTTAAATAAAACCATCTTTTCGGAATGATTGTTGGTTCCCACTCCCCACGTTTTGGATGTTTCACAACAATCATGACTGAATAGAAAATGAAAAAAGATAGTTTCATTTAAAATATCAAATATTTGCGTAAATAAAAAAAAATATTAAATAAAAAACCTGTAAAAACATTATGTTTAAGGTATAAGATTTTTTGTGTGTCTGTTTATTTAACTGCGCATCATTCGAAAACAGCTGTATTTAATGCATTAAATGCAACAGTGCGCTTGATCATTATGCAAATGATGATGATGATATAAATTTATCTGAATAGTTTATTTCTTCTGTAAAGCTTAAGTATTTTTAAGCCAATTTAATAACCAATAAAAAATATCGACATTTTAAGCCAATTTTACGATCTTGGTCTATGGTTTGGAGAGTGGTTGGATATCTCCCATTACGTCGTTGCTACAGTCAGAGGATTCCCCAGTTGGATACCCACTAACAGACTCTCAGCTCTCTTGGATAGCAAGTGTGTTGGGCTTAACCGCAACATTTGGGGTCGTCACGTACTCTTACGTTGCTGACAAGTATGGAAGAAAAATTAGCGTGGTCGTTATTGCCATGTTGGAAGCAGTAAGTACAGGCTTTTTAGTATATTTTAGATAGTTCTAGAAGTTTTATTAAATTTAACTTATATTTAGTTATAGCAAATTAGTAGTAAATTAGTTAACATCAATTTCACATTAGGCTTCATTAATATAACTTGCTATTACATGTACAAAAAAGTCACTTTTAGATGAAATTTGTGATCACAAAAAAAACAAAGATTTGGGACAGTGCGACAGTTAAAATTTATGGAAATTTATGAAAATGTGTTTTGTATATTATGTTTTTTTTTTATTTAAAATTCTTTCCTATTTCAGATTTCATGGGTAATTCGTTTATCGTACACTTCGTTTCCTCTGCTTATTTTAGCCAGAATCTTCGCTGGCTTAGCAGCTGGCGGTTGTTACACCATCACTACCATCTATGTGAAAGAAATAAGTCAAGAAGATTTGGCAGGAATTTTAGGGACTCTGCCCATTCTTACGCATACTACTGGAATATTTTTGATGTATGTTATGGGGGCCTATATGGATTATACGGTAGTTATTATTACTGCCCTGGTGGTGCCAATATTAACAATAATTACAATGACAAAAGCTCCTGAATCACCTGCTTTCTTAGTCAAACAAAATAAAATTGAAGTAAGTATTTTAGACTACAAAAACGCTTTTAAACTAAAAAACAACCTTTTGGCTTGGCACAAAAAATACCGAGTTTCATTTAAACTTTCATCCACTATTTTACCTCCTTACGGGAGAAATTTCGAAAAATGCTAAAACACGTAACTATTTCATTGTTTGGAAGAGCATTAATGACCAGTGATTATTGAATAGTTAGCTGAATATGGAATACAAATGAGCGAGATTTTTTTTTACAGCAAGACATTGTTGCTGTTTGTGCAGCAAAACTCCTTAAAGTTTTAAATAATACTGATCATAAAACAATTTTTGTCCATATAAACTTTACTATCCCCTTTTAGGGATGAATTTCGAGAAATCTTTTCTTAGCGTCATATAAGAAACACATTTTCCAAATTTCACGTTTCTGCGTTATAGCGGCAACAGAAATACATCATCTGTGAAAATTTCAACTGTTTAACTATCACGGTTCATGAAATACAGCCTGGTCACAGACGGATAGACAGACGGACGGACAGCGGAGTCTTAGTAATAGTGTCCCGTTTTACCCTTTGGGTACGGAACCCTAATAAACTACTCTAAAATACTCTGTTGTGAACGCAGAGCCCGAACCATACTCGAAACGTGCGGTTTCTCGATAACCAATCACAGCGCGAGGACCTTGGGCCCCCATCAGCTGCTGGCATACCTCGATAAGCTATCTTTCTTACACCTAAAAAGACTTCTTTGTAGTACTAATTTGTAAACTTTATTTACGTCTGGGAAGGGTTTAAAACCGCTAAATTCGTCTGGCAATTTGCCAATATTATTGAAAATTACTCAATAAATACATGATTAAAATTTCAGATTGCCAAAAGTATGTTTTTCAAATAAAAAAAATGAGTCTTTGGAGAAGTCTGGCAATACTTTATAACCGACAAAAACGTCTGGGGTTCTTTTTTTTTGAATTATATGAAAGCTAAATTAAAGGATTAAACAAAAATCAAGTTGCCAAAAATATGTCTTTTTGGATATTTTTTTTGCAAATGTTGTATACTGCGCAGTAGCGAAATAACCGCTAAAGCTATACCAGACTCGCGGGACTGGACTCGCCAATACACGAAATTATATTTTTTCACAATTTCAACTTGCCAAAAGAACCTTCCCAAAATTCGTCACGAGCTCTCGGGCTATTAGGTTGTGCGTTGATCCATCAGTCAGTCAGGACAAACTCTTTTATATAGATAACCGAATTTAACAGATTATTATGTAAAACATAATATTTTCTTTCCTTGACCAGCTACTTTAAAATTTATTTGAATTCCTTTACAGAAAGCAAAAGAAACGGTGGCATACCTCAGGGGACTAGACAAAGACCATGATATTGTGGAAAGAGTTATTGACGATCTGATTAAAGAAGAAGTGCGTTTCAAATCATTACCAACTATCACTTTTATAAATATATGTAAGTAGATTGTGAACGTCGTCTTTTCATTATTTCTATTTAATTACTAACCACAAAATTCCACTCGAATTTATCATTTTAATCAAAAAGTACTCGTGAAAACGCTGAAACTGTAAACAAATTGTTTCCTATTGACTTTGATCAACAGTAGTATTGTTGATTATATAGTCGATTATATAGTTAATGTCGAAGCTTACTAATTATATAGAAACAGGGTCAGAAACTTTAATTTTCTTTGTTGATATCTACTACATATGTATATGATACTCTACACATATATAACTTTAAATACATAAATAATATAAAAATCCATGACTGGAGTACAAACATCCGTGCTCATCACACAAATAAATGCCTCCAGCGGGATTTGAACCCGCGACCGCTGGCACAGCAAGTAGGGTCACAAAAACGTTACCAAAAGTGTCGTCAAAATGCCAATGCTAATTTACGGTGTCTTAGTCTGGTGGACTAGGACTGAACTCCGGACCACTACCACCAAATTGGGACGCTTCCAAAGGCTGGCATTATCGGCCGCTAGTGGATGTATGAAATCAACCTCCACAATAGCTTTGGAGGACAACACAAGATCGTACAATGAACCAAATTAGAGTTTAAGTTTAGAAAATTGAGTCCACCCTACATTATATTGGTAAAAAAAACATCAAGCATGGTGTTTCATTTTGTCACGTCTACCGGGTGATATGATCTTACACGGCACTTATAAAATCAAGGACAATTGTCTCTTTGTAACATTTATATGTATACCTTCGCTAAACATTTTAAATAATAGAATATGGAAACCAAAAGTTTGTTTTGTCACGGAGTTTAGCGAAAATATAAAGTATTCCTGTAAAATCGGACGAACAACATGTTACTGATATGCCAACTAATTTATTATAATTAAATAAAAATTTCAATATTGTATAAATTTAATTAAAAGAGATGAATGGATACAGTGAAATATGCTATATGAATTTTGGAACTGCTCGGATTTTTGATTTCGATTTTGTTAATTGAGATATTTTTTTCAGTAAAAAACAATTCTTGGCGACGTGGTTTCATCCTTATAATGTTTCTATTTACATGCTATGAAGTAAATGGTGCATTTGTCATTGTGACTTTTGCGACTAAAATGTTAACGTCGACTGGAATACAGTTTGATGTAAGTCCTGAGGTCCAGTCTCTCAGCTTCCCACTTGTCATGATCATCGCTTCACTAGGGTTGACTTCTTGCGTCGAGAGATGTGGAAGAAAGGTAAGAGAATTTTGTTATCATAAACAGCTTATTCGTTAAAAAGAACAATTTTATCAAAATAAGTGACTGCCAGACAGTATTTAAATATCAAATGATGCTAATTGAATTAATGAAGATTAATTAAAGTTGATTTCTATTTCGAAAATCAACAGATCATTTTTTTCCTATTTTCTTTAAATTATTCTTGAATCGTCAAATTAGTAACTGTAGCATAGTAGTCTAGTAGATGTTCAAATATGCAATAAAATTGACAAAATGCTTGGCCATCCTATGTTAAATACCATAAATATATAAGTAATAATAATATACATATACATATGTAATACAATTTGTCCTTTGTTTGTTAGTCTGTCATTCTATGTAGAAAAAGAGCACTTGACTTATGGATTGGCTTGTAAGTAACATAGACATATCAGGATTTTCGGTCCTTTACATCGAGGTATCTATCTCATAAATGTAAATAGTCAGTCACATATATGCCCAAATACTAGTTTAATATTATGTGATATTCTGTGCCCAAATGAACCTATGATGAGTGATCGAATTGTTTGTTAGTTTTTCAAGCCAAAACGGCTGAACGGATTTAAAAAAAAATTATGTAAAGATAGACTTAAAAACCGATTTTTCAGAAGATGTCATGATTTTTTTTATGATTACAGCCTCTTTTAATCGGCACTTATGGTATAACTGCGCTTGCAATGTTCGCGTTGGCCATAATGATTGTTTTCCAAGAGCGATATGGTAATGTTCCAGCGTGGATGCCTGCTGTAGCTTTAATACTTTCAGTAGCTATGTGCAGCGGTGGAGTGTCACCTTTGACCTTTATTATCACGACGGAAATGTTGAATTTCCATGTAAGTATTATTGTATGAAATCATCCTGGTATATTATCGCGGATTTATTTAGATTTATGAACTGTGCCTAGGCGAGCGAGTTTCACTCGGATTTCTTGTTTGTTATCATATTTTTTAGATAAAAAACTAAAAATTTGAATAAATACAAAAAAATACAAAATTAAAAACTTTGTATCCGATCGGGATTCGAACCCGGACACCTGTGATTGTCAATCTTGACCACAATGCTTATGTCCGTGCATGCGAAATTAGCGACAATATTTTACGTGGAATAATGCGAAAGAAAAACGTATGAAAACTCGAAAATACGCGTTTTGCCAGACATAAGACTAATCTAGATCGAATTTTCCCCACTGAAAACCTCCACATGTCACATACCAATAAATAAATAAATGATTTTGAATGCTTTACAGCAATCAAGGTAATACGTAACAGATTAAGGTATTAGACGTCTCCAAAGACGACGCCGCTACCCACAAAATTATACGACAAGTTTAAAAATATAAAAATGACAACAAAATACCTTACAATAATTACTAATTCTAATTGTTAAAGTTTGAAGTAGGGACATTGTTAGACTTACTGCATATACTATATAATCATATTAGTCGTTTAAATGTCGTTTTTTTTTGTAATTTATAACATTAAAGCCTTACAGCATTTATGGATGATATCTTTCTAGATTAGCCCTTTTTCTGTTAGCGAAAACAGTATAAAAATCCTATTTGGAATCACGCTGAAAATATATTTTCAAACACTGAAAATATATTTTCAAACACTTAAAGATACTTAATACTATTTTCTACTATATTTAAAACTTAATAGTTTATTGAAGATTTAAGGAACTGTTTGACGCTAATATTTATTTCAGATCAGAGCCACGGTGATGGGCGTGGTGGTCACTTATGCATGGTTCTTGACGTCCATAGCACAAATCACTTATACTCCGATGGCCAATTCAATGGGAGAATTTGCCCCTTACGTTTTTTATGGATGTGGCAATTTAGCTGCAGTATTTTTTGTTGCATTCTTCTTACCGGAGACACGGGGTAAAACTGAGGAAGAGATATTTAAAAATGTGAAGAATAAGAATGTTGGTGTAATATGAATTATGATCTGGAATACGTTAGAAATAGCTATATGAAAATTATTTGAAATGGCACGTGAGATAATTGGACATGTTCGATGTATTTTATGTATGTATGTAACTATATAATACTTGTAAGACAGAAAGAGAACAGAAGAGTGTGAATACATATTTAAAAAAATCTTCTTCATCTACTTTAAGAGTGTTCAATGTGACCTTATTTTTACGGTTAATTAGTGAATTGCTGTTGTTATTATGTGATGCAGTGGCACTGTGATATGTGTCCTTTAATCAAGAGTTCGATTTTCGACTCGTAATAAATACTCTATAAATATTTTTACCGATGCGGTAATAGGGAAGAGTATTGGAAACCGTTATTTATATGAAACACTTACAATCATTGAAAGAAGAGTCCTAACGTAATCTACATATTGTTATAATGTGGAGATGAAAAGACCGTACCTAATCCTTTAGATTTTATTTCTTCAAAGATATGTAAATAGATTTTTTTTTCAATTTTATTGAATTAAATAAAATAATTTTAATAACGTCTATTTTTGTACACCCTAATATATATGTCAATAATAAGTAATGTATATAGTGATATTTCGGTAGGTACACAGATTGTTCATAATAATAATGTACTTCTGGCCAAATTTGGCCACAGCGGCCAATCTTATTGGGACGTTGGAGATACCTATAATTATAGTAAGCAAGTGTTTGAGCTAACACAAGTGCACTCTCTGTTCACTCTCAAAGTCCGGTGGGATGTTAATTGGACACGACCGATGACAGATCAGATAAGACCACAGAAGACCAAGAGCTTTACGTGCTCTCCGAGGTCGAGAGTTTTTTAATTTTTATAATAGACTAGCATTGCCCACGGCTCCGCCCGCGTTCAGATGACCAAAAACCTAATTCTTAGGTTTTACGTATTAGTATACTCTTACAATGCAGTTTTTGGGTTTTTGTATTTTTTTTCTCAGAAATGAGATATATATTCCCGCGGTAAAAAGTAGCCTATATGTTGACCCGGATAACCAGCTATCATCATACCAAATTTAATCAAAATCTGTCCAGTGGTTTTCTCGTGATGGGGTGACAGACAGACAGACAGACAGACAAAAATTCTAAAAACTATAGATTCGGCTCCTGTATCGATAATAATGACTATTTCAATAAAATACTCTTCAATACCATTTAATAAATATGAGTTTTAACATTTTTCAAAATTCATCCCATAAGGGGGTAAAAAAGGAATAAAAGTTTATATGAAACCTACCTTTATAGAGTTTCTTTTGCAGTTTTAGCGTGAGCGAAGCCGCGGGTTCTGCTAGTATTATATACTTTCTGAAAGTATGCGTGTGTATGTGTGTGTACTGCATTAGTGAAATATAATAAGTGAAACTTTTTTTTTATTTTCATATCCAAGCATAGATACATAAGCACGGGTCGAATACAATATCTACTTTTATTGGCGTCGGGTAAAGAAAGAGTCATACGAAAAACATAATTAACGTGGAATATAGATATACATATATTTATATGATATAGTACATATACATCATTTATTTAAACACATAAAAAACAATATAAACAACATGCCATTCACCAGTTAGCAGCAATACGATGAATTTACATAAAAATAATATATCCTTCGAAAGCGAATCAAGGTACGCGGTTGCTTGTAAAAACTATCATCTTTTCTATGTCTGTTTCTGTCTTGTATTTCTTACCTTAAAAAAAACGTTAAAAAGATGTAAATAACAACTTTTACTTAGATTTGATTAGAAAAGATATTTCTTAAGTATGAAATCACACTTATATTTTTTCGTACACATTTATAAATAATAGTGACAGAAATTAAAAATTAAAAAAAAACTCTCTACGCAAATTGTCATTAACGATTACACTGGCACGGATGAAGCACTTATTCGAGTAATCATATTGGATACTCAGTGATACTCAGTATTGGACCGATATTAATCAAACATAGCCAAGAACGACCGCAAGGAAACTGGCTTTTTAATGAAAAAAAAAAAATGAAAAAAAAACACATCGAAATCGGTCCATCAGTTTAAGAGCTACGATGCCACAGACAGACACACACACAGACAGACAGACATCGGCGTCAAATCTATAACACCCCTCTTTTTGCGTTGGGAGTTAAAAATATAAATACATATGTTTGTTACTCCTGTACTCTGGAACTGCTGGACGAATTCAGATAAAATTTAGGCCTGGAGTAGACCTGGACACATAGGCTTACATTTATAATGCCAAAGTTGCTAATAATATTATGAATACAAAAGGCACTTAGGGACGCACCCGAGCGTAGATAGTGTCACTACTTTAAATTATTTCTAATTTTCAGCCAATTTTGCCATACAGAACCTATCGATCATCTCGATTGGGGATCCACAGGGCTCGAAATATGCCGCTAGCTCTTGGACTAGGATTTTTAAATTGTTTGAGAAATCTGTCAGAGTCGCTATGTTTAATGCATTGTTCCACTTAAGTATCAACACTGAAAAGAAAATTAAAACTTTAAATTACTTTATTAATAAAAATATTTATTTTTATATAAATGCAATTAATTTTTAATTGTGGACTATGGCCAGATTCCCCTCGTATTGAAGGGAGGCCCGTCCCCTACAATGGGACGTTAAAAAAAGGGCTGAATACATACATACAATTAATTAATTTATTATATGTTAAGAGTCAAATAAATGTCTAGGTAAATACGTTAAATAAAACAAGTTTTAGTGTTTAGACGCTAAAAGAACTTAGAGCTTTTTATTAAAAATATTTTCTTTACTACTAATTTATTTTAATTTTTTAGTTTTTTTCTATATTCGTATTCTTCTCAGTAAACCCTTTAATTTGATAGTCGTATAACCAAAGTGCATAAAAAAAACATGTACTTAATTTAGCAAAAAAAAATCTACTCTAATTATGTTTCTTATTTGTGGAAACTTAATTGGTAAATTGTGTATTTTTTATTTTAAGTTGTATGCTCTGTAATACTGTTTGTTTCCCTAAAATAAATAAAACTAAAATAAATAAAAAAGTCCACCATCTTCGGGAGTCCGCCATATTGGATTTAGAATGACGTCACTTAGCTGATTGTCATCCAAACTACACGTGTACCTATGCAAAATTTCAGCTCAACCGGTTAAGGATAACTGGTCTAAAATTGAGTTGCAAGATTTGTCCCACACGTACATATTAACAGAGCAAGTTAAAAATAAAAAAAAGCTTTATTAAATAAAACTATCTTTTCGGATTATTTCGCGGATTTATTTTGATTTTTGGTTCCCGACATTTCGAATGCTTTACAGCATCCATGGTCACGGGAGAGACTGAGGTGTTATATGTCTTGAATGTATAGTTGTTACAGACAGCCTACCCACAATTAACAAAATGAAAAATGCACCAATTACATTACAATATTTTTAACTTTAAAACATTTTTATAATTTTAATTATAATTGAATATGGAAAATTATTTATTTATTAGGTATCTATGGGTCAATGCATTGGAGATGCTCTTCACGATAGCGGTATATACACATATTAGCGACTCACCCTTGCTTCGCTCGGGCTCGTCCCTGGCTTACTTCCCCATACAAACTTTCATCCCCAATTCCACCCCTTAAGGGATGATTATCGGGATAAAAAGTATCCTATGTCCTTCCCAAGGTATCAAACTATCTTCTTTTATCGGTTCAGTAGATCCAGAGATTACCACCCACAACGTCACAAACTCACAAACTTTACCTCTTTATAATATTAGTATAGGTTGCCTAATAGGTAAAACCACAACATAAGTGTAAGCGACTCACCAACTACAAATATGTACGAAAATACCCAAATCCAAACCATGGACGGCAATTTTAATCTATTTTTGCTAACTGTATTCACCCCATTACTTTTGATTATTTAAAATAATTGACAGTGTCATAACCTTGGAATATTTTTCGTCTAATCAAAAATTCTTAAATGTACATACGAGTATATAAACTTTTTGAAAATTGTACTAAAAAATAAATAATATTCATTTATTTATACTAGTGGCCTAAATTCTAATAATTATTGAGGGAAACATATTATATGAATAGAATTTACCTACATATACCTATATAAAAACTATCTGTTTCCAAAACTGTTATTTATTGATAACACTCAAACTCGTCAATAGCTAGTTATAGTTACACCTCGTCCATCCATTCTAGGTTAAGATTTACAAAGAATAAGAGAGACGCATACTCAGCATCTGGTCGGCGCCGGGACCACCCGCCGTCCGCCGGAAGAGAATGTATTCAGATATTAAAGGATCCTAAAATCGGCTACATGTCGCTCATTTAGTTTTTTTTTTCTTAATTTAATTTTAAGTTAGTACAAATAGTTTTCGAAACGCTCTGAAACCAAAAGTAGCTACTAAACAAAAACAATAAATATATATTATTATATAATAATATATATATATATATATATATATATATATATATATAATAATATAATACTTTCTTAGATTTACGACTATTTGACATTTTAAATAAAACTATCTTTTCGGATTTTCGGGAGAGTCTCTCCCGTGACCATGGATGCTGTAAAGCATTCGAAACGTCGGGAAACAAAAAATCCAAATAAATCCGCGACAAAATCCGAAAAGATAGTTTTATTTAAAACTTTCTTAGATTTTTATCTTTATTTAACTCAGATCTACATAATTGAGTTATAGACAGCCTACCCACAAAATAACAAAATGAGTTAAAAAAATAAAAAATGGCACCAAAGTAGGTACCTTACAATATTTGTTAATTTTAATTTTAAATATTTTTATAATTTTAATACATTAATAGGAATTTTAGGAATCTATGGACGCGCATGAATAAATAATAATACACACACTATATTGATATTAATTTATTAATGGTTTTATACAACACCAAGTATACATGAAGTATGTTCAAAGTGAAATATATGAGATATATTAAACTGGAAAACCTTATATTACATTTGACATAGAAAAAAATCATCAAGAAAGACAATATTTGATGAGAATTTTCTATTAAACTACGCCACCATATTATTTCAGCTAATATATAAAAATCTCGTGTTCGGTGTTTGTGGTCGTACTCCTCCGAAACGGCTTGACCGATTTTAATGACTGTTTTTTGTATATTTAGTAGGTATGAGAACAGGTCGTAAAGTATTTTTCACCCTCCAACCTCCACCCCCTATTTTTTAATCGCAATTTTAATATTTTTGTATGAACAATATTATATACATACATAACGACGAACCCTAGCGAAGACAGGGTGAGTCGCTGTATAACATAAAGCCAAAGAGTTTATATTTTGTTCTGCTAGTACATAAATAATTATGACATTGCATTGATTAATAATGTGATATCATTTTTGTATTATAACTAAATTAAATTAAATATTTTAAAAACTGACCATCTTGGACCGATTCTTATCAAACATAGCTAAGAACCCTCCCGAAAAATTCAACTTTCAAACAAAAAAAAATCAAAATCGGTTCATCCGTTCGGGAGCTACGATGCCACAGACAGACACACACACAGACACGTCTAATAGCAATGTTATTTTAAATGAAAAACAAGATGGCGGAATGTCAAAGCTATCTTTAACTGACTTCAAAAAGAAGAGGTGCATGTTTCTTAATGTATTTCGTATGTATGTAACGATTGTAATACCTCCTTTACTTTTAAAGAGTTTTTGAAGTCAGTGTACCTTTTTAAATTAAAAAGTAATAATTATTTACACATCACTAACTACAGATAATAAATAGAATAAATAAACAGTCAAATCTTATAATATTTTATTTCTATCCTACATAATGTAACTAAGCTTCATCGATCAAAAAAAGTACTAGATACACAATCATCGACAAAAAATGTCCTCACCGAATGAGCACCTATTGAACATTTGAGCGCGCTTTTAACTATTTTTTTGTGAAAACAACTTTAAATATTGCATTTAAAGTTCAATTTACATTGTTGTATATTTATATCAACTAGAACAATTATCTAAACACAATTGGTGACAGTTTTAAGGGAACTTTTGCATGGGATTGTGGATCTAGTGCTTTTTTGATCGATGCTAAGCTTGGAGTAAATGCTAAACAGTTATATATATAAATGCAGTGCTTCAGTTATTTTTATTTAAACGTATTCAAAGACATTATAGTTTATGATAAGTAATAAATAGGTAAGTCGATGTTTTCGTTCAATTTCATTCCCTAACTCGCCGATTTGGCGGCCATTTTGTTATACGCCGCCATTTTGATTACATTTGTACTGACACACGTTAATTCGAGATAGGTATATTCAACTGATAGTTTATTTTTAATCTGTTCCATTCCCTTTTAGTACAAAAACTAAATACTTCTTTTTAAAAAAATTAATTTATGTGTTATTTATCGTATATATTGTCTTATTTAATTTCAGTCAAGTTATTGATTCAATTAATCGATTTTTTATGTAACGTACACACCTAAAGAAATAAAAGTAACAAAATGGCTTCATATTGTAAATACTTTAGTACTGCAAGTTGACATTTTCAAGCAGATAAGTCTACAGAGTTGAAAAATGGAAGACAATTTATATTGGTCTCTACATGTTAAAGGTTGGCACAAATTTAAAGGATATTACGTCCAAAATGTATGGAAATGGACTATAATTAATACTTATCGGTATAAATAGTTCTTGGGTTCCTCTGCGATGGGATCTGAGCATGTTCCCAAGTGCTTAAGCTGGACGAGGCTTCTGGAATATATTAAGCTGAATTTAGTATTTTATATGTTAAATTAGTATTTTATATATATAACTAGCGAGTCAACCTTGCTCCGCTCGGGTTCGTCCCTACGTTTTCAGAACGATCTCTCAGAGATGAGATATTTTCCCGCAGCAAAAAGTATCCTATATGTTAAACCGGATAACCAGCTATCATCATACCAAATTTCATCAACATTTGTCCTGTGGTTTTCTCGTGACACGTTCCCAGACAGACAGACAGACAAAGATTCTAAAAACTATAAATTCGGCTTTTGTATCGATAATAATCTATTTCAATAAGATTTTCCAAAAAAATGTTTAATGTACAGATTCGACTTAGTTACAATTTTATTATATGTATAGATTATATAGCATAATTGTTTAGAATATATTAAAAGCTCCCCGTACGCTGAGATTGTGATTGTACGGGTTAATCTCAGTACTACAGTACCTACGGATTTATATATTCACGCACATATTACAGAGTATGTAAAGCCGTCGGTCTTTTACTTTTATTACATATATTGAATTCTCGTCCCGCCGGGATTCGAAAACAAAAGATATATAGTATACTTGTGCATTATGTTTCATGCGTAATTGATAGTGAGAATGGCCGCCGCCCGTGTCCGAAAAGAGGACATCTTACTAAATTATTATAAACGTATATATACAATTATAAATGTGGATGTTTGGATGGTGTTTGTTACTCAATCACACCAGAACGGCTGAACGGATCTGGATGAAATTTTTTAACCCGGAAAAATGTACGGTTTCTATGGAATAGATTTGTTAGAAATAATAACATTATCGAATTACATTACGGGTTATATCTAATGTATGTATCTAATTATCCTACAGGCAGTGGTAGCCTAGTGGTAACGCACTCGTTTTTTTCCCAAAGCGAGTGAAGCGAGTTCAAATCCCGAGTCTCGCACCTCTGATATTTTCATGTGCGAATCATTTCTAACATAATTACCACTTGTTTTAACGGCGAAGGAAACCTGCATGTCTGAGAGAATCTAGCAAGTTTTCAAACGACATGCTGAGTCCGCTCGCACTTGTCCAGCGTGGTAGACTATGGTACTGGTACTGATACCCCTCGTACTGAAGGGAGGGTCACGCCCAGCAGTGGGACGTTAAAAAGGGCTAAATACAATGACCCCACTGACCTGGAGCGACAGTTCTCCATGTCGAGGAAGCATCGGTTGGAGTATGTCTTCCCGTCGGAGCCGCAGACGGGGTCGTACTCGGGCGAGCACACGCGCGCGCACCCCGCGTACTGGAAGCGCGACAGGCAGCGCTTCAGGGGCACCACGTAGATGTGTTTGCTGCGGGGGAGATAGATTATTTATTGATTTTTTATTTTTATATCGTGTTAAATATATAATAAAATATTATATGTATTAATGATGAGAAAAAAAGAAAAAAGGATATGATGGGACATTAATACACAGCACCATGTAGTTCCATATTAAGCTATGTGTTATGAATACCATATAGTTGATACATTACACATATATAAAATATAAACACTCATGATTGGAGTACAAAAATTCATGCCAATCACACAAACGCCTCCAGCCTGATTGATATCCGCGATCTGGTACAATAAGAAACACTAGAAGCTGAGCTAAGCATGTCCCCAAAATACATAGATAAATACAAACAAAAAGCCAGTGACCAACCCGCAGTTCTCCTTCTTCATGAGGCACTCGTTGCGGTAGAAGCGGTTGTCGGAGCCGCAGACGAAGGCGGGCGTGTCGGGGCAGCGGCCGCGGCACAGCGCCGTGGTGCGGCAGTGCGGCGCCGCCACCGCCACCACGTGCTGCCCGCACGACTGCCGGCGCAGCTCGCACTCCGACCTGGCGTACGCATACACACATACATACACGCTATCTATAGGGATTGAGACTCAGAATCGGTTTAAAAAAGGACGATTTATTTCGGTAATGTACCTAATGGTTAATTCGTCGCTCGTTCTTTAACCGGTTAATGGATACAAACGGTTTAGTAAACCGAAATAATAATATTTAACGGCTATTCTTGGAGAAAGGTTAAATTTCAGTTTTGATACCGAAATAAATCGGTTAATTCAGTCATTAGTATGAACCGTACATGTATCTTCCTAGTAAGCCATTCACCATTAGCAAAGACGCACCATATATAAACACACAAAAATTGATTTTAACCGGTTAATTTTAATTATGAAAGTTAAATTTGACATAAACCATTCTCCCGGATTTAACCGGTTAGAAAATATAACTAAAACCTTAAATCGAAATGCCTTTCGGTTTTGGGTCAATGACCAAAACCGGTTAAAAATTCAACAGGTCTCCAAGCCCTGACAACATTCATAAATTACGTGAACTATTTTCCTCATCATTGGTTCTCTTGGTGAGATTTAATGAGATTTGGCGAAACCTTCATCTCCCTCACGTGAGATTTCCGCTGGAGTTGTTAACAATAATACTCTCAAGTACTCTCGAAATAAATGTTTATTATTTATTTTTAATACATATATATTGTTATTATTACATAATATTATATTCTTTTAAAATTGACGTGAGATTTTCAATTATGACCCTCAGTTAAAATGAGACTTAGTGAGATTTTACTAAAAGATTACAAAAGAAAATTTACATTTCTTATATCACGTAGGTATATATCTGATTACATTTGAATTCTTAACTTATCATGAATACTTAACTTATCAATAGATGGCGCTGGCTGTTAAAATAAGGGAAAAATTTCGCGAGAAAACCCACGGCTTATAACTATTTCAACTTACTTGTAAACATTCCCATCAGAACCACACACAGGCTCTTCTACAGAATTATCGCAGCTTTCAGGACAATCTGTTTCCATCCGCGGTAACAAAGTGCAGTTACCGAAGTGCGCTAGTTGGACGCCTTTGCTGTAATTTATATGGGTTTTTTTAAATGAAGAGATTAAATGAGAGTTCTTATTATATATTTTTTTATTTATATTACTTTATAATATATGTATATATGTTTAAATAAAACTATCATAAAGGGTTTTTTTATATAATTTTGATTTTTTTGGTTCTGACTAACGCTTTACAGCAATCATGGTCATGGAAGAGATTAAGGTTTTAGACGTATCAAAGGGCATTATATATTATGTAGTTGTTACAGTTAACCACAAAAATACAAAATGGTTTCAAAAAATACAAAATGGACACCATAATTTTACAATATTTGTAAATTTAAATCTAATTTTTTTATATTTTTAAAATAGCAATATTAAAATTAAAATGATAGTTTTTTTTAAATGTCAAATATTCACGTATAACTAAGAAAGTACATATTATTATGATGTATACATATTTTTATGATGTAGAGATACCATTACCATGTTTTTCACAAGTGTCAAAAAATTGGAAACTTATAAAACTAAACACGCTTTAAGACTTATACGTATACATATTAAGTGCTATAATAACACAAACACATATGTATATCATACAAAAAATCGGTATTTACTATACACATACATACACACGCACGCACGCATACAAACAAACAAGCGAGCACACTCACAGGCAAGTGGCGACCTTCAGCAGGCAGGGGTTGTCGTAGACGTTGGCGTCGGTGCCGCACACCGGGTCGCTTTCCGCCGGACACTTCACTTTCATACACTTCGATATTTTCGCTTTGCACTTCTCCATGTCCACTTTCTTCACTAACTTCCTGTTGCTTACCCTTTAATTGAGGAAGGTTTTGTTATTATTTGTTTATTTTAAATTATTTATAATAATAATAAATAAATGGATGCCCCCAGCGGGACTCGAACCCGCGACTGCTGACATAGCAAGGGTCACTACAAGGTGAGCCAAATGTGTCGTCAACGTATTGTTTTAAAGTATTTTTATTATATAAGTAAAAAATAAAAATGTAATACGAAGCATGATATGAATGTAAGGATTTTACTCATAATAAGGATGAGTTTTAAAAGTACATGTGTATTTTTCTTTCCTAACAGTGACTCTAACAGAAACTAACACAAATCAAAGTTTAAGAAGCAGATCATACTAATTATTATAATAAATCATATTCAGAATTCCAAGAATCATATCAATTTCGAGGCAAAGGGCTGTTCATATTTTTGATTATTCCTTTAAATTAAAAACTGTTATCCCGCCTCTCGAAAGAGAACAAAATTTATTTTTTAATAGTTTTATATTAAGCCGAAATCTGACAAAAGGTAACGTCTTACCCACAATTCAGCATCTTCATCTCACATTCGTTTCTATAAATATTCTCGTCGGAGCCACAAACAAGTTTTTCCTTCTGCCCGGAACACTCAGTAGGGCAAGGGTCTCCTCCCGAAGTCCTTTCTTGAGACACACAAAACGCCATCGGTACTTCGAATACATGTTTGCTGAAAATATAAACGTTTAAAGTTTAACAATAATTTACATATTTGAACGAGTGAATGAGTTTATTGACTTAGCACCTTTTTTAACGTTACAAAATGCATTTACACATATCACCTGTATACATATAGGTGGTTATATAGAGCTCATCGGCTAGAAAAACCAGTAGTAGAGTAATAGTACCCACTAAACCCAACGGAACCTCCCCCGTCTCAATGGGGCGTCGCAGGATCGCTTATGCACTCACAATAATTATTATAATGATGACTTCAATGAATGACTCACAATATGATATGTATATGATGTATAATACATTATATATATATATATATATATATATATATATATATATATATATATATATATATATATGTCCGGAATTGAGTAGTGACTAGTGTCTCTATCGTAAGAAAAACAACAAAAAATAAAAACGAAACCACAAAATATTTTTTTAATTAAAAATGTTAAAAATTCACTTAAAGCCCTAAAAATAGAAATATTAACGGAATTGAACTCTTTTTCCAAGTCAGTCAAGTGCTACTTACCCACAGTTAGTAGCTTTCATCCTACAAGCGTTAGCATATAGCTTCCCATCAGAGCCGCAGGTCGGCCTCGACGCTCTCCAGCACGACTCACGGCAATGCCGAGTGGTTTGACAATGCTTTTTGTTGGTCCTGACCACACCTTGTCTGAAATAGAATAGTCTAGAATATATTCAGCCCTTTATAACGTCCCACTGCTGAGCTTCAATGTGAGGGATCAGACCACCAAGCTGCCCAAGTGCGAGTTGGTGGACTTCACGTATACTTCGAAAACTTACTAGGTTCTCTTAGATACGATGATTTCTCCTAGCCGATTTCGGCCACGGTGGCCAATATCATTGAGACTAGCCAACTGCGCAGGAGATATTATACTGCACAAGTGTACGCGCAGACAAAAGTGCACTCTCTATTCCTGTCACTCTCATACTCCGGTGGGACGACTACTCGACACGACCAGGGAGAGTTAAGGCGCAGGACCGACGGCTTTACGTACTCCCCGAGGCACGGGGGTGAAACACCGCCAACTTCCCAACTCCGGGCTGTTACTGAGACTTACTATACAGAAAGACTCAATAACTAAACTTGGCCTGAACCGGGACTCGAACCCAGGACCTCCGAGTGTGCAACCGTACATGCTAGCCACTACACCACCGAGGTAGTTAATCTCTCAGATATACACAGGTAACCTTATAATATTTTACTTCACCGTAAGGCAAGTGGTAATTATGTTGAAAAGATTCTTACATGGGAATGTCAAAAGTGCTAGATCCGTATTTAGCTTGCTTTACTAGGTTTACCAAATAAACGTGTTATCACCAGGTTTAATCTGCCTTTTTACTTTACATTGATTATAACTTAACGATAGAAGATATTGGGTTCCAATTCAATTCAGTTATTTTATTATTTTACAATGGACATAAAATGGAGTCCTTACTATAAAATAGGTTTACAAAACGTCTAATTATATGTATTTGATTATTAGATGTTCGTTTCTCTGGCGTCTTTTCCATTCTATGTGAAATTGACGACGTAATCAATGTTCATTGGCAAGTTTACAAGAAACTAAAATTAAATTGAAGAATTTCGTCCAAGTAGCCCTGAATATTTACCTATTGATTTTATATACTGAAATGCTTAGCTGGAGGAGAAAATAAATATTAGACTAAAAGAATTTCTAGTTTAAATTACCTACTTAATAATATATTAGTTATTTCAATTACATACGAGTCTATATACTCGTATGTCTAATTAGCTTAGATTTACCATGAAAATGGAGATCGTGTACCTAACATAGGAAAAGATTATATGATAGCAAATTCATAAGAAAACTAAATATAAGTTATCTGGACATGAGTAAATAGCCCTGCAAAGAGAAAGCTTCATTTAGCATTAGTATTATCTCGTGAGCGTGACGCGCTCTGCGTGACCGTGTCAACAGCTACAGCTGGAAAAATTCCAGTTTTGTCAACAGTCAACTGTTAGCTGTCAACACGCGATTGTATGAAGTTTTGTCTCTATATGGATACTTGCTGATGTAGTCTAAGCCAATGACGTCCATATTTTTGAAATAACACCAACTTACCCACAAGTCAGCAACTTCATTTGACAGGTACTTTTGTATACGTTTCCATCAGATCCACAGATTGGTCCATCTAGTGGGGCCTGGGAACAGTCGACGGGACAATTCTCTCTATGCGCACTGATGTTGTTACAGGCTCCCAAGTGAGAAAGACCTATGCCCACTCTGAAATTGATTAAAATGGTACCATGTTACTTCCCAATATTATGTATTCAGCCCTTTTTAAAGTCCTATTGCTGGGTACGGGCTTCCTTTCAATATGAGGGGGATCAGGCCATAGTCCACCACGCTGGCCACGTGTGGGTTGGCAGACCAATATTATAATAATTGACTAATAATATATCATCATCATGTTCAAGCGTGACTCAGAAAACATTCAAAAATAAACTTTCTTTAATCTGTTTTAGATGTTATTACTACTGGTAAAGAAATGCAAAAAAAGAAAAGAATTATTTATTTAAAAAATAAAAAAATATTTAAAGTTTATTTATATTTCGTTTTTTTATTATTTTTAAATTAAATAATTGATTAACAATTTTCAGTTCCCAGGAGTAGCACTGTTTTTTTTTCTTATATATTTTTTATTATAGATTAAATAATAATCTATACATATAATAAAATTAAAACTGATCGCTGTTTGTACACGGAAGATACTTGAGAAAAATATTGGGGGTCTTTATTAACGCATAGAACCCAAAACAATAATTTATAGAATTTTTGTGTCTGTCTCTGCATTTGTGCGTTCTAATCTCAGAAACAGCTTAACCGATTTGGGTGCGGTTTTCGCTAATGTCTTATGGTAAGCTTCGGTTAAATAAAAAGTTATATCAATTTAAAGAATCACCTAGGGGCGAACCTATGTCCTTCCCAGGGTCTCAAACTATCTTCTTACCAAATTTCATCAAAATCGGTTCAGAAGATCCAGAGATTACCCCCTACAACGTCACAAGCTCACAATTCACTAACTTTACCTCTTTATAATATTAGTATTGATTTCTTATTGTAAATTACTGAACGTGTATTATAAACGCGAAAGTTTATGAGGATCTTTCTATGTACGTTTATTATTCTTTCACGCAAAGTGTAGTGTGAAAGTGTGTTTGTTTGTTTGACGAAGAGTGACAAAGAGTGACGGATGGCTTGGCGTGATTTTTTGTGTGGAGATAGTAGAAGGGCTGGAGAATAGAGAGTAGCTACTTTTTTTAAAGCGGCAGATTATCTCATTCCCACGGGAAAACACGTTATAATACAACCCAAAAAATTATATATGGTCATAATTAGTTGAAACTTGGTATTAATGCTCTTCAATACAATTAAATAGGTATATACGTGTTTTAATATTTTTCAAAAGTCTGTATAAAACCTATCTTTATAGAGTTTTGTTTTTGTAGTTTTAGCGCGAGTAAACCCGCGGGTTCTGCTAGTAGATTATAACTGACCTGCATATTTCAACTTGCAGCATGCATCTATTGAGATAAGTGCGGCCGTTAGTACCGCAGACGGGGTCCCGTTCGGCGGTGCAACGATGCTCACATTTAGAGCCTTGGGCACGTGAGCAAGAACCTTGGTCTGGTGCTAGTTTTACACCTGGAAATATATTAAAAAACGATATTTAAAAAAAAGGTTTTATTGCACTTTAAGGGCGGAATTGAATTTTCGGTGTGTCTATCTGAAATATATATGATTCCTTCGATTATTGTTGGTGTGTAAAATACTACTTTTTCTATAAAATACATTGAAATATAAAAGAAAAGTTTTCAGCTCTGAGGTTAAGGTTTTTTTTTGCATATAAATCGCCTGCACCTAAAATCTCTTATTTTACATAAGAAAACAAAAAAAATTGGTACATATTCGTACCAACCGACAATAATTGGACGAATTATATATATTTTTATATATTCCATTATATCGGTAGAAAACAGCCTTATTTTTTTAAATATTAAACAGAAACACTCTATCATCATATCAGTGTATTAAATATGTATATATTAAAAGAGTCAAAGCGTGAGGCAAAACTTCAATCGTGGTGGCCAATTCGAATGCCAGCGTGAATTCTGGATTCGTGAGGATCTGCAGCCGATCATGATGGCCAATAGACCAACTAGTTATTTTATTATCATGAATAGCAAAGACAAAACAATTCAGCACCTTTTTATTCTCTGTTTGTTAACCGATTTTATTTTCTTTTCGTTCAGTGGTTGTTGACGAGCTGTCGTGTTGTCAATAAAAAAATGTAGAAACGGATAGTTTTTTATAAAGTTGCGCAAATTCTATTTATATATGTTTTAATAATATTCGCAATAATGATTATGGTTGAATTTCGAGAACTGGACAAATACTAGGTTTAATAATTAGATATCGATTATTGAAGATAGCGCGTACCTACATACTACATACATAAACATAGAAAAATAAAGTTTAATCAGGTATCCCCCTTTTTTAAAGTCGGTATACAATATAAATGTTATGAAAAAAGTAAAGAAACTTGATAATTTAAATACTCAAAGTATCATAATTTAATATACGGCTTATAGCTTTAAGTTCGGTGTAGACTGAAGCCAGACAGCAATTATGTGGACGATCGATTCCTATGGGATTCGAACCTGCCATCAACTGCTCGTTAAGTCATGCCACCAAGATGTAATTACTAACTTAAAATCGTACTTGAATTCATTAAGCATTTTCTCGCGGCGTTGCCTGCATAATTGGATTGCGAAATATTCTCCGTACTCAAATATTCATATGTATTAATTTTCATGGCGATCGATTAAATGCTGTATGGTAATAAAAACCTTTATCATTTTAAATGAAACTATCTTTTCGCATTTTTTCGCAGTTTTATTTTACAGTTTTAGTATTTGCAAACTTGTCAAGGGAGAGACAAAATCTGAAAAGATTAGTTAGATTATATGATTCATTTAAAATGTCAAATATTCACGTACATTAATGCCCGATTTCACCAACGTCACCTAAGTTTAAGGGATCCCCTAAACATGGTTAGGGGGCTGTTAGGGGACAGTTTCTGTTTCACCGATAGTTAGGGGACACCTAAATATTTAAAGGCTCCCTAAATTTAGGTGCTCGAAATATGGGCTTAAAGACGATCGTAAAACGAAATTTAATTTAGGGGCTAGTTTAGCGGAATTTTAAGCTAGGGATATAGGATCGTAGGTGGTAGCTTATGGGTTGTTGGTGAAATCGGGAATAAATCTCTTAAAATTATTAGGTGTCTTAATGGTGTCAACATATTTTTATATTTTCAAAGCAATCTATAAAGAACTTTCGGAGATTTGCATTTTGTTGTTTTATTTCTGCATTATCATTGGATGTACAGAATCCTAATAATAGAAATGTCTCGTTGTAATGTTTATTGTAACTTTTAAAAAAAGTGCACATAAATACCTTTTCAATTAAAAAAGTACACCACGTTTTTTTTTATTTACGAGTATATAAGATCATTCTTGGAGTATAAAAAAGTGACATTAATTCACAAATGGTGAAAATATCGCGTAACAAACACTCAGAAAACAAACAGCCGAGTTGAAGGAAATGGCGTATTGTGTACCTACACAATACCTCCTTTTCTTTGAAGGCGGTCAACTAAGCAGTTCTACAACTTCAATTTACCATACAATTAAATACCACATTGTTAGAGCTTCGATAGCGGTCTATGGATACGCCTCTTCAGCTATCTAACAGTACTTAGCCTTGGAGTACATCACCTGATAGCATCGACTCGTGCATTAGAATACGTTATCATATTAAATGTTATTTTCATCTGTGTTAAGTGTTTAAAATATTTTGTGGCGATTATTAATATGAAATATTAAGCGGGTTCCAATACCAAGTCTCGCACCATTGGTTTTATACGTAATTTTTTTGGTTAAAATATACTTATAATAATTATTAAAATTTCACTTATTTAAGAACAGTGATAAGTTTAAGTTACGCTTTAAGCCTCTATTGTAATGCGACTGAAAAGAAAACGATCAAGTAAATATATGATTTTGCTCTAAAATATTGAAAGGCGCAATTAATATGGATTATAATATCGAAACTAAGCGATATATGTTTCAGTCCAAAGGTACTATTCCGATTTGGCTCAGTTTGTAGTAACCCTACTTGCTGTGCGTGCGGTCGTGGATTCGAGTCCCGCTGGGGGCATTTGTGTAATGTCAGTAGGTATGTTTTTAAGGAAGCTCGCGCCGGCTTGGATGGCATTTCTGCTGAGAAGATACGGCGAGAAACTCAACAGTTGCTCTTTTTTAAAAACTATATTTGTGTACCATATTGCAATATAATAATTATTTACTTATACTTAATTGACCTACCTTTTCCACATGTCTTTTTTCTCATTTCACAGAGTGAAGGGTAGATGTAGCCATCTGAACCACAAACAGGTTCTCCTGCTAACATCGGTCCGCAGATACGAGGGCAGGATGCATCTCTTGCAGCGTCACACCACGATAGAGCTGAAAGTAAAAGTGATAATAATTAATATAGAGAACAGTCAAAATTATAAATTTGGAGGGGAATTGAAAAAGAAAAACGTTTTTAAGGAAAATGTGTATTATATAGGTATAATGCTTTGTGTGTTTGATTATGTTTAAGCAAATTGTTCGAAGAAAAACGTACAATAATTATAATAATTGTATAAGTTGAGATTAATAATTATAAATTTGTTGGAAAAGTGTTAAAAGATCTTTTTCTGTACGAAAATGACAAAATCTTATATGGATACATATGTATAATGTATGTTACGGATGCCGATGGATTTGATATTACGTTATCGCGATTCTCGTCCGCCATGGTCAGTGTGCTCGTGCGGCACAGTCGAGTGTTCACAATAAAGTGAGTTCACTCGCACTACTGACTCACGTCATAAATTATTAGCTGTCAAACGCTATTGTCATGTACCGTCATTCAACTACCCTCAGAATCGTGTATAAAATATCAAACATGGCAACACAAGTATTTTTTTATTAATTATTCTCTAACACGGCCATACTGACAGGAGGCGCGCTCTCGCGGCTCCATAATTATTATTTTAATGAACCAATAACGAGAGTTAAAGATACGACAATAGCAACAATGTATAAACTCAAAATGTTATATCACTGTATAAAATCTTATCAAAAACTATAGGCCTCGAATATCTCTCGAGTACCACCAGCGTGAAGCGTTCCAGCCTTCCAACGCCCTCGAAACTTCAGCGTGAAGCGTCACAGCATTCCAACGTCTTTAGAACCTCAGCGTGAAGCGTCACGGTCTTCCAACGCTCTTAAAACATTAGCGTGAAGCGTTACAGCATTCCAACGCTCTCAAAACCCTGCGCGAAGCGTCACAGCGTTCCAACGCATTAAAATGTTAACGTGAAGCGTCATAGCCTTCCAACGTTTTATGAACAGAAACTCATATAACTTGATTTACTTAAGAGCACTATATTGATTATAAACTTGAAAAATTAACTATCAAAATATAACTAAGTATATAACACTACAATAATTTCTTACCTCATAACTAAAAAATATCAATTTAACATAATGGAATCAACGTGGATTTCAATGGTAACATTTCCTTATAAATTATAACTTAAAATTTAACAAAAATATTTTACGAACAATATTATTGCATTGATTATAAATAGATTTAAGAAACAAAACAAAGTACAATTGTGACTAATTCATGATACAATAAATAAATAATTAGCGGCTTAAAGTTAAACATACTAACAAATATTTCACACAATAAATAGTTTTAATTATTTTATTAATTATGGTATAAATTTCATTTAAACAATAAACTTATTTTTCATGTAAGTAACACTTCAATCTAGTTCGTCAGATACTTCAGGGAGGCAAGCGGGATATTTACGTAGCTTTTCATGACAAACATACTGAACCCGCCCGCCTACCAATGGCTCAACTTTATACCTATCATTAGCACACACTTCTATAACTTTACACGGATTTGAAAATTTAGCACTTAGTTTTTTAATTATTCGTGGATTTTTCTCGACAAGAACTAAATCTCCAACATTAAAAGCTTGAATTTTAGATTTATTTTGATCGAAACGCTTTTTATTTATTAACGCCTGTTCGTCCATCCTGCTTTTTGCATTACTTCTTATCTCTAACAGATCTAACTTATCATATTCTTGAATTAATGAGTTTATGCACGGGGGGCTTTTATTATAACCTATTAACATTTGAAGAGGACTCATACCAGTGCTTTTAGATACCGTACAATTTATTGCAAGTTGTATTTCACCTAAAACAGATTTCCAAGATTTACGTTCCGAATTTTCAGCTATAGTGAAACAATTAGTAATAACGGACATAAAACGCTCCACTTGCCCGTTGGCACGACTGGTGCCACTAGCTATCTCATGGAACTCGATCGACCATTCTTCACATAAATCTTGAAACTCTTTTCCAGTAAACGACGTACCCTGATCAGATATAATTCGCTTAGGCGAACCAAATAGTGAAACAAAAGATTTAAGTGCATTACATGCTGCTCTAGATGTCAAATCTTTGACAGCGGTTAAATAACAATATTTTGTAAAAGAGTCTACTATTACTATAACGTATTCTTTAGCTTCGCGACTACCTGTTAATTTACCCGTCGTATCAACATGTATAGTGTGAAAAGGTTCGGCAATCTTTTCTATTGGGTGTAATTCTGATTGTTTTTTACCACTAGGCACTTTATTAATTTTACAAGTTAGGCATCTGTCTACAAATGTTCGTACACATGAAGTCATATTAGGAAACCAAAAGTGTTCTCTCAATTTAGTTAGGGTTTTTTCCCACCCTAAGTGCTTAAGATCTTCGTGAAATCTATGTATAATCTGCCAACGAAAATTTTTAGGGACAATAGCACGAGAAAATGATTTTTTATCAACTTGAAAATTTTTATGCAATACATTATTCTTTATTGTGTAAGAAGACTTTAAGTTAGGGTCAATGGTATCGTTTTCGATCGATTCTATTATTTTACGAATGTCAGGGTCTAAATATTGCTCGGATACAAGCCAGTCATTATTAATTCGTACAACATTTACTTCTTTAATACTAGGCGGATTCCTACTAAGATAATCGACATGGGGTATTCTTTCACCCTTACGGTATTCAATCTCGAAATCAAAAGATTGCATGAATGCCCACCACCTATGTACGCGTGTCGATAAATCCCGCTTATGTCGAGATGCTTTAAGACTATTACAATCAGTGACTACTTTAAAATTTCTACCTAGAAGATAGTGACGAAAATGTTTAAGAGCTTTAAAAACAGCCAAAGTTTCCAATTCGTAACTATGGTATCTAGATTCTACCTCGGTAGTCCTTTGACTATAGTATCCTACGACTCTAAGTTGTGTATCGTACTTCTGAAACAGTATCGCGCCATAGCCGATCGAGCTGGCGTCGGTGTGAAGCTCGATATCCCTACTAGGATCAAATATTGTAAGTACAGGTGCAGAAGTAAGGTATTCAATGATCGACTTATGTGCTGCGGTATGTCTGTCGGTCCATTCCCATTTACAATCTTTTCTAGTCAAGTGATACAATGGGGTCATTATTGATGAAAAGTTAGGGATAAATTTTCTAAAATACCCCGCGAGTCCGTTAAATTGGCGTAATTCTTTTATATTCCTAGGAAGCGGTGCATTAACAAGAGCATCAATCTTTTTTGGATTAGGTTTAATAGTACCATTACAGACAACGTACCCTAGATACTCAATGGATTTTTTCAAAAATTTACATTTTTTCCAGTTTAACGAAAAACCGGCGTCCGTCAACGCTTGTAAAACAGATTCTAAATTTTTAAAGGACTCTTCAATCGTTAAGGACGCTATCAATACATCGTCCATGTAGACCAAGGCTATTTTATCTTTAAGACTGCCTAAAGCTTTATTTATGGCTCTTTGGTATACAGACGGTGCATTGCACAGACCAAAGGGCATTTTTAAAAATTCCCATACACCGTCAGGGGTTATGAAAGCCGTTTTCTCTATGGAATTAGATGCAGCAGACATAGGTATCTGATAAAACCCAGAGGCCATATCGAGAGAAGTATAGAACCTAGCTTGACCTAACGAATCTATTTGTTCTTCTATAAGTGGAAGGGGATAATTATCGCGTATAGTGTTCGAATTAAGTTCCCTATAATCAATGCAAAGGCGGTCTGAGCCGTCCTTCTTTTTCACGAGCAGAGCCGGACTCGAAAAAGGAGATGAGCTTTCTCTAATAATACCCTTTGATTCGGGATCCCCTATAATTTCTCTCATTGCAGTGCGCTCTGACGTTGCCAACCGATATGGATGTCGTTGTACTATCTTATCAGGATTTTTAAGTTTAATTACCATTTCGCCCGTTTTAACCGTAGTATTAGCGTTACCGGTAACAAAGCTACTTCTAAATTTTTCAATAATCGAGTTTAATTGCTTTATATGTATAGAATCACTTAAATCAGTATCTATTTTATTTTCATTATTCGATTCAATGACAGAACAGACGGCTATATTACATTTACGAGATAGACGAACCCCCTCACTGTTCATAATTAATTCTAGACCGGGTATTTTAAAGATATCACGACCCAATATGACGTCGTACGGAATGGTGTCAGAGTCTACAATGATGAAACTTGTTTCAACGTGAATATCGCACAAATTAATAAAAACAGTTAGCTTAGTAAAAGAATATGACGGTTGCGAGCCTATACCGGTTAATTTCGTAAAGACAAATTCACGTGTTCCTATCAAATGACGAGCTATGTTTTCACGTAATAATGAACACTCAGACCCACTATCAACTAAAGCATGAAACAAATAATCGTTAATTTTTATTTCAATTAATGATATATCGGAGGAAGAACAAACATTAACGGATTTCGTGCAATCTGAATCTATTTTAGAACCTTTAGTTTTATCCTCTTTTTGTTTAATAAAACATGTACGATCACTATGGCCTATTTTATTACAATGATTACAGCGAATGATTTTATCTGACATTGACTGAGGTATTTTTGGCAAATTGTTATTATCTTTAATCGGATTTTGATTTATTTTGTTAGTGTTACAGTTACGCCTCAAATGACCATATTTACCACAATTATAGCATACGCGATCGTTAGAATTCATAGATTTATTACTCGTATCATTTACTTTTCGACGTTTACATGTATTATCTACCCGCGACTCAAAAGATCGTTTTAAATTCTTAACGCGAGGGTAGGTACACAAATGCCTGTCAAGTGCAACAAAATCTAAAGGTGTATTTTTTAATAAATCTGAACGTACCTGAACATCACTTATACCGGATATAAGTACCTCGATTTTGTTTGCTTCACTCCATCCCGTCTCAAGGCGGTCGATCATAGCCAGCTTGTGAGTAGAGTACTCGATGTAAGTAGCAGCTTTCTCGCTTGTGAACTCCACCATGTCCCGGAACAGGTCGTGGAACCTCTT